TTTCCATTGATTCTAATCATAGATTCACATACATGGCTTCGGCAATACTGCTCATGATATCGGTGTTAGGTGCAATAGTGCTGTGTCTGGTTTACTGCTTTGTTTCTAATCAGCCACTATATGTTGCTGAGACACCCTTGATCTTGCCAGGAATGGAGCTATAACCAATTTTAAGTGCTAAATAATAAAGAAAAGGTTAAATCAATTCGTTGATTTTAACTGATACACTTTTACTGCTGGAACAAAGCTGGCTTTGCTTTTCATTTAGATTTTTAAAAATTTTGGCCCTGCTGATTCGAAGCCCATGAGTTTGTGCTAAATGGGTCAAAATCGGACAACAAACTCTAAAGAGCTATGCTGTTCTTTAGGAACATTTATTTTGAAGGCCTACTGTTTTGTCTATAAAACTATGTTGACACATTATAATATGTAATTTAGGAATGTGGTGATCTATTCCAACTGTTGGATGTTTCTTTTGTATAACACTCCTCAGTCTATCATTCAATGCCTATCTCCTGTGCAATGCAATGCTGTATTTGGATGGCATTGTTTTGCATTTTAATGTCCTGCCGTAAAATTGAAATTTCATTCATATTAACTAGAATTACACAACCCCAAGCTCTTTTATAATACGATTGTTGGATATGTTCATTGTAGCATAATTTTCCTTTATTGGTTATTTTGAAACATTACAGTTATAAAGAAGGAACATCGGCGATCTCATGGCCAACAATAGGGATGAGGAAAAGCTTGCAATCAAAAAAAACCTAAACGTCGAAAAGGGGATATATCAGAAGATTCAGATGCTTTCTGGAAGACAGGTTGATGTGGATGAGAATAAAAGTGCGCTGAAAACTAATGACTTGCAGGCCAGCGAAGTAATGAGTAAAGCCAAGACTCTGGATGACAAGGCTCTGAAGGACCCGCTTATCTGGAAAATCAATGATTGCTTGTGTGTTGCTTGTGAAGCAACCACCTCCAGAACAGACTTCGTTGCAAAGAGAAACAACATAGACATATTAATTGAGCATCTAGACAAACAATACAAAGATAGATATCTGGCACTGTCATTCAGACGCTCAAGTATTTCAAAAAGCTACAAAAAGTGTCTAGTTTTTGACGATATTGAATTTAACCTTGAGGATGCATGCGAAATTTCTAAAATTGCAAAATTTTGGCTGGATTGTGAAGGAGAGTGTGTTCTATTCGTTGAGATGAGGAATGGCAAGGAGAGCAATGTGCTGTTTATTCTATCATGCATACTTTCATACTGCAAAATATTTTGGTCGGCAGAATCAGCACTCAACTCATTAACTATGACAAATCCTCTGAAATTTCAATTCAAAAACCTAGAAACTGTTATTAGATACGTTCGCTACTACGATCAAATAATTACCTTCAATACCACACTGCGGTTTCCGCAGAAAATCCTTAACCAGGTAATCATTACAACGATACCTACAATATTAAAAGGTGGTTCATTTGTTCCGAAACTAAAAATACGCTGTAAATCAGGGAACACTGTCTTTCCATCCAACAAGTGCTACTTCGATACCAACTACATTGTTTTTAGCCATCTGAACATGGAAATTGCCAAGGATGCAGTTCTTTCATTGTATTTTGTCCAAGAAAAAGAGTCGTACCATATTCTTGATCTGAGTCTGAACAGCTGCTTCTATCAACAGGGGCTTTATAGATTCATGAGAACTGACATTGAAACCTCGCTTCCCCAGGAAAATATTTACAAATTTTTTGATGAAAATTTTTATATCGACTTGGTGATAATTGAGAACAATGAGTCGCAATCGGCCAATCCATACACAATGACCTATGATATAGCCGAAGTTGCCAAGTCTGTTTCGGAGAGGTTTTTTGGAGAGGCAGATGATGAAGTTTATAAAAAACTAGTGAATTTGGGCTATAGCCAATGCCTGAGCAAGGTGTGTTCACAGTTGGGGCTTAATGAGGAGATGTGCAAAAGTCTCCACGAGCAATGCCTTGAAAAAATACACCATCGCCAGTATATTAGTCGAAATGACGAGGACGATAACCGTAGTGAGACTACTATAGATGGAAAAATGAAATCGGCTAGTCGAACCATGGAAACACCAGAAATAAACCATAGACAAATATACCAAGCTCTTGGAGAGTTGGAAATAACTGAAGTCCCATTGATTGAGCACAGCATTATTCACAAGCTGCCAAATAGACGAACGTGTAGTCGGCTGTTTGCCAAAAAACAATCACCAAATGTCCTCGTGAATGAAACTGTGTTTTCAATCAGGCCCATTCACGTCAATCCGTTGCATTCTGTTGAAAATACAATTTTTAGTGAGATTCAAGGTTTTAGTATTCACCTGGATTTTCAAAAATTTGAAAAGCTTTTTTGTGAAGAATCCCAGAAAAAGCTATTAGAGAAAAAGGACAGTCAGAATCGTAAGGATGTGATAGAATCCAAGAGATTGTTTATCATATCTCTGTGTCTAAAGCAGCTCGAGATGAAGAAAGTGTCGGTTGATGAATTGCTTGATGTTCTTGAAAGATCATCTGAAAACCTGACCCAGCAGGATTTCATTAACATATTAAAGATTCTACCAACCGATGACGAAAAAGTCGTATTAGAAAGTGTGGCAAAAGAGCAGCTAAGCCACACGGAGGCGGCCATGCTGAGGCTTTCAGGGATACCCGAAATTAGACAGGTTGTTTTAATATTTGTGTTTGAAACATGGTTTTTTGAGGAGACAACAAGAATTGATCAGACTCTCAGAAACTACAACGATCTTATTACACTTCTGTTGACAAGTAATGAGCTTAAAATTTTATTCAAAATGTTACTTGAAGTCACAAATTTGATCAATTATGTTTATGGTAGAAAAAGAAAAATGGTGCTGGGGTTCAGAATTGAAAGCCTATACCTTTTTTCAACATATTTTGGAAATCAGAACTATCCACTTTTCGACTTCATTGTAGAAATGCTAATGAAAAACAACGTAAAATTTGAGGAGCTTAGAAAAGCTATGAGCGGGATAGACCAAATTAAAAATGAAGAAATCCCATGCATAAAGGATAGAATAAACAAGGCCATAGCGAGCTACACCGAGTGTGTTCAATGCCTTAGTGAAATAAAGCAGTTCGATACGGCTACTTTCAAAAAGCTTTTGGGATATGCCTGCAAGAAGCTAAAAGAAACGACTGCTGAGTATAGAAAACTAGAAGAGAATGTTGATCTTTTAAAGAAAAAAGTAGGAGAAGAATCAACAAAGCCAATCAACAGTGTGCTTGAGACGATACATTCTTTTGGTACCAAACTTTTAGAAAGCGCAGATAGGAAGATTGCAAAGTCGTAATTCTTGACGCTATAGTTCCAGAAAGAATAGCATTTAACAAAATAAACACGTCTTCAACATTCAATACATTGGATGCTGAACCATTTTAGACTGGATCGTGCAAAATTACAGGATCCGTTTTAAGAAGGTATGGCATGCCCAGTTTGGATATTCAGTCAGTTTTCCTGGATCATGTGATGTGTTTAGAATTATCCCAGCATCACATGCTGCATTGAAATTGCCCCTTCATTGTAGATTGTCGTAGACATTCGTTAATTTGAGAGAAAATATTCTATGTCTCTTATTAAACCCTTTCAAGTATCTCTCACCTTCATCTATCGTTTCAATTAAGGGCGAAAAAAGCTTGACACATCCGCAGCAGAACACGCCAATGCCCAGGTTTGCTATTCGCGATGTTTTATTAAAGACAGGCCCACCAAAGTACATGATGCCATCCTGCTCAGTTCTGAATACCACATCATCTGCAATTCCAATGCCAACCTCAATACCCACTGGTCTCAAAATTTTCTGGATTTTTAATCCAAACAGGGCCGAATGGAGTGGGTTATTAAATCCAATGATGAATAGTTTATAGTTCTTTTCAACCACCCTTCCACGGAACACCTTGGCGTAGAAATCAATAATCTGAACTAAATTTAGCTCTTCTACCCATAAAATTTGATCAATAAACGATTCAAAATGCAACTGCATGTACAGAAAGACAGGGTTGGTGGTGGAAAGCCCTGCCGAGTCTAATCCATTGTGATTTATGTTGAAGTCTATATTCTTAAATCCAAGAAGCTCATACTGTGGATTGGAGTGGTGAGACATCAGTTCCTGAAGACGTTTCATGAAGTTTTCGCGATAAAATTTTGTGTGGATTTCTTTGACTAGTTTGCATTCAATACCAAAATCTGATTTTTGTGTGGAAGAAAACTCTGGCGTATTTGCAACGAAGAACTCCAACGTCTTTGCACAAAAGAAATCATTAAACTGAAATAGTTCATTGTAGTCGGCCTTGTGTCTGAAAAATGAATAGCTTCTCTTTGTAATCAATGGCTGGTATCTACACAAGATTGGAAATGTACACCAGTTTGAGACATTATTGAATACTCTAATGTTTTCAGGCTCAACAAGAACGTCCATTTCAGAAAAATTACAGAAAAAAAGAGGCAAGGAAAAGCTTCTCAGAAACACATGTCTGCTCGTGATAAATGTGAATGACAGTTCAATTCTGGGCTCCATGGCGCACAGTTTTTTGTAGCAGTATTCAGAGAAGTCACAAAATATGTCAAGCAGTGAGTTGGTATGTGCAGACCTGCTAAGAGCTGAAGAAAAGATTTCACAAGCTGCCAGCTTTGCAATTGATTTTGATAGAATAAAGATTGTTATAGGCACGCCACCAATAGCTGTTTCCATCTTGTGCTGCGCTAGTAAAAAATTTCTTTTGGCACAGTCATGCCGTTTGACACTTTTGTACGTTAAAACCGTGGAGGTTAAGTTTGTTGAGCTGTTTAGTATTATGGACCTTGGCTGTTTAACAGCTTTTTCATTGAAGATTTTCTCCAGCGGATTAAATGAAAGATTAAGATGCTGCAAAGAGGCGAATCTTTTCAAATCTATTTCTCTGACCTGGTTTTTTGAAATATTTAAAAAAACGACATTCGAAGCCCTAATACTTTCTAAAAAATTGCCAGAAACGTCAATAACCGCGCACTTCTTTAGCTTTGGCAAACTCTGGAAATAGTTATTTCTAGCCTTGAACAGCCTCAAATTTTGTATTACATTTCCGATTTGTGTGAGCTGGCAATCGCTTATATAAAGCACTCTCATGCTGGGGCATTTGCCTATTTTAATCTTTTCTACACCGTCGGCGAGTATTATTTTTGAATCACACTCCAAAGAATGTGCTATTTCTGTATTTCTGATATTCAAAAATTCACAGCTGCAGTCGATTGTCTTTAGTGGGTTATTGGAAAGGTTTAAGTATTTAAAACAAAACCTCGAGACAAACTTTGCTATTTCGTTGTTTTGCAAGATCAAAACTTTTGACTGGACAGCACAGCATTTTAGACAATTGCTTCTCAGGTCACAAAACTCGAGCATATTTTTTGGCATTGAAATTGATTTCAAATTGTTATTTATAAGCTTTAAATATCTTAAAAATCTAAGATGCTCTAAAGAAATTGAATGTATGGGGATGTGTTCTACAATCAACTTCCTTAGCATATAAAAGTTGATAATTCCTCCAGGAAGAAATGTGATCTGTTGGGGCTTTAATTTAGCTTTTACAAATGTTTTGAATGATGATTTTATTGCATGCTTGCATATTTCAAAGCATTTGAACAAAGGCCGCTGAGAGTCATCAAGAATATACATTGCCCCGTGATCATGAATGAAAACATTAATATCTTCTGTAAATATCGCCTTTATATCCTTTACTGTCGAATCCAAACTTCCCCTAAAGCTTTCCGTTCTTATGAAATCATTTTTGCAATCGTACAAATCAATTTCAAGATAAACACTGATCTTAGAATTGATTTCTGCTCGATTATGATACATTTTAACCATCTTATAGCCATTTATTGTCTCGGTTGTTTTCAGAATAACTTCGGTTAGTTTGGGTTCCATCTGGGCTGTCACAAAGATAAAATTTTGAGAAGTCGTGAAAATCCGCAGGTCTCGTATAGTAAATCCCAGTTTACTGTCATGGTTTTCATTTAACAATTGGCCTATCAAGGTCTATAATACTTTAATACTCCAAAATAACTTTCATGCACAGCAAATTTGGTGCGAGTGAAAGCACAATCTATTCTATAATTTATCTTGCCTTGTCATTGCTTTCTTCACACCTTTCGCAACAGCTCATTCAAGCACAGTCGCTTATTCCATAATCTGAAATTTCTTTTCTAGGATTTTGAGCAACTGTAAAATGACGTCGTACCAAGCGTACTCTTTAACTATGCACCAATGGCAAAACATGAACACAGAACTTTCCATAAACGACCACACAAGTAAACTATTAAGCATCAAACTGCGTCATAACTCTTAAAACATTTAATATATCGTTTCTAATATCTCTTTTGCCTTTTGACCAGTATTTCCAGTAGAATTCCTTATAACCTCATGCAAAAACTTAACTACCCAGTCTTCGGTAATTTTATCAGTTCCAAAAATAGTCTGGATGTCGCAGATTATGTTAAGAGACTCCTTTACATATGCACTTTCTTTATCATGTTGTATGGCAACTTTAATATTGCTCAGTATTTCATTTAGGGATAGACGCATTTCATCGGTATTTCCAACAGATAAAAAGAGACAGCTGAATAGTTGAATTACTGCCTTTCGCAAATTATCAACATAGTCCTCGTCTCCCTCGCGGCTTAGTGTGTTAATTTGAGTTAGCAACATTACACACAATGAAACATATGGCTCAAAGCTTTTTCCAACGGCCAATGCAATATCTCCTAGTGACACAATGATCCTGGGCTTGATTTCTAAGGACACATCAGGTGATGTGATGGCGTTCGCTAGCGCTGGTATAACAGTATTTGTAAATTCAATGAAATTCGATTCTAATAAAATGGCGCAATCAGAAAGGAGATTAAGCGCTGATTTGAGAACAAAGCTTTCATCACTAGAGATGTCCCGCAATGCAAATGGAATAAATCTTTTCAAATATATCGAAAAGTGAGTTAAAAGCTTTGAGATCACAATGTAAATTTCTCCTTGAACAAGCATCTTGGGTAACAAAAGACACTGTATAAAGACTTCAGCTATTTCGTCGGCATCAAATATCTTCTTCATACTCAAACATGACTCAAGAAGTACAATGTAGCTGCACAAAACATCATCAAAAACTAAAAACTGCTGGTCTACGGACGTTTTGACTGTTTGGATTGCAGACTTCACTTTCGTGAGAAGATAGCTTTGAAGCTGGTCAAGAATGTTCTTATGACTGCTTGGGCAGCACAGGATTAGTTCTGATAGAGTCAAGTTTAGAACTGATCTTAGTTCATATTCACTGGGCTCTGCCTGGTCTAGCCTATAAACGAGGATAGACAGAATGTCAGAATAATGGAAAAGCACAATGTTTTCAACTTCTTTAACAATATCAGCCTTCATGGACAATAGTATTGAGTTGTAAACGAGCACTGCGTTCACTGCAACTTTAGTTCTTGACTCTATCAAAATGCCAACTTTTTGTATGATTGTTGGGAGAAAATTAACGGCTAGTGATATATCGTTTTCGCACACCCTTGCAATAGCAAACAATGCCTCATTGACGCATTCATCATGTCCCAGATCATTTATCAATATTGGAAGTACTTGGTACAGAAAGTCATCAGAGCCAGCAGTGCAGATACAGCCAAGCGCAGTTGCTCCGATTGCGTGCTTCTCTAATTCTGATGAACTAAGGTTGTTCAAAATAAAGTTCTGGTACATTTGGTCGCTCAGCAGTAAAATTTTCATTTTCGAGGTAATATCCATCAAAAGTGAGCATGCTGCCTTGTGTGGAGAAGGCGATAAATCACAAACGTCTTCTTTTGTTATACACAGCAGCAGGTTGGGCACAAGTGTTGATACAAGCGGCTTTAAAATCGTGTATTTTTCCAGCTCCAACAGCAAAGACCAAAAGTCAAATATCTGAAGAGGAACCTCGTCGTGTTTGCTGTCAAAATATGACAGATAAAACTGGCAAATAGGCATTAACTCGCTATCAGTCAAGCAGCTATATACATCGACAAATCTATTAATTACCTCAAGACTAATCTCTAGCACTTCAGAATCAGGCTTCTCTGTGGCAAAAATCTTATAAATAAACTCATGCCTGGCATTTTCAGAGCTTAAAATATCCTCAAAAACCTCAAGACAGCTTAAAATGCAACGAAGAGTTGAAAATATAATGTTTCTAGATGGACCTGCGCCAGGCTTTAAGTAAAACATGCTGATATTAAAGATGTCATGCTTTTCATTTCCAAATTCATACAATGTTTCCTCGTACAATTGATCACATGCATGCGCAATGGACTCTAAAATACCCACTGCAAAGCTTTGATTTGAAATGCCAGCCTGCAGGGTTTTTAAAATATCTATGCCTGTTCTATTTGATGTTTCAATTCTGATGATGGAACCGTATATTTTCGTTATGTTAGAAAATATGCTCTGTTCCTTACAGTCAAGATTTTTGTTCAAAAGACTAATAAAGTTTGATCTGAACTCAATAGGACATGAAAGCCAGTTGGATTCATAGCTCTTTTGCAACCTCTGGTTTTTTGAATGCAGGCAGTTCTTCACAATGATTGAGCAAATTTGTCTGCTTGGCTGAGGAACAGACGTGTCAAAGATTATTTGAATGAACAATGTCAGAGAGTCCTGAAAGCTGGATTGAATAAAAGACTTAATCGCTCTTTCAGCTTCGGCACGAATATTTCCATCTGGCTGAAGTGCGTTGTGTAGATATTGCAAAGCAGTGTCTTTATTCATGGGTGTAAAGGATGTAGCCAAAATTTACACGAAGCAGCAATACAGAAAGCGTTCTTGAGAATAGATGCATTAAAATGAATGCACGTATGCATTGGACAAGCAACAAATAGAAGCTTTAAATTCAGCCTAGTTGAAGCCCTTATTACAATTTTTGCTATAACGTGAATACTAGCTAGTACCATGCATTTTCAATAAACTATTGTCTATCAAATGATCCATAATACAGCACGTAACAGCAGTTAAATATCAATAATGCCTTGTGGACCATGCTTTTATTGGTGGCTGGTCATTTGAATGTATTCTTCGAACTCATCGCATATTCCAGACTGCTCACAGTCTAATTCTGCTTTACCATCTAACAAATGGGGCTTTCCATCTTTAAGTTGATAGAAATGAACACTTACCAAGTTTTTAATATTTTTAAGATCGCAAAGTTCATAGCTTGTACTGATTATCAGGAATCGTGCAGTAATTTTTTGAATAAATGATGAGAATATGTCTAGTCCTTCTGTTGGTGTCGTAGACTCTGCAATGCCTTCAAGTAAACACAGAGTATTTTCGTCGCTGTGTCTAAATATCTTAGAAAGCTGGATTACTTCGTTCTGGAATGCACTGTTGTGAACACTGGCATGCTTTTCATTTTGAATTTTGAAAGCTAGCCTTTTAAAGAGCGGATATCTGGCAGATGATTGGTCAACACAGCCCCCAATCTGATTAATGATAATAGACTCGATTAAATCTATTGTGTTAAACCCGCCTAAAAGCACAGATGTTTTGTGAAACGATATGTTTTGGTATTCAAATGTTGAGGATGAACAACATTCTGTAAATGACCCATTTGTATTCAAGTATAGTGAAATACACGAGTCAACCTCGCCGATAAAATCGTATAGTGGTGATAGCTTTGTTTTGTGGATTTTCTCGATAACTCTTATAGAAATTTCAATTTCTCTAGCGTTAATTCGCTCGTAGGGATCGCCAATTTTGGCATCAAGGTTTTTCATATCCTCATTTTTGCAGTAGAACTTGTCCTTAACTGTAAAAATGGTATCTTGAAGCGACTGTCCACTTTCAATAAAGAACCCAGCACCAGGAATGTAAACTGAGCTAATGGGTATTTGGTATTTTTGAGATAGTTTTCTGGTTGTATTTTCCAGGATTAGTGGTATTTTATCAATGAAGCTCCTTAGCTCATCAAGCTTCCTATCCTTTCCGTTAGATATGCCATTTTTATCAAAAATTCTGAGTATTTTGTACAATTTTAAATACCTCTTTCTATTTGGAAGAGCTAGCTTCTCATGCAATAGCTTTTGTATTATCAAAGCTGACTTGATAAACAGCTTCAGTTTGGAAAAATTAATTTTTTGATCAAAACAGTTAATTTTGCACTTTCTCAACAGCTTCAACAGCTTTGGAACCTTGCAAACCATGTACTCGATCTTTGATCTTCTTTCAGCAACTTCCTGTTCTGATATTAGTGGCTGTGAAATCCAGCGAACCAAAGTGCATCTTCCAAACCGTGTAATTGCGTTTTTAACTATCAAATTTAGCCTCTTAAAATCCGTTATATTTGAAATTACAGAATTGTCTATGAAGAATGCCCCAGCATTGACCTTTTCTATTATGTATTCCCCCGCATAACCAACAATCTTATCGCCTTCCACACCAACTAAGGGATAATGGTTCGTAAAACTACTTAGTAATCGAATGGTTGCATTTTCCAGCTTATCAATATCTTTAAAGGCTATATTTTTTGATCTTGTATGCATATATATTACTTTTTCAGCATATTTACTTTTCAGCATTTCTTGAAATACTTCGGAAACGGAAGCAATAATAATGTCCGGAAAACATTCATCAATTATTTTTAATGCCTTAGAAAGAGTAAAGTAGTCGTAAAAGGGAGCGAATATCCTGTATTTGTTTCCATCGTAGTAGCACATTCCAACTCTGTTGCTTTCGTTACAAATAGACAAAATGGAAGATTTATTCATTCCATAAAAACATCACCAAAATTTAAATAAGCCACAGGTCGAATATGTATTGGATCTTTGGTTGAGTCCTTAACGCTGACCATGGCTAATGTATTGCACTCGACCTCAAGGTAATCCATACCAGCAATAGTAGCTACAGACAGAGTATGCATATGGTACTATACAATTCCGTGGTATTAAGCTTAAATACAACCACTATGTTTATTTAAGAATAGGCAATCCTCGGATTTATTGGTCCATGGAGTTTCTAGTTGCCTATCTGTTTATACTAGCACTTTTGAGAGACAAAATTTTTGCTTCAAATAAACTCTTACCCTCGTAAATGGAATGTAGAACAATATTTGAGGAAAGAAATGAAAACATTCACAATGTTGTATGGCTATACCAACATATGGTCCACATCGCAACTATAAATGATAAATATGAAATGCTAGTTCCAGACGCTAGTTTTGATTCCACAAGCAAGTTGAAAATATACTTCAGAAATGATCCAAGAGATACCTTCAGGTATGAGTTGGTATTCAATATTCTCACTAATATTTCGGACATCAAAAATACCACATTCTCGATTTACTACTTTGATGACATGGATGATATGATTCTGCTGTATATTATTTGTATGCATTTAAACAGATATTACAATCAAAATTTGACACTTGAGCATATTGGCGAGCACTATATTTTGAAGAATGGACAGGAAATAGTTCTGCAATCATTTTTCTGAGGTAATTGCTAGCAAATGTGGATTTATTGCCTTCCAGTGGTTCTGATACAGGATAGTGTTAAAGAGTTGAGTATCGACACCAACACGGGTTTGTCTATTTCAGGCACAGAAGTATTAAAAAATTAGTACAATTATGATCAATGTTGCTCGACAGATGTTGTAAAGATAGACATCAACAAATGGCATTTATTTGAAAAAACTTTTAAACTTTTCAACCTCACAGTCAAAAACCTTTGATGAAACAAAATTCTGTATTTTGCACACATCTTCTAAATATTCTTTTTTGACAAGCTTTCCTCCACAACAACAGTACTCTTTTAGCTTTTTCTCTTCACAGCAACCGCATTTGTTGCAGAACCTGTTCCCGAATATTTGCATTTTCCAACAATATTTAAGATATTCACTTGCTTCTTTTTTAACTTGCTCTTGGTCGATTACTGAATAACATTTAATGCAGTGCTTTCTGAGAAAGTTTTCAAATCCGCACTTTCTGCAATATACTGTCAAACTAAACTCTGGCTCATCAAGGTCGTCAAATTCACTGCATCTCATTAGTCGGTAGCAATTTGATGCAAGCCCATGAATATCCCGTTTATAGGAAAGCAGTCGGAGCATTGCTTTGAGGGTTTTTCTGTCGACATGCTTCACTAAGCTATAGACGTCCTCGTTTTTAACTTCAGCGTCTGAAAAGTATAATTTCAGAAATGACAGTGGAATTTTACATTCAGAAAATCCAGAAATAAACTCGTTATTTTCATAGAAGAAATAATTCGTTTGATCTACAAACCCAAGCTTTCCAAATATCCTCAAAACCTTCAAGTTCAATAACTCATATCCTGGAATAGATGATATTTTGTTCTTCAAATACTCAACAAAAGAGTTGCATCCGTCCAAGGTTGGTTTTTCGGTATCTATGATCATCAAATCCTTTGAAGCTGAAACAATCTTAATATGGTTCTCCTTCAGCACTGAAACCAGTCCAATATTATATCGCTGATGAGTAATCTCAATGACCTCTCGAAGATCTGAAGAAATGATTCCAGAGCCCTTTTTAGCCCAATATGGAATTTTCAAGAGTAGTGATTTGAGTCCATCATTTCCCCTCAAAGCATTTAATACCAAATCCTTTAGAAAGGTTTTAAATACTTGAAAATCTTTCCTTTGATATCCATGATATAAGGAAATATCTGAGGCTGTTGCCTTGTATTCAAGAATGGATAAAATAAGTGAATTGGAGCTTTCGAATTGGATGCAATATGAGTTATAATACCCCGACCTATGTGTTTCATCCTTGATCAATTTAGGTGAAAATTCAATGTCTTGAACAGGCATTACACCGTTTCTGAAAAAGTGTCTGTATAGCATCAAGTCAAGAACGGAGTCATCGATGTTCATAATAGGAATTTTTGCGAACTTTGAAATATCCAGGAGATTACTGAAGCATTTTTTCAATTCAGAATTAAATTCAATGTGAATCTTAATTAGGTTTTCAAATGTTTCTAAGAACGAGGTTGCCACTACATCAACTGCGAGCTGATAAAAGTTTTTAAAAGAATCAGATATTGTTGTGGAATTAGCATCTGCTTTGCTGAAAACAACAACTCTATGATTTTTTAAACGAATGTCAATGAAATCCTTCAAACTAAACTTCAGTACATTAGGATGTTTAGTATCCGATACTATAAACGTTTCGGTGGTTGTAATGACAAAGGCTGGCTTTTTTAAATAGTTAAATGAGGATATTACAACGCAGTCAACGGCTCCACACACTAGATCTGTTTGATTGAAAAACTGGTATTCGGGTTTAAATCTGTTATATGTTTTCATAATTGAAAAATGATTCAAGAACTTTGAGTACTTTTTAGATTCCACTTCACTTACTGCCGATTGAATTTTTACCAGATCTTTCGAGAGATTCTGGTCGGGAAGGTACATTTTCACAATCTGGTTTTCAGCAAAGTGCTTTTTGTTGAAAACATCAAGATATAAATCACAAACAAAATCTAAGCTCACAGATTTACCATTCAAGTACTTGATTGTGACATAATTTCGATCAACAACCTCAACCTTGGCTACTATTGATGCAAATGAAAGCTTATTAGTGTAAAACTCCATCCATTTCGATGTATTTGTAGCAATATATTCCAGAAACGCTGAATTTTTCAGACTGACGACTGCTGTTTTAATATTATCCGAAACACCAACAGACACATGCATCATACAATCGCCAGTGATCGTTGTATTAGTTTTTGGTTTTTTTGACTGATTTTTTGTGTAGAACACATCAGAAAGGTTCTTCTTTACAACAGAATCTTCAATGTCCTTGACTACGGAAAACTCCAATCTTTCTCTTTTCGATGCATCCTTCATCCAATTCGGAAGACTAACACTTGGAATCGGATTCTCTATGTTTTGCAAATATGCTGGAATAACGATCAGCCTCTGAAGGATATTTTCAAAACGTTTTCTATAATAACCCCAATCCAATATATCCCTTAGATCTGTATTATTTGCTGTTTTCAACCACTTTTTTAGATAAAAATCCTTTTCAGCACTACGGAATATCATAACAGGTATGGCACGGTCGACAATCGGGGCGCTGGTTGGAAATTTACTGATAATAAATTCACACTTGAGCTTTTCTTCGAGAATGTCATCACCCAGGAATTCAGAAAGCCTTTTGGCCGTGCTCAATATATTTGATTTTCTATTTGCATAGCTTTCAACACTCTTAGACATATTTCTTGACTCGGAAAACAGGTAAAATATTGATTCATCATCCAACGGACCTCCTTGTTGGTCAATAATGCCCATCCAGTAGTTGCAAATACTTGCCAGCGAATCGTAGCATTCTTTTAGGGTTGTACCATCATTAAAATGATTGAAAATATCCTCTTGGAATTTTTTAATAAAATGCAACTCGCCCCGGCGCTTAAGCTCAAATCCTTTGAGTTCTACAATCTTATTATCCTCATTAAAAACCACATAGCGCTTTTTTAGCAGCTTGTTCTCTTCTGTTGACGACGGAATGACCATAGTTTTGTACGGACCATCAAGCTCGAAAAATATTGAATTTTGCTGCACTGCATCAAATCCACCGTGACCATTAGCTACTTGGTATTGATGGTTTGTGAACTTTTTACAGACAAAATAATTTAAAATCAGACTGAGAACTGAAACACTCTTGCCGTTAAATGAAATTGTGTGTGGAAACCTGATGGGCAACATTCCCCAAATGCCATCAGTATCAAGCTCAAGCGGCATTCCTATCTTTTCAACGAGCTCCTTTGCAAGCCTGATAATTTGGCCACCAACATTGCACACCGTAGCTGCCATCTCCAAAGAAAACCATCTGGATCCCTCCCTCATGGCATATCCATAGAACGAATTTAAAATACATTTGTATGCAACCTGCAAGCTATTATAAACAACAAGATTCTTTTTGTTCTCACTCGTTGGGTTCTTTTCATACTCTTGAGCTGCCTTTTTGTACAGATTCTTGTAAACGTATCTCTGGTCTCTGAACTTCCGGACAGTTTCAACATAAAAGGGTATTTCTCTTTGGCAGATATAAATATCCTCTTTGTTTTCCTCCACCTTTTTAACTCTCTTGTATATCTTCTTTGAGTATTCACTTATTCTATCTTTCAATATTGCATTTCTCCTGCCTTCAGGCAAGTCTTTATAGGCAACTTTTTCTAATATGCCACTATTAAAATCTGCAAATGTTTCATTTTCAAGTTGGTTCCGAATCATATTAATTTCATTTGCTTCTGGTGGCATATACTCAACCCTTGAAATCCATTGCATTTTCTTTCTGCATTGATTTTTCTCATCGTTATAATCACATCTAATGCAAACGTCATCGTTTACAACCGAAATCGGCTGTAGCCTGTTTGTAAGTATAATATTAGGATACATAGCACCAACATCCAGATGGTAGATACATCCCTTACTCATTATTTTGCCTATGCAACTTTTAATCTCGCAAATGTATTGCTCCTTCTTTGCTTGGTAATCAGTACAGCTGGTGTAATCTTCTAATATTTGGTCAAGATTGTCGATAATAAGCTCAACCACCTGATCGTCTATATTAAATTCCTGGTAAAAGTCAGACCTGTAGATGCCAGCTCTAAGAGACTCTACATGGCCACCTACATACGTAAGATTTTCAATCAAACGGCCTTTGTAGTACTCGAGACCATCAGTTCTTTTTTTAAGTGGAACAAGAATTTTGTAGCTAACAGATTCAGCTAAAAGAAGAGACTCGCAAAGGGTTCCGGCGCCTTTACACAAAACCTGCACAGGTGGCAATGGTATCAAAGAACACACAGAGAAAATGTGGGAATGCACGTACTTCAGATAAAGATAATAGGTCGCTACTGCATCAGAGACTGAATACGAGGCAAGTCTCTGTGGATCTTCTGAAGCTAGCCTAAACATGTCTTCGGGATCTATCTCATCTGGAAAATACCCAAGTTTTATACGCGCCACGTCCTTCAGGCCCTGGTTATTCATTGGCAAGTACGAGTCTCTCTTAACCCATTTATAGCAGTCCAAGTGAATTATGAAGGGGCAATCAAAGTATTCGTTTACCTCTTTAAACTGTATAGAATTAAATAAATTCATATTGTACTTGCTTAATCTTTTGCAAATAAATGGCCAGTCAAAGAAACTACCGTTGTATGTTGTTATAATGTGTGGCCTGTGTTCCAAGATTACTTCCAAAAAGCGTATTAACAGGGCTTCCTCCGAGGGCTCGTTAGAAACCCTGAACATGCACCGCATGTCATCTTTAGCATGATATTCAAACACTTGGATGTCCTCTGAGACAATTTGTCTATTAGTTATTAGTTCGCCGAACTCGTCAGTCATAATTGAAATCATCATCACCTGATCAGACTCGGGATTTGGGAACTTTAAGGGTGGTTTGGTGGTTTCGATGTCAAACGCAAATATCCGTAGGTCTGGATATGCAATCTTCTGCTTGTCGAGTTCAATTTTATAGCTTTCACCATCATATGATATTTCATACCAGCATCCGCATCGTATTTTGTGTTCATTTCCAACGTGAATTTCATAAGGTATGTCGTACTCGTGGATTTGAATGATCTCACTTGCTATATCATTCGCACACTTCTCCTGGAATAAATCTGAATAAATTTCATTTTTGTACCTGTTTTTGGTGCTTTCTAGAATAACATCCTTTAAGTTTTTTATGCACTCTTGAAATGATGTTTCTGTCCTGAAGTATAGTTTTAAGAATTTCTTCGGTGGTTTGTTAAGATGATTATACTCCTTAACATCGATTTTCTCAACTACTTCAGTGCTTTGTATACATCCCTCATATCGCTTTTTAAGATATCCTTCTACACTACTTAGTTCTTCCTTACACTCAACGATTATTGAAGGAAAGTATGGCACCTGCACTTTAAAGTTATTAGAAAACTCATCCACAAAATAAAATGTCACGTTTAGGCTGTCGTTCTTGTTCTTTTCAATGCTATATGACAGGAGCCATCCGTGCTTTGGTTCAAAGCCGTAGTAAAAATCATATCCAAACTGCAAGTCAAGGAGACTTTCTTGAACAAGATTTGATCCATCCATGGGCTTGGTCAAAGCTGAAGATAAAAGTCGTAACAAATATTTGAGCAATGCAAATCAAATGAACGAGTATTTCATCTGCTATTTGCATAGCTAGTGTATAAGTAGATTGCAAACCATCAATATAGCTTTAACTGTACAATGTCTTTATATTGCTTATCTAATATCATCAATCTTAAACAACAAATGCTAAAAGTAACATTTTAATTAGCTGCTGATCCAGCTCATTGATTTATTTTCTTAAATGCCTCGTACATTTTCATTGCCAATCTTTGATCATCAAGCGCTTTTAGTATCTGGGTAAATTCAAATCTACCAGCAGAAATTGTATTGAAGTTCTTGATAAAATCCTCTTTTGGTTCGACGGGAAACGCGAATATTTTCAAGTAGTCCATTATTACCTTAAAATAGGGTATACTGTCAAACTGCGCCTTTAATGTAGACTCCAAACTCTTCATTTCCCCTACTAATTGCATTGATATTTGGCTATTCATTTTTAATAGTCCAATCCGAGAAAATAGCTGCGACATGCACAATTCAAGAATGTAGTATCTGACATCATCCGGGATTAGACTATGCCCATTTAGCAAGCTTTTGTAGGAGCTCTCAAAAATCCAAAACATTCCCCGAGAAATTGTTATTAAATTCATGTTCAATTTTTATGGCCTGCTGCCTTTCAAGTTTTCTAGATGCTTCCATCGATACCAGCTGGAATTCTATTGGGTGCCTCAGTGAGACATTGTTGACAAACTCTTCAAGCACATGTTGAATATATAAAATCGTTGAAATAACCACTATCATTTTGGCAGGGCTGTCTTCTATTTTGGTTTGCCTGATAAGGTTAAAAAGACATCTATCAACGATTGTAACAAGTTTTATGTAGGCTTCTCTGTCATCAATATACAATGCAATGCCATATGCGTATTCCAACTGTTTGAAAAACTCAATATAGCTCTTAATGATGTTCTTTTCTATTATACTCTGCTGAGGACTGACATCTGAGTTTTTCGAAAGACATTGTTCAAAAAAGATTTCAATATAGGGTACACAGACACGAGACAGCATCCTCTTGTGAATGCACTCGCTAAGATTGCTTTGATTGTAACTGACAGCACTGTCATCATCAGTATTGCCTGCTGGAGAAATGCAGCATTTTTTATTGTTGAAAAAGTTCTCTAGCTTTCTTTCAAAATTAATGGTGTAAACTATTCCAGCTGAATATGAATCAGGCATAACTTCAGAGGAGAAAAAATACTCGCACAGTATCTGTTTTATCATTACCAAAGACCTATTCACCAGCTTTAGATCTATATTCCAATCTATGGGCGTATTGCTGTAGAGGTTAGAGACATTGTCAGCTGTCTGTTCCAAAAAATCAAAAATTTTCCTCAGGGAACTTGGATTCTGAAAATTTTGCTGAATAAACTGTGAGATGTCAGCCGATTTTCTAGATACAACAAAGTTACAAACTACCGATCTGACTAAGCTTATATGATCTTCGCCTAGCAATACAGATAGCTTTATGAGTGGCTCTGGTATTTTGGAATCGGAGTTTAAAGTCTTCAGAATATTTGATATGGTAAATTGTTTGAGATGATCCAGGTCCGTCGTTGTTAGGGTCATATCTTTATAGTTATGATTTGGTTTTGTGGTTTTTGATTCTATAATCTTACAGATCTCCATGAAGCTACCCGAATTGCACATTTTCTGAAGATGCCTGTTCATTATTTACTGCTGTTTCGAAAATTTTCTAATAGTTGATCTTCAAACAAAGTATCCGAGAGATATAAAACATGGCATTCACATATAGCTATATAATAAGCACATTCACCAATATTTACTAGGTAAGTGTCCAGTGTTTCAAGCGGGCAATTTTACAACAAAAATTTTCAAGCATCTTTTTGCCAATCCCATGCGTACAGACACGTGTGAAAACAACGAGTCTGACAATTCAGAGAAAGCCTATGATGATCTGTGGATACTCAAGTTTATGAACAAAAGGCAAAACAGATACTTGGAGCGTATTCAGGATTCATTTTTACAGGATAGATTTAATTTCTATGGTTTGAGGGAAAAAGTAGAAGACTTTGATGATGCATACTTGGCAATCCAGGATCAGAAGCCATCAAAAAACTTCTCAGTAGAGAGCATGCTGTACATACTTGCGCATCAAAGATATGTCTTTACAAAGACTGGAGCAGACAATGTTTTAGACAGGGTTTTGAACAAAGAGTATGGCACATGTCCCAGATACGGATGTAAAGACATACCCTTGATACCAATAGGACTTTCAAATCAAATAGGAAAGGCATATACAATGGCATACTGCCATAATTGTAATAACCTTTTTGAGGCTAGAGGAAGTCTTAAGAAGCTCGACGGAGCTGCATGGGGCAGTGGATTTGCACACTTTTTGATTTTGACATATCCATACCAGTTTGAGAAAAGATCCTTTAGGGAATACACGCCAAAGATATTTGGATTTGGCGTGACAGAATTGGAGGATAACGATGATTCATCATAAAAGTGCATATTAAACCTGCCTTTATTTAATACCATAAATTTCACTGAACGCACCGAAGACATGTTTGCGATGACTTATCCATACAGAATTATGCTATTAGAATTGGTGCTTGTCAGTGCCAACTCCAATAATGATGCAAAGTTTTGTTTTCAAAGTTCTTCCTCTTCTATGCTCATTCCACACTCACAAATACTTATATTCCCCTTGCTGATAAACTTATGGATATGCTTTTCTTCATAGTGAGTAAGAAACGTTCTTTTTTTCAAATCTTTTACTCTTCTTCTCACGCTTTCCAGCTTTCTGGTTTTGTTTTTAATTTTTCTATCTTCTTTTAATTTTTCAATAGTCTCCAGCTTACCATGCTTGCCTACAGCAAATTCTTGAATCTGACTTTCAATAAATAGTTGCATATCATTCCAGGTGTTCTTGTGTGGATTGGGCCTTGTTAAGTACTTAAACTGTTTCAACTCGTCTGGTGTTAGCAAATAGTCCTGCAAACATTTTGTTTTTGTTATAAATTTTAGTTCTGTTCTTGAACAGGAAGTACAAACACTAATATCAAATACATTCTTAACTTCGTAATCCAAAGGAACTCTTCCACAATGCATGCAACAGTCTTTTGGTTTTACTGGAACAAGAATTGATACAAGAATTGATGGATCCTCAACAACGTTCTTGAAAGCAGCGCTGCTTTCATTTCGAAAAAATCCGCACTCTTCGTTTTCAAACTCATCTTTTCCATCCATGAAAACTGTTTTCCACTGTGGGGTGTGTGTTAGATACAGACTTTTAACAGAGCTACATTCAAACATCCATAGAATTTAAAAATACCATATACAACTAAATGTCGTGTGATTTGGATTTATTTTGTAATGGAAAGGATCTTGGCCAGCAGTTTCATATCAAATATTGACTCCGTATTGGCTGGAAAATGAATGTTTTCATAATAGTCTGAAATAACATCAATAACAAACTTTTTATCAACGTCTGTCATTTTGGAGAAGCTTGTTTCAAAGAATTTCATGCATTTCTTCCTTCTCGACTTCAAGTCTAATTTCTTGGCGGTTGATTTGAAAGTTTCAATTTCATTTTGATCATCTTCCAAATACTTAACAAGCAGCATACGAAGAACATCAATGAAATTAAAGTCTAAAGTGCAAGCATTTGTAATGAAAAACGTGATTATTAGCTGCTTGACTGCATTTCTTTTAAGCCTTGACATTCCAAAATTCATACATACTAGGCCAAGACAAATTTTGTAAAACTGCATACTTTCAAAGTCATATCCCTTAAACGATACCATGTCCTTCTTTTTAAAATCGAACAGGGTGCATTCTTTCATGTGCTTGACCTCCTTGGTCTTTAATATCTGTCTTCTTAGAATTCTGCATAATCCGATATCGCATGTGCCACATTTCATTATTGACAGCGCAACTAGTGAAAAGTTAAATAAAATCTGAATATCTTGGTTTTCCAGCACATAATCCTCTACAAATAGTGTAAAATCATATATTTTGTCATACACATGCTCCTCAGGGGCTACATTTGAGTTAAGATAATACAATGAAATGTAAAAAATTCTAGCTGCGACCTTATAAATCTGAGTTGGCTGGGCCTGGCATGGCAAGATATTCATATCGTTCATCAGAGACTTAGGTGCTGCAGAGAAATCACATGTTAGCTGGAAAAGCGTAGAATAAAAAATTTCATCCGGTCTACCATCATCTGATCTACTGAAAACAGTTGAATTGATACCCGAATTAACTGATGATAGTCCAGTAACTACCAACTCACAAAAGCTATCATTAAAACTGGCAATTAAAGGATGCTTTGCAACCATTGCTGTGCAAATAGCAGCCAGCTTTCGATACTCACTGGTATAAAACAAGGTGTGTCTATCTGATTTTACCGGTCCGTATCTTTCAATCTCATTTTTAAGAACATACAGAATGTTTCTATCATGGCTTTCCAAGTTATATATTGCTAATGCACACATAGAGGATTTTTTTAGATCCAAAACACTCCCCTCCAAAGCCGATTTCATCATTGTGTTAATGCCGTGGTTCTTCCCAAGGTCAGACCGGACTGGATATGTAGATAATACAAGATAGATAAACACAAGCACTGAATCATTTGCAGTCTGCGCCAGCTTCAAATACTGTTGTAGACTATCTTGTGAAAGCCCGCTGGCCAGGCTTTGTCCGAAGGCATGGCCAAGCTGCTCATAGATGTTCTGAAATGCTGGTTGTTTGAAATATGAAAATAGACAGGCAGAGCTTAGAAATCCCAACTCCTTTGGCAATTTATCATCAAGAGGCAATGAATTGAGCTTGAGCGAAGATTTATAGACAGACTTGTAATACAATGATTTGTGATTGGCAAAGTATGGCCCAATATTGCACGAGCATCTTAGAAGAAACGTGGATTGTCTGAAGTTGTTGACGTCTGAAATATCCTGCTGAAGAGATATTGAATTTTCCAGTAAAATTTGAAGAACCTCTTCAATTCTTGGATCTTCATAACGAGCATTTACCAGCTTCAGGAAACTTTGGTTGTATACGACAATATCCTTAAATAGACGTTCAACATTCAAGTCCTTAATATAGTCCCTCTCCATTTTGATAATTCTATACGCGAGATTCTTACTATTGGTAATTTGAGGGTTGTATTGAAAGATTCTATGGTAGTGTCTGTTTATAAACTGTATTTCTCTACTTGACATTGCACCTCTGAATTTAAACTTAGGCATTTGCCTTAGAACTGACAAATCAGGTTTTTCATAGAATGACGAACGTTTAGACTGCTCAGCCAAGTTCTTGAATGCATTATTGCCGCTGTCAACTATAAGTGATGTTATGCTCTTTGAAGAGTGGATCAACCTGTCCAATACATCAGTAATGATATCAAACTTTGCACCTGAAAATATTGATTTTAAAAAATCAATCTTGTTTCTGATAGGAGACAAATTAAACGCCCGATATTCTGTTGGAGAAATTTGAAACTTTGCTCTGAAATCGGGGGTTTTCTTATTTTCAATTTGACAAACCAAGCCTGATCTTTGGTTTTTAAAGTTGTCTGGCTCAGATGTAAGTTCATCTTTATAGTATATGGCATCTTGTGTATTTGCAAATTCAATTTTGCCATTGTTGCTTCCGTCTCTTTCATGTTCAGGCCACATCTGTGCAGATCTAACTTCGTATCTGCTTGTCTTTATATTGTACATAATTGTAGGCTCGTCGGAATCGGTCTCCTTGATAACAACGTCAGAGGATAGCAATTCGCTGTGGTAAAATAGTGCTGCATGCTGCAATTCATGTTTCATATATTCAAATACAAAAAACTTTAATTTTCTGAATCTAAGGCCGTAGCACTTCGAAATTGGCCCCGAAAACTTACACTGTACATCGTTTGAATCACGAAAGTTAATGAATAAAGCGCTATTTCCTGCCATTACCACGAGAAAGTTTTCATAAATTGTGCAGTTTGTATATAATTCTGGGCAATTCTCGTTTTTCTTATGGCTATAGCATATCTTCTCGTCGCGCATGTAAAAGAACAGCGAAATCCTAATTCCATTACAGTAGACCCAATATGACATGTCAAGCTTAACGATCAAAGATGAATTTATAAGGCCTACTATTTCTCCCATTCCTAGAAATTGAAAATTTCTCATGTCATCTGTTACAAATACAGAATTAAATTGATTTTGGATGTAAAGTAGTTTGTCGGCAACGATCATTGTATTTTCAAACCTAATGACCTCTTTGTCGTAAATAATGAGCTTTGCATTGTATTTCACTCTTCTACCTTTAAATTTTGTGTGTTTGTATTTTTCAGGAGATGGAGCCGTTCCGGTTTGTAGAGTTGAAATCTCCATGGAAGGGCAATGTCAAAACAAAATTCCATTTCTAAAAAGGCTGCCAAAATATTAGTAATGCATCTGTCACAAACAACTGGTCCATAAACGCCAGCTTTTGAACTAACAACTAAAATCATTATCAAGTCCCATTAGAATATATATATTTATAAGGTTTTAAAGAAACTGGATAGCTTGCCAAGTATTGTAAATGTCGCTTCTATAACGAGCAAAAACCAAACCAAAGATATAATTTACTTTATGACCTAAGAATATAGACTAAAACTATAATGGACACGAGCAAAATCACTATTAATGTATTCCTCTTGTCGTGGTCTAGTCTATTTAGCGCCTCTGAGAACAGATGCTGGTTTCTCTTAAATGAGTCGTTGTTGTGGCTGGCCTGATGCTGGATAGATTCAAGCATTAGTGATTGACTTTTGATTTTATCAGAAATTTCAGATACCTTTTTTGACAAGTCAATTGTAAAGGTTTGTAATTTTTCATTTCCGCCCTCCTGCATGTCGTCCAATATTTGTTTATTAGAACATATTTACTATGTTTCGGCAGTGCGGTGTCACGTCATGATAATCCCGATGATTTAGGTTTTACAGCTCTAATTAGCTTGCTAGCTTGTCTGATCAAAAGTAGTTTCATGCAGTTGATTCAGTACCATGCTGAAGAAAAGTAGATTTGGCCAATATAATGGCTATTTATAGACTGCTGTATTTATACATTCTTTCGCTTCTAAATCATGCTGGTGACCATACCAATCGTGTAGATTGATATTTGTTGACATTTGCTATTTTTTCTTTGCTTTTTTGAACCGACATGTTCAGAGCTCTTGACCAACGAACTCAAAAATTCTACAACACTGTTGCAAAGATGGTTTCAAAAATCAACAGCAGGCGCTCTACAATCAAATCGGAAGTGTATAAGACCAACGCACCAGAGAGATATCAAGCTTTGCTTCACAAAGTCTTAATCAACTATCCAGTGCTCCAAAAAGTCGTAAAAAAGACAAATTTTATGAAAAACATACCGCTTGGTACAGTTGTAGCATATGAGATTCTTACCAAAAAGATTAAAAACGATGGCTATAGGAGAAAATTAAAGCAGGCGCTGGGAGATGGAAGGCTAAAAGGCCCAGTTACAAGAACATTTGTACGAATTAACACTTTGAAGGCAACTGAGGAGGATTTGAAAGATTTTAATATTAGAAAGACGTGTATTCCACATGTCTATGAAGTTTTGAACAACTGTGTTAATGCAGACAAGAATAAAGATGAGGAAAATGTTAATGAAGATACTGAAAGACATAATGTTCACGATGAGTACGAGAGTAAAGAGAATGCAGTTGAAGCCGTGGTAGGTGATAGCAATGACAGTATGGAAGAAGAGAATTGTGAAGAAAACAACGCAGATGGAAACATTGATGTTGAAAACAGTGCAAATGCTGAAGAAAGGACCAAAGGTGCTCATAAAAGAATAAAAGACATCTTTACTAGCAAAATGTTCCTTGAAAAAGTCAAAATTCAAAATTTTTCATCATGCCTCCCTGCATTTATACTGAATCCTGAAATGAATTCTACTGTTATTGATGCAGCAGCCTCTCCTGGCAACAAAACCACTCATCTGTGTTCAATAATGAATAATACTGGCAAAATATACGCATTCGAAAGAGATGCAAAAAGATATCAAACTCTTGTTGAGCAGATTGCGAAATATGGTGCAGAAAATGTTGAAGCTATTTACTCAGACTTTTTGAAAGCGTCTCCAGAGCAATATAAAGCGGACTACATTCTCTTGGATCCATCGTGCTCTGGTTCTGGAATACATGTAAACTATGTCAAAAATCAGCAGAGAATCAATAGACTGAAAAACTTTCAGGCAATGATGCTAAACCACGCGTTTAAATTCAACCCCAAAGCAGTAGTATATTCCGCCTGTTCGTACCACAAAGAAGAATGCGAAGATGTCATTAAAGAAGCCCTTGAGAAAAACCCAAGCTATGAGCTTGAAAAAATAGATAACTATACAGGGAAAAGAGGATATGAAGGCTATGAGTTTTCAGATAAAGTCATAAGAACATCCAATGATGATGAAACAGGCTCTATTGGCTTCTTTGTTGCGCTTTTTAGGAGAAAATAAGTAAATTTGGTTTGGCATCTCAACCCTTTATGCTTAAGTGCACTTTGATAGGCTTTCTATCATTGATTTGCTTCGCTGATAACGACTTCCAATTCAGTGTATCCATTCAACGATGGATCTTCAATGAAAATTCCTCTACTTTTAAGACCAATATTTAACTCTTTCAGATATTTTCGAACATCCTTATCATATCTGTCCAAATCTAATGCTGCTGGTATTACGAGAAACATTTTAATGGTATTCAAAATGCTTGGTCTTTCTTTCCTAAGCATTATTTTGTTTAAGCCTTCTACGTGAGATCTCCACTCCTCAGCATCTATTTTATGAAGAAGATCCTGCGGTATTTCTGTAATAAACGTGTTTTTCATAGTTCTTGGATCTTTTGGAATTCTTAACACTTTTCTTATTCGCTGCATTTTATTGTACCAAAAATTTTTGAATAATCTTAAATCTTTAGCCAAAGTAATGTAAAAGACAAAAACTACAAATGACATACAGACCAGCTCCATTCCAAGCTTGTGTGCTTGGCATACATTTCGTGACGTTGTGTTCAATTGCTTGAAATTAATCAATACAAAATTAAAGTTAACGTGTTTGCTATGAAAACTTAACAGTAAAGTTTTAACTACTCGGTAAATATTTTAGGCTGCCATCCCATTGTCTGCTACAAAACTTGATGTAAGAATTAACTAAGCATGATGAACTCAGAGTAACATGCTCTGCATGGCCTTCTCATTTAATCTTTTTGAGGACTTGGTCTAAAAGATCATTGACTGATGCCCTGTTTGATGTATATTTCTCGATGTTAGGCACAACACACTCCTTGATTACATTGTCAGATAGGATGCTGAGACAAAAGAGCGCGCCGTACTGTACACTCTCAGGCTTTGAATCGTCTAGCCATCCCTTAAGCAAAAAGCTAACAATTCTAGAAGGTAAACTTTTATATTTTGGACTAAATACATCGAAGATATACTTTATCAGATCAGTTGCCAGTCGTCTGGCTTCTTCCGATATTGACTTTCCAACAACACAAGACAACAATGGCGGGAGAATTTCATGTAAATATGGATCTATAAAAATATATTTGTTTTTGAGTAGACTGCCATACATCTTTACGATTACGGCCAGTAATTCATCGTTTTCAAAGTTTTTTCTAATTACTAGCTTGAAGTGGTGAAGAAAATACGGTACAAGTTGTTGAATGCCTGTTTCATTTAGAAGACACGAAATGGCTGTTTCTGGATCAGTTTCCATAGTTTGTAGTATTTTTTCAAAGTACATGGACAGTTCTTTTGTGAGTAAGTGCTTGTTCTGCTGCTTAAGCTCAAGATCCTCTTGATACATGGACAGACTATCCTGCTTGGCAGCTGGCTTCTCAATTAGAATAGGGTTCTGTTGGATTGGGGGCTGCACACCTTCAATTGCAAGCCAATGGCTTTGGACATACGGTTTAAGAGGGATTTTTGGAAGTGGTTTTTCGAGGTATTCCTCAAGATCGATTTCTTCGTCCGGAACACAGTAGAACCCCGAAGGAAGTCCTCTAAAAACCAATGTATCATTTGAGTCATATCCAAAAAGAGGCTCTACATTTCTGCTTATTAATGCATTGTTGACATCCCCAATATTTAGCTTCGTTCTGTGAGATACAACCATGAACTTTGAAGCCTCTTGGCAGAGTTCCTTAATTCTGTACTCCAAATCCTGCGACAGTATTCTCAAGGCATCGTCGTCTATGCTTGAGATTCCCCTTGACTGCGCAAATGCCCTAAGTGTCTCTTTAGAAAAAAGCATGGCTATTCAACAAAATTTTTACAAGTAATGAATCGTGTTGTCCAATAAAATAAACCAAAACATAATGAACTAAATTTCAAATATAGCATTACTAAATATTGCTATGCTCGGTTTTATTATCTCTTATAGTTGAGTATTAAACTGCATCACATGATTGCAAAACTACTGTATCGCCAACTTGTCTGAATATTAGTTTGTTGGCGCATTTTCAATTTTGCTCTGAAACGGGCCAAACAAAATTATCTGGCCTATTGGTTATATATAAAATGGGAGATGTAAAGGAGAATCAAAATGGAAATCAAAAAAAATGCAATGGCTGAAAAAGCGGATGAGCTACAGAGGATTAAGCTAAAACTGAAGGATCTAATATCAAAACAATTGAGTATGAATGACTATGTGCCCATAAATCTATACGAAATTAGAAACTACATCTATTACGGATTTTCAGACAAAAGTCTTAGGCCAAGCTACTGGAAAGTGTTGTTAAACTACTATTCACCTAACAAATTTAAGTTGGAGCAGTTTTATAAACAAGCCAGACAGGCCTACACCGATATCTTGAATAAGACACATAAAAGCAATAGCAATGTAAGGAAGCTTACGAGTATTATAAATGCCGAGCTAGAAAGGACTGATTTTGATAGGATACAGAAGGCATCTATAGGAAGGATTCTCACTGCCTTTTCAATTATAAATCCCAAAATAGGATATGTTCAGGGTATGATTAACCTTGTGTACGTGCTATACTTTGTATTATCGGGTGATGAAAATATTGAAACAGCCAAATTTGCAGAAGAAGATGCGTTTTATTTATTTAACAATCTGATATCAGAAATGTCAAATCTCTTTATTGATGAATTTGACGACCAAAAGCAGGGAATAAGATATAAGGTAAATGAAGTATTTCAAATAATCAAGACTAAAGATCCAGAGCTCTATAACGCACTGGCTGATAAAGATCTGATCAAAACGATGTTTCCGCTAAAGTGGATTCTGTTGCTTTTTTCCGCTGAATATCCAATTGATCGGACAGTTTGGCTCTGGGACAAGATACTCAGTGATGCATATCGGTTTGAAATTTTACTGTACTGTGCTGCGGCTGTTATCATTCTAATGAGGAGTATAATTCTGACAGAGACTTATGATAAGTGCCTTGCAATTCTTCAAAAACCCTCGGCCATAAATCCTGAATTGGTGTTTGATATTGCCGATACCATGAGAAGAGACGATCGTGACATAAATCAGATAATAAAAGAGAGGATGGAAAATAAATAAATTATATCGGCATAACTTGTCAAAATTATATGCATGATAGTTTAGCACACTTCGTTTGCAAAGCGCAAAAACTGAATTTTGAAACCTGCAATAATAGCTTAATACTGAAACACTAAGATTTAAAAATGGCAAATCTGTATGGAAAATTTTTACTTTTCCGTGCCCAATGCCGGAGGAGTTTTCAGAAGGCTCAGCAAAGATCGTCAAAGAGGAAAACACATTTTTTAATCCTGCTCAAAAACTGAACAGAGATCTATCGGCTGAAGTTATTAAGACATATTTCAGCGGGAAGGAGAACATTAAAATTTTAACTGCAATGTCTGCGACAGGACTAAGGGGAATCAGATATTTAAACGAAATTCCCAACTCCACACTATTTTTCAACGACATTTGTCCTAAGGCAGTTGAAGCCATTCAAGAAAATCTTAAATATAATGGAATCGATACATTCAAAATATTTTCAGAGCACGAAAACATCAAAGAGTATAAGCATAGAGCCAACGTGACCAGGAATGACTGCCACGTTCTGATGAATAGGTTCCATTCCTTCTTTGACGTAATTGATATTGACCCATTTGGAAGCTGTGCAGAGTTTGTAAATTCTGCATTTAAGGCGATTAGACATAATGGGCTAATCTGCTTTACATGCACTGACAAGGCTGCACTATGCACAAATGAGGCAAAATGCTATATGAGGTACAGCACACTTATTAAAAAAATATTCTGTAAAAACGAAACCCCCATCCGTGCTCTTTTGAGCTATATTTCAAGAGAGTTCTCAAAATATGATGCAAGAATTTTGCCGGTATTGAGCCTGAGTGTGGATTTCTATGTAAGAGTGATAGTAAGGGTTTATAAAGGCCAGGGAAAGTCTGTTTTAAAGGATAATTCGCATTTCTACATTTGCGAGTGTATGAATATCTTGGAGCTGCCTCCTGGAGGTACCAATACTAACTGCTGTGCACATTGTGGCAAAAAAATGAAATTGTACGGCCCTTTTTGGAACAAAGAGCTGCACGACAGTCAAATTATAGACAACATTATTTCCTCAGTTAGCGAAGCAAGCAATGAAAGGATGATTGGAATACTAAAGTTGATGAGACAGGAGTTGCCGACAATGTTTTACTATGAAGTTCCAAAGCTAGCATCTTTTTTGAAAATCAACTGTTGTAAACTTAGCGATGTGATGACAGGATTAGCAAATGCTGGCCATCTGGTGTCCCTCACACACTGCGACAACAACGCGTTTAAAACCAACGCACCTATTGATGTTATTAAGTCTTTAATGGTAGAACTTAACTCAAAGGCCTTGGTTAGCTTTTCATTGTCTAAAAACATATCTGTTGACAATATTTTTGCACAAAATTTCTACAAAGGCAAAATAAAGTCAGGTCTAAAGCCACTGTCTTTGCCAAAAAAATAAAGACAAGGTCTTATTCGTATGCTCGCCCTATTGCCCTTGCTTGAATGCTTGTCATATTCTCCACAGTGCTAAAATGTTTGGAATCTTGATACTGCTTAAGCGCAGCTAAAAATATGATGAGTTATTAAAGAAACTTAAGAAAGCTTTTATTAGTTATTGTTGTTTTTGACTCAATTTTTCTTTCTTATTTTTTAGAATTGTCTTGATTTTGTTTTCCAGGAATGCTGAAGAACTGACCATTTCCTTAAGCTCTTTTTCGTGGACTGAGAAGAACTCTCTTGCCATTTTCTGCGAAAACTCAGTTGAATTGTTAGCACCAACAACATTCCAGTCTTTTTTATAAAGTGAGGCCGTCCTTTCAACGACATTGGCAAGACTTTGAATTAATTTTGAAGTTCCTATGCTCGACAGACCTTCTTTTGATTCCGAATTCGATGATCTTGGCTTTCCCGAAGTGCTTTCTGCCCTTCTTTCATTTTTGGCCTTATAAAATGATATACGCAGCTTACTGTTGTCCAGCAAGGTACCATCCATCGCTTCAAAAGCCGCTGCAGCCTCCTCCGGTGTCTTAAAGCAGATATATCCAAATTGTTTATTGTTCTCTGAGGATGTCTTTTGTAGTTTAATGCTGACAATTGTTCCGAACTTACTGAAAAGATCTCGTATTTCATCTTCTGAAAATGTTTCTGGAATATGAGCGATATAGAGATTGTTCTTTGAATTAATGCCTTTAAGAGACAAAGCCTCGAGCTGCTTGCGAATGGTCTCCTCTCTTTCTTTTCTTCTCTCAGCCTTTTGAATATAAAAGGGGCAGGTGGCAACAGAACTATCCTGGCATTCCTCAAGGGAGAATATGTGTTTGTTGTGAAGATTCTCAACAGCCTTGGCTGCATCTTCTGCTTTTTCAAAATTCACACAGGCGAAGCCTACAGGCTCGGATTTTTCATTTAATGGCAAATAAATGGAGCAAATTGGCCCATACTTTTCTAAAATGTCTTTTAATTTCGCCTCTGTTAAGCTACTTGGAAAATTTTTAACAAAAACATTTGTAAAAGAGGATGTAGAAGAGGAACTATCACTGTGTTTCTGATCTCGGAGGGATCTATCAAATCTAGAGATGCTAAGAGTTTTTCCCTCAAATTTCTCATCTCGAAGATCCGCAATCGCCTTATCAGCCGACTCAACGGTCTCGTACTGGACAAAACCATATCCCCTAGACTCTCCATTACTGTCGACTGATACCTTGCAGGATGCTATTGATCCAAAATCTTTGAAGATTTCATAAAGTTTCTTAGTAGTATATTCTTTTGGAATGTTCTTTACAAATAAGTTTGCGTTTTCTGGAAAAACATTACCGGACGTAAGAATCATCAATGTCATTTCCCTGTCGTGCAGAGTGGTGTAGTTATACTTCTCAACAATTCTTTTAGCATCTTCTATGGATAAAAATGTAACAAATGCATATGACGACTGGATAAGATCATTTTTTTTCATCTTGATATCTTCTATTGCAACAGGCTCTCTAGAAAAGAGCGCAACCAGCTCTGCTATGGATGTCTTTGGAGATAGATTTCCACAGCGGACCGTTACAAGTGATTTCGAATGTTGTATGCTAACCATTCTCGAAGGGCAAAAATTTTTAAAATACAGATGTAAAAGAAGTAAAATGGGCCAAAGCACATTTGTAGAAAAATACATAAAGCACAGATGTTTGCATATAAGCATATTTAATAAGACCATGCAGGGTGATTTTGTATGCATATCGTATAAAATACTAAGCTAGACAGCTGACTATATCCACTCGTAAGGTTCAATATTTCATTTATCAATCTTTGCAAAATCCTCCTATAATTGGTTGTTAATAATGTGCTAATTTAATCATATACCCAACCAATGCTGTGGAAATCTTTAGTGCTAGCCTTTAAATTTTCTTATCCCTTAATTTGCCATGCCAAAAACAATCGTCTCTAGCAATATAGAAAGCAAAGAAACATCGTGCATGTCATTTAAAGAAGATTTGAAAACCCTTAGACCAAAAATAGATCATTTGAAGACAGAAATTAAGTCTCAAATGGTTCCCTTTGCGGTACATCAGGTTATGATTGGCTCTCTGTCAAATGAGCTTGAAGAGATCAAAAATACTGTCGGCTATCTAGAAAGCAAGCTCGACTTTGAAAAGAAAGTATATGAAAGAACTAAGCAGATACTTCTGTCGCTGACAGTTGATCAGGATAATTTGCATATACTAGAAACTGGAAGCTTTACAGATGACGATGACCTTATAAAAATCGAAAAAAGCCTATCTATTTTGAAGGAGTTTTCCAGAGGAAAATGCGAACTTAAAATTGTAAAAGAGAGGGAGAGGGAGATTCTAGATCTTCTTTCTAATTTTTTAAAAAGATTTGTGATGTTTCTTTCAAAGCTATTTATAAAGTCAGAAAGCAAAAATGAGCTCAGAGTCCATCGTAGCTTCTATGAAAAAATGATGAAATATAAATTTATTTATACTTTTAGCAAGACAAATAGTGAATATTACACAGTTCTATGTGTTGCATACACTAGAAAATCAAAAGATCTCTATAACGAAGAGTTTGAAAACCATCTAAATAGAGTATCGGAGTTGATAACAGATGTAAATTCATTAAAGTTTACCCTGGATGCCCTTGTTATGACATATGAGTCTCTTTTAGAGTGTGAAACCAACTTCTTGAGTCTTATGGACATTAGCTCAGACATTAGAGAAATATTTTCAGGGGTGGACTTGATGATTGTTGATTTTATTGATATTTTCTTCAAAATGTCACCTTTTTGCATTATCATCGCCCTTAATTTGTACACAACTGGCGAATTCGTTAACAGACTAGGATCTCTGGGCCAATCGTTAAAAGAAAAAAAAGCCATACTTGAGGAAGTTTTTCTGCATCAACAGAAAAGTACTGGATTGAGTTTTGAAGTGGCAGGATTGATCAACGAGTTGAACAAAATGCCAATTAAATCTGATTTTCTGGAAAATCTAGTCCATGCAGTTATTAAAAAGGCTCGCAAACAAAATGTGCAACTTGAAGAAGGTTTGAAAAATCATCAAATTATTCACTCTGTTGAAAGATTGGATGATAAGAAGGAGATTATTGAGTGTATGGAGAGATACTTGACACCCAAAATCATAGATCGAATTTTTGGGGGCAGAAACGAACGATCTGAGATCAAAGAGATTTTTAAGGCTGTGGATTCTCAAAAAGGTGGATACGTCGAGGCCATAAGCTTCATAAAGAAGACCATACTTGAAAACTGCGAGGAGGCTAAAAGAAATGAATATATTAAGATACTCGCGGAAGTCAACAAAACGTAGTATTGCCATTGATTATACTGTTACTAAATTGGTCAATCAACTATCAATAATATTATTTATTATAGCATAGTAGTTTATGTGTAGCATATCATAATGTCAAATAATTCAACATCCAGTATTGCCGTTAGCCCAAAGATAATATTTTCAAGCATGAGCATGTACTATATTTAATAGTTTGGGGTTACATTGATTTAATCAAAGTTAAGGCTTAGAGATCGATCCAAATGCCAACTTTATAAGTATATTTGTTTTAAATGAAAGGCTTGCCAAGGTATAAAAAGACTGTTCTAGGTGATCACTCTATAAAGATTGATCACAAAACTTGTTAAATCTAAGAATAGTGCCTGGTGTTAAGATAAGTGATGGGCATTAATGTTTACTTCATTCACATTTATTCAAAAATTTGTTTGACGTTTTTTAGTTTTAGAAGACCTAAGGCTGCATCAATTCTTTTCAAGATATCATTTTGCTTAATATTTGACTGTGGAGATTGCATTTGAGATGGAACTCGAGAAAACGTCGATCTGTATCTTGGTTCATTTTCAGATACGCCTAACAATTTTTGTTTTTGATCTGAATTTTTTATGAAAATTTTTTCTCTATTCTGTTTCATTTGTTTGGAAAGGGTAATTTTACGAGCTAGAAGTTTTAACATTAAAAATTGCATTAATTTACTACATATTAGTTGGCCAAGATTTATTATTAAAACTCAATGGAAAGCTGTGTATGGCAAATATGAAATATTGCTTAGTTTTCATGCCGAAGGAAATATTAAAATAGTTGGCGAGTGTTAGTCAGGCGAAAATTTGTATTGAGATGAACAACAATGTACGGATCTGTGTGTGGTTTTTATAACACCCTTTATAGTGCATAAAGACACTAGTTGATCTAATATTAATAAAACATGTCAGTAGTTGCATAAATACTTTGTCTCTTGCTTTCCAGACATCTGTGAATCAATGGTGTATGATTGCATGCTTGGGCTTAATTTCTAATTTGTTGTATGTTTTATTCCCCTTTACTTGCAGCCCCAAGCATGCCAACCGATTTCAAAACTAAAGCTAGAGAATGTCTAGAAAATGCAGATTACCGCGGATATGCTGAATTTTCTGAGAAACAATATAATCAGACTCAGGAAAAAGAAGATCTCGAGGAGTTAGAAAAATCAAAGAAGCTGTTGCAACTTTCAAGAGAGATCCATGAAATTTTAAAAATGGAGGGACACGATTGTTATAAAATACTAGGGCTAGACCAGAATGCGAGCTTGGATGAGATAAAAAAGACTTTTAGAGAGAAAGCAGCTAGATACCATCCTAATAGAGCCCCTGTGAAGGGAGCAGAGGATGCTTTCAGGATAATTCAGGGTGCATACTTTGAGATTAACACAGAGGACAAGAGAGAGCAGTATGACGGTAGACGAAAGGGAAGTAGATTTTTCTTCAGCGGCCAACCAGTGTATTCCCAGGCGTATTACGCCACTCCAATTTCTAATTCAATGTCCTATTCATTTGGAAATAGGCAGTTTATGTTCTCCACTGGAATATCACCAGGATTCTGGCCATATAGATTTACTGAGGGGGACTTTATAAATTTTTACTCGCAACTGTACAGAAATGCATATAGACCATATGGTGACCGCCAGACAGAGAGACAGACCTTATATTTTTCAATATTTATAATGTTCATTCTCATATTGCTCAACTTTTTTAACTGAACAATTTACCAATGTTATGTTCCGAATGCGGTTTTGCTTTGTTGGTGTTGAAGGCAAAGTTTGAAATACGGCATTTAATTAAATATCCTTTGTTTGACTTTAGTTTCGATGGCTAGTGTTGAAACAGCTAATGTTTATGGTTTTTGTTTAATAGACATGGCCAAAGCAATAGTCTGTGTCCTGGGTAATAAGTGTATTGCTGATTATATCCAATTGACTATCAAAATTTTATCAGCCTAGCGTTTACTTAGATTTACAGGTTGGTTTATTTCTAAATCCTCAATGAAAAATGTCTGCTTGGTAATTATTGATGGATACGGCATTTCGAAAGAGGAGGTGGGAAATGCCACCACAAGAAGCCACTACATCAATAAGCTCAAAGAAAGCAACGGATATTTGGAAATATTCGCACATGGAAAGTATGTTGGTCTTCCTGATGGAAAGATGGGAAATTCAGAAGTAGGTCATATAACAATAGGCTCAGGAAGAATCATAAGCCAAAGTTTAATAATGATCAAAAATGCATTTGAAACAGGGGAATTAAAGAATATTATCTCCAGGCTGAAAGTTTCTGGTAAGAAAATACACTTAATTGGAATGATCAGCGACGGTGGAGTACATTCGCATCTGGATCATTTGAAATATCTTTTGGAATGTATTCCAATGAAGTACAGTGTCTACATACATGCCATTGCAGACGGGATAGATGTATCCCCAGACACTTTTGCAGATTTCATACAGCCATTTAATAATATTGTCTCCATTTCCGGTAGATACTTTGCGATGGACAGGGATATGAATTATAAAAGAACCGAACAAGTATTTCAAATGATGGTAAACAAAGAAAATGGCCCCGGCATTAGCAATAATTTTGGAGGTGCTGGCTGCAATGCTGTTAACACGAACATCAATGATATTATCAGAGGCATTGTAGCCAAAAGCGCAGGTGATGAATTCATTGAACCTACTTTGCTTATAAATGAGCCAGTGACCTCTGATGATACAGTTATATTTTTTAATTTTAGGGCAGATCGCATGAGACAACTTTACAACAGATTTAAGGAATTCTGCAGAGTTTACACAATTACAGAATATGAGGACGGCGATCCGAATGCAATTCTCAGAAAGCCGAGTGTTGAAAATACATTGTCTGAATGGCTTTCAAAGTATAACAAAACGCAAGCACACATAGCAGAGACTGAGAAGTATGCGCATGTGACATACTTTTTCAACGGAGGAAAAGAATTTAAATTTGACAACGAGGATTGGTTTGTGTTGCCGTCTCCAAAAGTGGAGGATTTTACACTAGCACCTGGAACATCAATGAAGGAGGTTGCCAATACATGTAGGGAATGCATTGAGAAAAAATACGATTTCATAGTCATTAATCTTGCTGCGCCTGATCTTCTTGGACATACGGGTAATTTTGAAAAGACTGTTGAGGCAGTGTCAATAATGGATGACCAGATTAAAGGGATACATGAGAAGGCTGTGAAAGAAGACTATGTGATGGTTATAACGGCTGATCATGGAAATTCTGAGCAAATGGTGTTAAATGAAAAGATATGTAAGTCACACACTACGAACAAAGTGCTTTTCATGGTGCTAAATTCTGAAAAGAAACTCAGCGGAAGACCAGAAGCATCGCTTAAAGATGTTGCGCCAACAGTCCTTCATTTAATGGGCATTCCCGTGCCTGGAGAGATGACAGGAACCTCGCTTCTTGAGTAATAGAAACTAGTCATCTGCCAGTAAAAGGCTAATTGTGGATTTAGAGCAAACAAAAATATCTTTCCATGCAAAGCTTGCTGAAGTGCATTCAAGAATGATTTTTCAAGTATTTCCTACAAAAAATTCAGATGGTTTATGAAAATTTAGTGGTAGCCCATGACTGAGCCAATTAAGAAAAAGGAAAGCACAAGAACAACTGTCTCCATATAGTCAGGATCTAGTTAATGAGGACGGAAGTGGAGAAGCAGAACACGATACAAATGCCAAGCCGCTCAGAAGGGCAAGGATAAAGAAAAACCAGCCATTAGATAAATCTTCACTGAAGGGAATTTTCGGGAATGTTGTGCTGTCGGGAGAACCAAAAGATTCTCGCAAGGCACAAATGAGTGAGATGATAGCAGGATTGAATAGCTCCTTTCTAAGAGCTGTTCAAATAATTTTGAAAAAGCAGAGTAACAAAGATCTTAGATATTTATTTGACCAATACTGTAAGTTTATGAAAGATATAGAAGAAAACAACCAGTAAATGCATATTAAAAAGTATGTTTATATAAATGGCGTTTTAATATTGCTTTTTAAGATACACAAAAAATCAACACGCCAAGTTTTGACATTCGTATTATATTTTGCAGCAATATACATTTCCCCATGCAATCTTAATACCACCTGCAAAATAATGTTGGTAGCATTGGCATGACTGTAACTCCCTTGGATGTCTCTCTAAAAGGTCTTTAAAATAGCGTAAACTCCAATGCTTTTATATTCTGTAGTCTTGCAACAAAATACTTCAAAAATTTATTTAGAAGTCAAGAGGCACATCATCACTGGATGACTCTTCTGTAGCTGGCGCAGTCTCAGCTGCTGGCGTAGTAGCAGATCCAACAGATGCATTGGAAGATGGGGCTGGTGAGCCTCCTCCGATGTTTGAGATAATAGAGGAGTACTTGTCAGCTGATAGCATAAAGTACGAAGCCATCTTGGGCGAAAAGTCTAAACCAAGTGTTTTAAAGACAGCTTGCATCTTCTCTTTTGTAACCTCTTGTTTTGTAGCATGAATAAGTAGAGCGGCTAATGGGTATGTGGAATTAATAGTGTCAGACATTCGCGATTTAACTGTTAAGGGCTGAATTCTTGCCCCTCTTTTATGGAGGAATTGAAATGAAAAATTTTACTAAAATTTTTAAGAAGAAAAGGAAAATGCCATTCTAAGCTAAATATCGGTAAAATTTAGCTCAAACAAAATCAACGATGGGCTTAAATGAAAGCAGATCGTCTCTATTGGTAGCTTTAGTTATTGCGTTTGACATAGTATTCTTTGATTAGCTCATTTGGCAATCTGTTTAGCATTTCTGGTGGAAAGATACTCAAAATATCCCAGGCAAGATCTAAGCTTTCTTCAATTGTTCTGTCTTCGTCTCTTCCTTGGTTTATAAACTCTCTTTCAAATCTACTTAGAAACTCAATGCTAGTTTTATCTTCTTTCGATAGTGAATCCTCCCCAACCACTGCTTTCATCGACAGAGAATCCTTGCCTATTGCATATTTGGCATATAGCTGATTTGAAACATCGCCATGATCCTCCCTTGTTCGATTTTTTCCGATAGCGCATTTCATTAACCTACTTAAAGAGGGAAGCACATTAATAGGTGGGTATATTCCTTTATTATGAAGCTGCCTATCAACGTATATTTGGCCTTCGGTGATGTATCCCGTCAGATCTGGTATTGGATGTGTAATGTCGTCGTTAGGCATTGTTAAAATAGGTATTTGAGTTATTGATCCATTTCTGCCCTGAATCCTGCCGGCCCTTTCATAGATTGTTGACAGATCAGTGTACATATATCCTGGAAATCCTCTTCTCCCCGGAACTTCCTCTCTAGCAGCACTAACCTCACGAAGTGCTTCAGCGTAGCTAGTCATGTCTGTGAGAATAGTCAGCACATGCCTCTCGGTCTCGTATGCCAGATACTCGGATGCAGTAAGAGCAAGCCGTGGTGTAATTATTCTTTCGATTGTCGGATCACTGGCTGTGTTAAGAAACAGAACTGTTCTGTTGATAGAGCCATCTTCTTCAAACGAATTTTTAAAAAATTTTGCGGTTTCCATATTAACGCCCATTGCTGCAAAAACAATGCAAAAATTTTCCTCAGAGGTATCCAAAACATCCTTTCTTTTTACCAAGCTAGACTGTCTGCAAATTTGTGCTGCAATATCATTGTGTGGTAGTCCTGAGCCACTGAATATTGGAATTTTCTGGCCTCTGGCTATGGAATTCATTACATCTATTGCCGATATTCCGGTTTTGATGATTTCTTCAGGATATACCCGACAGTATGGATTTATTGGTTGCCCTTGTATGTCAAGGTACTCATCAGGAATAACACTTGGTCCAGAATCTATTAGTTTTGCGCTTCCATTGTAAATTCTCCCCAGCATATCTTCTGAGACGCCCAGTTTAAAAACATCGCCGGTAAATGAAACTTCTGTTTCTTTTACATCTACTCCAGAGGTGCCTTCAAATATCTGGATGATGGCCTTTTTTCCTGCAATTTCTAGTACCTGGCCCTTTCTGATGGATCGATCTGGTAGTCTCAAAGTTACAATTTCGCTGTATTTAAGATAATCTATGTTGTTTAGCACAATCAAGGGCCCATTTACAGCCTGTATTTGTCTATATGTTCTCATGGGGTCGATTATAATATCCGATGGCATTGTTTATTTTGGTTTTATTTTTGTGTATATAGTTAAAAGCTATTGATGCTAATATTAGAGACATTTAATATAGGGGTATTCCCGATATTGGTTCACAGATACGAGGAGCTTTCAACGATGTATTTAGATGCTAGTCATAATCAAAATGCATTTAAACCATATATAGCATGGTATGGATGCCCAGTTCTTCCACACCTCTAAAATACTCTTCATTCAGTCTATTTTTTGACCCATGCTTTGGATTGAAAAATACAAGCCGAAATCATTTTCAGAAATTACAACGCACAAAGAAGTAGTCTCAATGCTTGATAAATACACACTAGAGACTATTCCAAATATGATTTTCCATGGACAGATTGGCCATAATAAGAGAACTATTTTGTACGCGCTAATATCTCATCTCTACGGTTCATACCCATCTCCTACTACCAAAAACATTGAAGTAGAGGCTGGTTCGTTAAAAGTGATGGTGGATTACCTTGAATGCAATGAAATGGTAGAATTTTGTCCATCAGAATATGGCTACAAGGATAGATATGTGGTCCAAAGTATTATAAAGGAAATAGCACGATGCAGGCCTATTCTTGGCCTTTTTGGAGCCAAGAGAAGATCTGTGAAGATTTTAGTGATTGATCAAGCAGAAGATTTAAGCAAAGATGCACAAGCAGCACTCCGAAGAACAATGGAGATGTATAGTGGGCACTTCAAGATAATTATGGTCTGCACAGAAACCTCAAAGCTTATTGAGCCCATCAGGAGTAGGTGTATGATGGTAAGAATTCGAGGTTTTAGAAATGATGAGATGTTTAGAATTTGTTCAAATATTGCGAAGATCGAGGGATTTGGAGTTGATAAAGATGCAATCGATTCTATTTGCAAAAACTCAAAGGGTAATGGAAAGAGAGCCCTGTGTCTTTTTGAGTTATACTGCTTTAACCATCTATTGGATGACAAGAAGAGGCAGAAGACTGATTATTCCCAAATAAGATTGGAATGGGAGCTAAAGACAGCTTCTATAGTTGATAAGATCAAAAGGAGTCCTAGGCCCGAAACAATGATTGAGATTAGGAAGGATTTATATTCTCTTCTTAATTCCTTAATACCACCCAGTATCATACTGGCCCAGATGCTAAAAGAACTGAGTATGAAGTGCTCATTAGAAGTTTGTAAATCCTTGTCCATATTTGCATTGGGATACGAAGAGAGAATAAGGCTGGGAACAAAGCCGTTGTATCACTTGGAGGCCTTTGCAGCATCTGCAATGCTTGTTCTATCTCAAAGAAAGTAAATGACATTAGCATACAGCGATCATTAAACCGTGTAATCCTAAGCTTCTTATAAGCATTTGGCTTTGACATATAAGACGTGCTTTGCCTTTGAGCCTATAATGATTCAATAAATAATGGATAAATAATAAATGATGCAGGCAAAATAAGCCCCAATGGCTCAGTGGTAAAGCACTCGGTTTGGGTCCGAGAGATCCCGGGTTCGATCCCCGGTTGGGGCCAGTATTTTGGCAGCCAGCGCATATTGATTCTCATTGATAGTTTGCCATATTTCTATCCCCATGGAAATTCAAATTCCAAGAAATCACGAGCTGAGGCTAGAAGTCATGGAAAATCAGAAAATAAAAGTAATGGTGATCTCGGGATTGGCAGAGATTTTTGGCCAGGAGCTGCTCAATGAAAAGTGGTATAATTTTACAGACATCAAATGTTCGATCTTTACATTCACTGGGGCTGTTGTGAAGATCGAAGGTAGTTGTGATTTGAGCTATCTTGCTGAATCTTCCTGTTTTCCAAAGATTTTTAACTATTTTGATTCAATAAAGGATTCTTTGGGCATTGTCATTGTTGTTGGAAGAGGTCGAAGCACATTTTGCACAACTCTGGCAAACTATTTTGTTAGAGTTCGCAAAAAGCTGGACTTTCTCGAAGTTGATCCATTAAAAGGAAATGTTTTTCCAGGCGCCCTTTCATATTTACAGATTGATTCGCTTGTTGAGTACAATGACAAACTGAAGCTTACCAATCCTTACTGTCTATTTTTCGGGTCGTTGTCTATTGAAAACACTGAACTATATCAAATCCAAACAGAAAAACTAAATGAAGAAGTTGAAAGCAGAGAGACTGGGAATTTTAAAGTAATTTTGTGTCCTGAGCTATCAAATGATATGTTGCACCAGCTTATTAAGACATTCAAGGCTTCCGGAGTTGTTTGCATTGGTAACGAAAGGATGTTTCATAGGCTAAATACGCCGATTCCAAAGATATTTATTGAGAATACTGGATATATTGCCGAAAATACTGTTGCTAAAAGCATAAATAGATATTTTAATGGTCCAAGCAGTGAGTATACCCCATCATCGTTTTCATTGAGAAGTGAATACACAGTTCTAAGAATTGGCGAGCAGTATGCAGCACCCGAGAGTGCATTACCATTGGGAGCATCAAGGAAGATTGGCCATACCGATGTGTGTAGATGTGAGTTGATTCAGAATGCAGTACTGGCCATTTCTGGAGCTGAAAATGAAGACCAGGTGGTAAGGTCGCCCGCACTAGGGTTTGTAGTGTGTGTGGATGAAAAGAAGCAGAGAATACTGTGCACTCAACCCAGACTCCCAAAATGCAAATATCTAGTTCAAGGCTCTGTCAAATATATCGACTTTTAACATAAAGAACAGTATTTGAGCAATGCTAGTTGGTGTTAGACTAGGGTTTGTTTTGGGACCATCCGACACTTAAAGTACGCCCATCTTGTTCCACCATGAGTTATTTATTTCGCCTCTAGGCATGCACTTTGGTAGGTCTTTTAAATGAATTATGCTTTATAAGGCAATACTTTTTATTGTGCAAAATTACTAATCGAATCTATTTATTTCTAAGAGCTTTTATTAATGTCTTCAATGCGTTAAGATAAAGACAAACACAATACAAAAAGCCAAATTTAAAGTTTAAAATGGCAAAGACAAACAGATAGGCAGCCCTGGAGTCCTTTCCTAGTGCAAGAAGTCCTGATATTGGAAAGAAATAGTATGCTATTGAGCGTATTAGAAATACTGTTGGATCAAAACTTGGTGAAAAATCAAATAGTTCATAAATCAAATACCCAATCATAAAATTTTTCAGGGAGTCAAAGGTGATCATACAGTTGGCCAGGGGAATGTAATAGTAGATGCCATAATAATGTGAATGCATATTCAAATAATATCTTAAAAGATAGCAGAGATCTTGAATGGACTGCTCGCTGTTATCGATACACAAATCAATTCTGTTTTCAAAAAGCATGTCTTTAGGTCCAGAAAACAGGATGTCAGATATACTAAATTCCAAGCACGGTGTAAAAAATGTCTTGGCAAGGCTTATTAAATCAGAGTTGGGCTGAAAAGTCCTAAAAGGATGTAATTCAATTGTTTTACGTTTACTTTCCTTTAAGTAAATTTTAACAAAAAAAGATTCGTTGATATTTTCCCGCGAAAGCTGGATAGACTTTGATCTGACCATAATTTTCTTTATCTTCTCATTCAAGCGGTTTTCAAGGGCTCGGCTTCCTTCAAAGCAAATATAAATTGTTTGGTGGGGCGGCATTTCCTCATATTCTTTTGGGTGACTATAGAAACCATGGTCCCTGCTGAATTCAAGGTGATCAAAAAGAGACTCCTTCGAGTATAAATTGTATTTATCGGGCCTAAAGAGTAGAGATGCAGGTAAAAGCAGTAGTAGAGCAATCTTTGCTTTGCGTTTATTTTGCTGCAGTGTTTCCAAGGTCTTTTGAAGTGTTTTGAAAATCATAGCAAAGCAAGGGTAAGCCTAAAGCTATACTGTGAGTTATGTGCATAAATGTACACAATAGATGCATTAGCTGCATTTAGAAACCGCAGACAGACATTAAACACGTGTTTATTTAAAAGAACCGATGCATCTGATAGTGTGCATGGAAGAATACTGCTACTTGACAAGACACGCAATAAGACAGCTAAGTAATTTGCTAGTTTATATATTCTTTGTTGTTTTAAATTTTTGCGAAAAGTTTATCCTCTCCTCTTTAATGTTCGATAAAAAAATCTGGGATGCAATTGGGAACAAAAAGACATGCTCATTCAAGCTAGATACAAAGCTCGACACTCTTTGTAAGAACGAATACAATGTTACTGGAACATGCAATGAATTCAGTTGTCCCCTTGCAAATACCAAATACGCAACTGTCAGATCTATAGATGAAGAGCTGTTTCTTTTTGTGAAGGAGCCGGAAAGATGTAATACACCAAAGAGCATGTACGAGAAGATCAAGCTCAGCCACGATTACCAGACAGCATTGAAAGAGATTGAAGAGCATCTGGAGTTCTGGGATCCGGAGATCATTCATAAATGTAAGCAAAGGATGACAAAGCTGGTTGAATATCACGAAAGAATGCAGTATTTGCGAGAGAATGGACAAAAAGAATACATGGTTAGAAAAACAAAGATGAATAGAAGAGAAAAGATACGAGCGCTGAAAGCCTTGAATTCAATCAATTTCGAACAGGAAATTGGGGATGAAATCTTGATGAGATTAGAGGCCGGAATATACGGTGAAGAGAATAAAGAAAAATACGAAAGGGCAGTAGAAAAAGAAAAGAAGAGACGAAGAAAACGATATGTGGCTGACTTTGAAGAAAGCGCTGAAGTTTCAGACATCCCAAAGAAAAAAAAGCAGAAAAAAGAGAAAAAAGAAAAGGCGGTGCAATGGTAAATTGGTATGGCTTATTATATAGACATATATTTAACGGCTATTCTTGGCATTAAAAAGAAATTGCTGATTATGCTGCTTGAAATTTAATCATACTGGCTGTTCAACCAGAGACGGTGTTCTGCATTCGTATTGCAGAAAAATTCTTAGATGCAAAAACACATAGATATAGTGACATATTTAAAATGAATAGACTTTGTTAGATTGCTTGTAGTTGGACAGGTGCTGTCTTGTCTCGGGCCTTGTACAGAATGTTCTTGCCACAGTGGAAGCACCTTATTGAGTCTTTATGTCCAAGATTAGTTACTTGCTTGCATTCAATGCAAATGTACTCAGATGTTGACTTTGAGTCCATGGGCTGGAAAATAAAAATTTTTAAATCCACAAAAAGCATTCTAAAGATAAAAATGCTTGTTATTTATTAGATTTTAAAGGCTTGTATATTCCTGAAATTATTGCATGGTTCTTTTCATATGGCTCTAAGGTAACTTGCTCGATTGGTTTAAACTCGTTCTTTTTTAGCCAGTTAACTTCATCCGCAAACACCTTTTCAGCTGGGGCAGATGAATCAACACAGGATGCTTTGACACTGACAAGAATTCCACCGTCGTCCTTGAGGAAGTACTGTGCATTCTCCATGACTATTCTGGATTGGTCAGGTTGGGAAACATCACTGAATATTACATCCACCATCGGCACAAGCACTCTGTATTTATAGGGTGTCCTAGCATCAGCAATGATTGGAACAATATTATTTCTTTTCATTGACAAATTAACAAGATCCCTGCCAGATCTCTGTGAAAATTCAACAGCATATACAAGAGTATCGGGCCCAACTATCTCAGAAACATGGCTGAGTGTTGTTCCATTTGCTGCTCCAAGATAGAGTACCGCTGTTCCTGGTTTTATAAAGATATTGTCCAATCCACATGCTATTCCAGCAGCCAGCTTCGATCGATAACAGTTCCAAACTCTATATTCAATTCTTTTGTCAGGCAAAGACACACACACTCGCTTTTCGCCATAGACAGAAGATCCAGGCACCATATTCTTTGTAAGAAGCATGTCCTCTTTCCCCCTTCCTATAAATACACCGTCAAACTTTGGATGTGGCTCAATAATTACATTTTTGGAGGCATTTCCCAACGACGTCCCTTTTCTCTTGTTAATTTCTCTCTTCCTGGATTCGGCTTTGTTGCTGGTATATCTTTTTTCTGTGTTGCTTTTTTTTCTTTCAACTGCATTCTTCATTGTGGCCATTTTTGAAAGAATTTATGTAAAAGAATTTTAAAGTATCTAAGCAGGCAAAAATGGCACTATCTATGTTTATATTGCCAATATCTTGACTTTCTAAAACTGGTGGGATTATATCAAATATTGGAACAGAGAGTCAGCATTAGTTTACTACCAAAAGTGCTGTGCTGGAAGATAAGCTGTGGATGCTAAGTCAGTGAGGCTAAGGACGGACATTTAAAAGAAATGTACTATGGCATACTAAATTTCTTCTATAGCTTGTTCTAAACCATTCTTTTATTTGTTTTTCAAATACCTCCCCAATGAAGCGGTACACCATAACTCCTCAGAACCGCAAAAGCATCAAGCTCAACCCAACCACACTCAAACCTACGCAGTTTCCCAGAATGTCTCTTGCCACGGATGATGCTGTCCAGAAAGAACACAGAAATACGAGAGATAAGATCTACAAAGCAGCATGCATTGAAAATATTGTAAAGTTCCTTACAGAAAATGCATACGACAGTGCATTCAGCCATAAAATTTTAGGAAACCCATCAAACAAGGACTTTCAAAACATTTTTAAATTTATCTATTCGTTTATTGATTCTACGCCTTTTTTAAAGTTTGAGGATGATGTGCTTGGCATTTTGAAATTACTAAAGTATCCGTATTGCAACGAGATAACAAGAAGCCAGCTCACAGCAGTCACGCCACACACATGGCCCGTAGTTCTAAGTATGATGAGCTGGATGGTTGATCTTATTAGAAGATCAGACGAGATTGAAAATCAAACAGCAACTGTTGAGGACGAGTTCTACGAGTATGTTTGTGAAGGTTATATGAAATTTATGGAGGGTGAAGAGGACGAGAGTTTAGATCAACAGTTTATCGACAAGATTTCACTGATGCATTCCAAAGAGACATCTGAGATTGAAATTCAGAAAAACGAAGTTGAGCTGATGATGGGTGAGCTTGAAAACCTAAAGAGTAAGTTCGATGATCTTTCAAAACTAGAGACTAAAAAGAAGAAGATTAACGACGATCTTAATGCACTTATAATCAACGATAAGCAGCTGGAGGCAAAGAAAACAAAGTATATTTCGGCAATAGAAAAAATAGTAGAAGAAATAACAACAATTGAGAGCCAAATCGATGAACTAATCAAGGTTAAGAACGAGCTTGTTGTTCAAATTAATTCGCAAATTATCAACCCCAACGATATCAAAGAAATGAACATTGAAAAGGTGGAACTATTTAAAGAGCTTGAAAGATTAAAGCCTGAAAGAGAGAGCTTATCGAAAATCATTGAAGCTAGCCGAAAGCAGAGTTGCAGAAAAAACAGATGAGAACGAAAAGTTAATTGCGGAGATAAACAGTCTCAGAAAAGGATTTAATATTGATCGTGAAAGTTTCAATTATACGCAGATTTTAGATCTTGAAAACGAGCTAGCCTCGAAGAAGGAGAGCACAGTAAACTATGAATTAACACAGTCCTCACTTGATGATAGGCTAAAAGAGAAAGAAATGCAGTTCAAAGACCTTGAAGAGCAATACTCGCACATGAACACAAAGCTTCAAACTATAGGCTCAATATACTTGGAGAAGAAAGAGATCTCGGAAAGATCGCAGCAGAAAAACAGGAATGAAATTGACCGATTGGAAAATGAGCTTTTAAAGTTAAAGCTCGAAAGTGATAGCATTTACTTGAAAAGCGAAAAAGATTATTCCGAGGCTAAAATCAAATTTGACGTTTTAAACTCATTTATTTCAAAGGAAAGAGAAGAAATTGTAAGGATGGTATGGGATTTTTATAATAACGCCAATTCGCTGTTCAAATCAATAGATCTACTCGAGAAGGATCTTAGAAAATCTCATAGCAGCATTTCAAAATAACATCTAATAAATGCATTAATAGTGAAACAATAGCACTCTCGGCGATTTGCGTTTTTATTATGGCATATCGCTAGTGTTTAGCGGATATGATGCAAAGCTCAATCGGTAATGCCTATCACACATAAAATTCAAGATGCTATTTTTATTTTCAACTCACTTATTGCCTCAGATTTAAATGCGTTGTGGTGTTTTATGCTAATCAACAAAACCTTCAGAGTTGGCACAGTTGCCATACATAGACTAAGGAGGAGTTGGTGATGCTAGAGTTGGACGTCAGTACGGTCTTTCATAGTAATTAATATTTTTATACTATAGCGTTGATAAAAATAACTCCAAGCTTTTTGATGTGAAATACTGGCCCTGCTGTGTTATGTAGTCTATTATGCCACTCCATACAGAACTTTGCGAAAGACACTTTTTATTGCCCAGTAATATTAGGCATACTCTTGAACGTGTCATCGCGACATTAATCCTTCTAAAATCACATGTAAATCCAAGTCCGAATCGTCTAACAGTAGAGAGGATGACCACATCACATTCCTTGCCCTGAAATCCATCAATCGTGTTGATTTCAATGCCCATCTTCTCATAGTTCCGGTTTTTCATTAGCATGTTAGCCTGGCCCTTGTATGGTGTTAAAACAGCGATTTTCAACGTATTTCCATACCTTCTGAACAGCTCTTTAGAGATTCTATAACAAATGCTACATTCGACAGGATTATAATAGCTTTTGAAATCATCTATTTTTTCTTGCTTTACCAAAATATCAATAAAATTCAAAGGTCTGAAGCCATAGATGTCTCCATATCCGGATTTCCGCCTGAGCTGTGCAATATCTGCGAATGTTTCGATTCTATTATCATAAAAAAATAATGAAGAAAGCTTGCATATGTCAGGATGCATTCTGTACTGCACATCAAGCATTACCGGTTGATGATGTGAAAGCAGTCTTTCAAAGAGTGAAACTTGCAGTTGACTTTGATCCGAAATAACGGTAGGCGGAAGCTGGTTGGGATCTCCAATCATTATGACCTTGTTTGGATTGTATTTGAATGGAATAATAGTGCTAAGTTCAGTTGCCTGGCAGGCTTCATCAATGATAATTAAATCAAATTTGCTCAAACATATTGAATCTGAAACCGACGAACTTAATGTTGCACAAATAACAGATGCAGTAGAAACAAGACTGTGTCTGTGCCCGGATCTAGGCTGCGAAGCGCAACGGTTTACCAGGTACTCAAGAGTATACTTGTGCACATCTGGATTGGTGCTGGCACCAACACGCAGGAAAGATACGTGTGTAACTCCACCACGAAAATTTTTTATCCCGCTGGCAAGCCGAGTAACAACTACATCAATGGCTGTATTTGAAGGCGCGCAAATTAGAATCTTCAAGGATGAAATATGGTCGTTAATTTGATCAATATTCAAAACTGTGGATCTAGATAGGTTTGTCTGTGGAATCAGCAGGAATGTGGATATAATCGATATAATTGTTGTTGTTTTTCCAGTACCTGGCGGTCCCTGTATTAGGAAGAATTTTTCACGAGAAAAGAAACATTTGGATACAGCTTCGGCCTGTGATAAGTTCAGGCCATGAGCAGCCACAAGAAGATTCTGAAGAACAACTTGACTACCATTCTGTGTTAAACTCGAGCAATACTTTAAGTTTGACAGATTTTTGGCAAAGCCAAGTTTTTTATCGTCCCAAAAGATGGTGCTTTCCTGAAAATCTTTCATAAATGACGGTCTTAAAATGTATTTTAGAACGCCAGATTCCTTAACAACTCTCAAGGCAGTATATTCTCTAAGATTCGATGTAATGTTACCACAATATCTGTAATATAATGCACCACTGGTGTTGAATAATAGGCTACTAGGTTGATTGCCATTAGAGGATTGGTAGCTAGCTTTAGATATCGCTGTGGTTGTTGATACTTTGATTTCTACTATGCTAGTGTGGTGGGAACCATCAGAGCTATGACAAGCATTAATATCTGTTACAATTCCCACAAATGATCCATCTTTAGCTTCATCATCCAGTCTATACGAAAAGCTGAACTGTGTTTTATGTTGTGAAAAGTATAGCAAATCATAAACATCAAATTGAAAATTAACAGCCCGGATTCTCAAAACTCTATCAAAATCGTGAATTGCACATTCAAAATATTTTGAGTTCTCAAGCAAGGCGCTCTTAATGCTCGAAATGGTCTCATTGATTTGCAACGGATTGAAAACATCGAAATATTGCCGAAACGAGTCAAAACACGTTGGAATTTTGACAAAATCAACAGAAATTGGTGGCCTGAAAGGATTAAGAACATATTCAAAAAAGGCGTCTTGTGAATCAATATCAACAGGTTTCCGAGCTGTCTGTTGTGAGAAAAAAACTGTGTTAGATCTTTGCGCAATCTGAGAAACCATAGAAGATACCAACTTTTTATTGGTTTGAGTCTTTTCATCTGCTTGTGATAGTTGTTTGGGTCTTATATGGTCTATAGCTAATGTTTGTGCAGCAGGCTCTACTGTGATTATATTCCCAGCGTTAGATATATTACGCATGTTCTTATATCCATCCATGGACACTATTACCTCTTTATCAGCATTGTCCTGATTGATTTGTGCTGCATGTTTTTTAAGTTTGTCTTTTGGTTCTCTATTTACAGGCAGACTATTTCTTCTCTTAACTTCAACAAATATATTAGTCTCCACTCTAGTGCTGACTAATGGGTCCGAATCATTGAGCACAAATTCTTTAAATTGCTGGCTTTTACTGTGCGTGCTTGGTTTTATTATGATTTTTGGGTATCCTTTTTTTGCTCCTAACTTGTGCATCCCTGATATTAATATCATCTACCTCAATGCTGCTCTTTAACTCATCAAAACATGCTTTTGAGTCTGGCACTGTAGTCAGCAGCCTAGCATTGCCACTCGGGTTTCCAGAAAGACCCGCATGGATATGCATTATAGAATCTGGATCTCCTCTGCCAGTGTTATTAAGTTTCATTCTTTGTTTGAGTAAGCTTAGAAACTCTGAGCATGAAAACCTAGCAGATTCGGATAGAATATCAATATTAGGACTTTGGAAAGTTAAATTTTCAATGATATTATCAAGCATGGCTTGATTATTTCCAAACGTGTTTGTAAACTGAACTGCCGTTGAAAAATCAAATTTTAACCTTTTTGAAATCTCAATACCAATACTCTCAAAGGAATCAACAAACGGCTTGAACTCGTTGATCTCGCTAATGAATTCGGAGACAGCATTTGGATCAGCTAGCACAAGTTCTCGGATTTTTTTGTCCGTTAGTTGAAAAAGTAATAGGCCTTTTGGATGTGATAATGAAACTTTTGTTATTGGAATACTGAAAAGAAGATTCAGATATAGCAGCCAATACGCTCCATCCTTGAACTGAGCAAAATTGGCCAAGGCGAGCTTATTTATCAGCCCATTAGTTCTATATTCCGAGTTTTTGACAAGAAACATTACAATCTTATGAAACAGCAAATCGATATTTCTAGTGTCAAAGGCACATTTTGTTTGATACGATTTCAACATGTATTTCAGCACTCCATTAAGAATGGAATATGTAATGTCGATTTTTTCAATATGGCTAACTATAAAACTAAATGTTGTGAGATCAAAAGTTGAAGTTTTTTGAAAAATTTCACTAATATTAAAATTGAGATTTTCAAAGACAGAGTAATGCTTGATTAATAGATCTATGCGTTTGCTACCGAGTAAGTCTTCATAGACCATTCCCACTTCTGTCGGCTCAATGGTGTATTTTTCAATAAATTGGCCCAGACAATTCAATGCTTCAATTCTCAAGTCTGTAATGTCCTTGCTCATTTCTTTATCATTCTTATACGTTTCAAAAAGTATGCTTTTAATCTGGTCCCTATACGATGCTGGGACTTTGGAAAATAGTAGATTTAAAGCTTTGAAAAAACACACATCCTTTTTCAATCTACCATCCAGCAGGAACTTAATCTCTTTGCTTGTTAACTCAACACTTTCTAATTGTACTTTGCTCCAACTTTCATTGCTTCTTGTCTTATCTTTAATCAGAAAAACAATGCTCTTAAATCCAAAATATGCAGTCCGACAGCCCATGCAGGCTTTATATTCGTAAAATATATCTTCATCAGATAGTAATTCCCAATGATAAAGCTTTTCTGGACAGAAGTTGGTACAGACTCGTTTCTTTTCGAACCACCACTCAGGACTGCAGTTTAAATAAACCTCGAGGCATTTTTTGCAGCTCGAAACAGTTTTATCTACCAGCCGCACTGATTCTGAAGGATTCCTGTTGTATAATTGATAGATTTTTTTAATTCGATCTTTTGCCTTTTCTGGAAATTCACAGAAAAAATGGTTCATGGAGGGCCTACAATGGCTAGGCATTGAAGAAAGATACCTTTGGAATAGCAACCGAAACATAATCTGTTGTTACAGAATACCGCTTAAAGCCAGCGAATCCAGCCATAGAGTTAGTAGATCTATGCCATAATAGGAAAAGACAACATGTTTTAGTTCAAAGCCAACTCGGAGGTTTGTTAGGCATTGTGTGTTAAAGTATGCAGCCTGACGAAAATATCATAAAACCTATTCGGCAATTAGTGTGCATTTGGCTTTCTGTGCTGCAGCAGCTTAGGAATTAAATAAGTGGCCATCAAATGGCTTGTACATCATTGCATACAATGTGTATTTAATATTCTTCTCTTACATGATAAAATTTTCCATCCCACGAAATGAGCTCCAATTCACACACTCCTAGAAGAAGTCTGCCGAGATATCAAAGTGTCAGACAAGTGCCATCCAAAAAGCAGCCAAAGCAGTCAAAGCAGTCATTCACCCATCAAGACTTCATGGCATTCATTGAACCATTCTACGAACTTTTAAAAAAGAAAAATTTTGAGGAGTTTAAAAAGATGTCAGAAGTTAAAAATTTTGATTTTAAAAAAGAAATATACGCAAAATGGTCGGGATGTCTGAATGAAAAGCTTTTAAGCTCATATCAGTTTGATGATAACGTTGAAATTGAAGATGTCCAATTTGGCACATCATTAGAGCCCATAAAACCAATAGAGTCGCTTGAGTTCGTACCTCCATTTTATGAGAAAAACCGTATTCTTGAAAGCTATAGGACCTCGATGTTTAAGGACGCATTGAAAGAATACAAACGCCAAGTTGAGAGAAACAATAAACGCAGATCTATAATACTGAATGTTATCCCCAAACGTGCCAGATATTCAGCATATTTTTACGCATTTGATCTGATTAACAGCAAACTGGAAGAATTACAAAAAAGATTAAACGTGCTAAAGAAGAACATTAAGCCCAATGAGTTGGAGGCTGACATGATCAGAGAGTATCTTGATAGAATTTATGAATTTTTCAATGCTTTTGGATTTCCAGATCAGTTTGATAGCGACGAGATGAACTATCCGGACATAATTGACGACATGACTGATGAAGAAAAAGACACTGATCTACAGTATTTTAAATAGAGGGGTCAATCCACTAGACAGGCTTGAACTGTAAATATCACATAAATATCAAAAGGCACTTTGTGTTTGAAAGAATTGAAATGGCAGACGTAAGTATGCACTAAGCTGTATAATAAATAATTTCTAAATGCATTTTGGCTTTTTCTCTTATTTGATCTTGTCGGCCTTGTAATCAGCCCACATGGATAGATACCACAGAGAGCCAGACGAGCTTAATGAAAATGATACCATTCTTGAGAAATACTACACACACGGCAATAAAGAATTTGTAGAAACAAACAAAACATCAGAGATTAACTTTCTAAACTTTCTGGTAAAGGAAATTCCCTATGAGTACAAGCTTAAGAAACTAAGAACTAGGAAGAGCCCGCACGACCCAATAGGATCTGAAATAGACGATGGCCATCGCTTTAGAAACACTGTTTCGATAACAAAATCCGGAACATCAACCATCCAGTCCCTTTCTAGTTCCTCAAGACATATAGGGATTCGTGAATTTCTGAAAAAGAAACAGCTAGAAAATGAAATTAAAAATCAATATGAAAATGCATTTGGAAGCCTAAAACCGGCTGATGTTATGCCTATTGAGGTAATCGATTGGGAAGATGATGTATTTAACAAATCAGAAGAAACTTCAATCTCAACCAAGGAATATGTTAATGAATTGCTAGAAAGCGGATGGGAAAAGCACATAACTATCGATCCTAATGAGATGCCAGTGCAAAAGCCTTATCTCACCCTATATATTGATGATCCCAACCTCATTTTTGAGAAAATTGAAGAAAAGAAAGCAAAAATAAAAAAGAAGTCACATAAAATAGGATCGCTTGATAAGCCCCTTAAAAACAAGTATAATATCAGCAATGATAAATATTATGTTTCTGAATCAAAGAGCAAGGTATCCTTGGGTACATTTGGTGTTCAGCACTCACTGCCTGCGCTCAGATTAGATCCCAGATTCTATAAAACCAACCATACGAAAGAAGAATTGAGAAACTTTCACCGTCCCCCGATATGTATTAAGAGTGCGCTTTCCTTTAAGGGGCCATCATCATCCAAGTTTGCAGGCAATATTATTAAAAAGGCACACGAGCTATCTCTTTCAGATTCCACGCCATTCAAAATATTCGAATATTTCGAAGAGTTTCCATTTTTTGTCGTAAATCCAGGCATGGTTAGCTTAATGAGTACATACTACAGAAAGATGGACTCGATTGATGAGCCCACCATTGATGGATGCACTGTTCTTGAAGTAGAAGATGAGGCACCATTCTATGGGTTTGGGAATATTAAGCCAGGAACCTATGTGCCTACTCTTGCCAATAATCTTTTTATCGCACCCATTGCACCACACAAATCATCGGACTTTCTGTGCATTATTGACGATGATAGAATCGTTATGCGACCCATTGATAATATCTATCTGGTTGGCCAGGAATTTCCCAAAGAGGAAGTGTATGCGCCACACTCTCGAAGATTAAATCAATTCTGTAAGGATCGGCTGAAGGTTGCAGCATATCGTATATTTTCAAAAGGCAAAGATCTGCAAATGCAACAGCTGGATCTGATGTTTCCATACTTTTCAGAAGGTAGCAAGAGAAAATGGCTTAAAGAGTACAGCGACTGTGTAAAAAAGGGGAAGATAATCTATGGACTCTTAAAGACTCGTTTTCTATTATAGGAGAGGAAGACCTTAGAAAACTGGTTACACCCGAAAATATATGCCAGTATGAAAGCATGCTTTCTGCCGAAAGGCGGATGGATGATCTGGGATATAAATGTTTGGAAGAAGAGGAAGAGGAAGACTACGAAGCATACTCACCAAATTGGTATCTCTCCAGAAACTTTGTAAATGCGGCAGCAGGCAAGGGTCTACTTGAACTATCCGGTCCTGCAGATCCATCAGGCACGGGAGAAGCATTTAGCTTTAGAAAGATTAGGCTGAAGAAAGGTAATGAGTCGGAGAACCGCAAGATCATTGCTGAACATCAGGCAACATACAAAGAAAGAGCAGCATCTATCTGGAACAAGCATATTGAAATGCTAAGATCTTCGGAAATGGTAGAGTATACAGAAACATCAAAAAGACTTACTTTTGAGATTCCCAGTGAAACAACTGCCACTGAAACAGCGGCTTATCTTACAATTAAAAGAACGGTTGATGAAAATGGCACTCTTGTTGTAAAAACTGAAAAGATATATGATGGAAGGGTCATAAAGGCGTATTTAAAAGCAAGAAAAAGTATTAAAGTTGAAGACAAGAAGACCACTTTTACCTGTTCAAGTTGCGGACAGCCTGGCCATATGAAGACAAACAAGAGCTGTCCAAACTATGTTGGATCAATAAAAACGCCTAAAAGGAGGATTGAGGAGAAGAAAGCGTCTTTGGTATTTCAGGAAAAACTCGCAAAGCTTGTTTCTGTTTTTATGTCGATGCCATTTTCAAACGCCTTTCACCGGCCTGTTTCCCTGAAAAAGTTTCCAAACTACACAGCAGTTGTAAAAGCACCCATCGATCTTGGAACTATCAAAACTAAAGCAAGGAATGGAGTGTACTCGAAATACGAAGAGTTTCTTGGTGATCTAATATTGATGAAAGAGAACTGCAAGCTATATAATGGACCTACTCACTCATTGACGGAAATAGCTGATGATATTTGCAATCAAGCACAGGACTACTATCAGAACAACCTGTCTGAGATTAAAGAGCTTGAAGCACAGGTTCAAGAAGAGAAGTATGTCGTCTGATCAGCAGCGATGAATAAAAATTGATTATTGTTCTTTGAATACAGCTCTGCCGCGTTGCAAAGTAGCAGTCGATGCAGGCATTTTGTGCTGTTTATTTTACTTTAAATGCGGCTTGGCGCTTATATTATATAATATTTAGTTTAATTTTATCAAGATCTCTTTTTGTATATTTTCTTTCTAACTCACTTTTTTCCTCTGTGTTGAATTTTTTAACCCTAAATGAATGATAAAGGGTATGATGAAACTATCCCACTGGCTTATTTAAACAACGAAAATCCATATGCATACTGCACGGATTACCACAGGAACTCAATAAACATGCAAGAGAAGAAGGTAAGACTTACAGCTTTGCAAAGGATGCAGCCCACTAAAGTTAGCTTCAGAATGCCCTTGAAGCACGTAGAAAGAGAGAAAGAATACATCATAGACTACATGGTGAACATGGAGAAAAAAACACTTATTAAGAGAGGGATGGCCGTCCTTGGTGTTGAATATCACGATGCACCAGAGGTGCTCTTTGAGAAGAATCTGCAAAATGAAGAAATACTGGAAATAGCTTTAAAAATTAAAAAATTAAATTTGTATTATCAACAAAAAAGACTGAGATTTAAAGTGGCAGCAGCGATTTCAGGCAAAATATCAACTGGCATTGAATTTAATATCTCGCTTAGGGATGTTTTAGAACTTGATAATCTTAAAGATGCACTGGTGTACTGTAAACTAGAAGACTTATATAACGAAAGCTCTTAATAAATTTATAAAGCCAAGAATAACTCTACTTTAATATCAAGTATAAAATTTTTAAAAGACTTTTATCCTGGACACATATTTACTTATCATGCAGGCTGCCATATATTAGCAAAAGACACATAATAATGGTAGCTATGGATGAACAAGCGTTAATTGGTTGTGAGACACTTTTTAGTACAGGTATTCCGCTGACGAGCGGTATGGCAGCAAATATAAATGTTAATAGCAACCTGAATGGCTGTAGTTCAAATATAGGATCTTCATTCCACAGCTCACACAACAGAACCGTAAAAAGAATGCATGCCAGGTTGAATGAAAGATAGCTTGCTGAGTATGATCTATTGTCTTTTTGGAGTGCAGAGTCGTTTGCTTGTTCTGCTGCCATGTAGATCCTTACGCCTCCTTTTGTATGAATACATTTTATACGGCCAAATATACCAATCGAAGTCACATATCTTCCATCAATATTTGACCAATCAAAAAGCATCTTCAAAGTTGAAGTCAATGTGCTTCTGTAAAAATTTTAAAAGCCTGGTCCAATCGCACTGTTAGATCCAATAATGGGGGTGAATATAATTAACTGTGATGCAATCTGCAAGATATTGAGATTGATCTCATAAACCTGCTAACTAGCTCATTTAAAGCCTGTATTTAGAAAATACCGCATATTGATATATTTACCCTACATTAGATAATCGACCACAGCTAGCTTCAAGGTTTGTTTTATCTTCTATGCATTCCAATCAAACTCGACCCACTCAATACATCCAGAATAATATGGTGCCCAAATGAGCTTTGTGTCCGTGCAGCAAACGGCATAGCAAATAGCTTCTGTTTCTAGTGTCTCCAATACATTAAACTGTAAATCAAATATTTTAAGTCCTTGGTAAATACAAGACGAGATAATAAAGTTGCCTTTTTGTACTATTTTCCAAAGAGTGCCTATTTTATCATGTCTGCTGATGACTCTAAGGCTTTTGGAGTCATAAATTATTAAGCTTTCATCATACGACGACACAGCAACATGCTCCTCATATCTGAATATATCAATGATTCCTAATCGCTTTTCATCTATCATAACAACTGCTTTTTCCAGCAGGTCATACACAAAAACATGTCCTGCCTCATCACCTGCATACAAAGTGTTGTCGAGGACCTTAATGGTCCATATTGGACTGTTTGAAAGACGTATTTCTGACTTCTTCTTTAGCTTTTTGTCAAAAACGGCAATGCTGCCCCCAATATCACCAATATATACATTAGCACCAACAAAAATACATGTATTCATCACCGATGTATCATGCTTAGCTAGTACATCAAAGTCAATAAATGCAGAAACATCTGCTGCGTTCGCCGTGTAAAGTATTCCATCGTTGAAAAATGCCTGTAAAGTTCCCGATGTCTCTCTAGTTGAAAAGTACATCAAGTGTGTCTTTGTTAAGAAAGTATAATGCACCAAATCTAGAGTCTTCTCTAAACACGTACCCACACGCCACCAGATGCTTGTCTGTTTCAATGAGATAGTCTATGGGAATTCCAAGATCGGTCCTGCTTCGCTTCATCAAAAAATAGAGAAGGTGTGTTATAAAACTGCATGGATGAAGTTGTGAGATTTGTAATTTTCCGCAGCTCAATTCTAACCATCGCCATAAGGTGCTAAAAGCCCATGCCATGCTCACAGATGTCCACTTTCTAAATACAGCAGAAGTGTTAAAATGCAACGACCTTTTGCATGCCAACAAAATAAACTATTTTATAAAGGCCTAAAACTGCTATAATGCCGTATATTCTTTTATGGCAATTGAATTAAATACAACCTTACATTCCTTGATACACTGAGAAATATATTGTACTCCATCAAATGGCAGATCAGTATTATCAAGGGAAATATACTTCAAAGTATGTTTCTGGCTATTAATCAGTTCATAAAAGCTTATTCCTTCAAATATACACTTGCTAAAGTATATTGATGAAAGTCTTGGAAATTTTTTAACCATTGAAGTGCTTATTGTGCAATTTTCAAGCCATTGAAATTTGATTCTTGAGCCAATTTGCTGAATATTATCGAGCACTACACTGTTGTAATCTGTACTTAGGATCTCAACGGACAGCCAGGAAGGGTCAAAGACCCCAGATAAATCTATCTCTCTAACCATAAAATATGAAAACGATCGACCCAAAGCACAATATTTCACCATTGAATTAAGATTTTTATAATAAAACTTCTTCATACTCTTTTTGTGGACTATTTTAAAAAAGTAGTCTATTGGCATAAAGCTATTTTCAATGCCCAAACAACATATTTTTGACTTGAAAATCATGGAGTACAGTTCAATTTCATAGCGAGAGTGTTTTTTGTCTACTAACTGGACGTTTATTAAATCGAGAGACAGTGGTGAAAGAGTACAAATTAGCTTGTTAAGAATGCCAATATTTATGTTAGTATCCTTGAGAACTAAATGGGTGACATTGAAGTTCTCCAGTCTATCGACTTCAAATGCAGAGATTTTTTCAAATTTGAGTTTGTTAATTTTCAATCCTTCAAAGCATTTTAGCTTGACCAAACAAGAGCCCTTAACAGTAGCCGTTCTTATATTTTTATTTAAGCCAAAATCGTATGAAAACAAGTATGGTGTGGCTATTTGCAAATCCTGAGAATTACTTGATGTCTCATGATTTCTGCGCTTACTTGTAAATCCTTGTACTAACCTAGAAATAAGAAATAAAACATCCTGGTTGATTTCTAAACGAATATCTGGTGCTTTATTTGGCGTGGATCTTGTTGAGGTGTTTTCCTCGACGTTTGATGTGTTTTCCTTATTTCTCACTACCGAGCTCAGTCTCTGCATAAGGGCTGGGAATACCATATTTTAAACACAAAAGTCGATATGCTGATTGCCTGCCCCTGTGTACACTAACCGTTTCACAATTGAATCTTAAAATCTAAAGAGTATCGAAAACTGCGGAAGTTGTACTTGTATCAATGTTTTTTATTTGCTCGACGATCCCGGTCTTCTAATTAGAAATGAATAGAAAACGTTACTAAAACTGGGCAAGGAGCTTTTAAAGATCATAAAGAGGCCAACCGCTTCTAATAGCACGCCAAATAGTGTATATTTTAGAACTAGCAGTGCAACTCCTAAAACAAAGAATGCAGTTCCTTGTAGTTTTTCAAACTTTAGTAGAGAAAATGTGCTTGATCTAAGAATCTGTGCAAATCCCGCAATCACTAGAAGGTTTCCAGCAATAACAAGGGCTTTGTCAAATAACAAAAATGTTCCAAGAAGGAGAACGCCGATTCCTGTGCATATTGTGATCGTCCCTGTTTCGTTTAAGGACATGCTGACAGGGGCTCGGATAGGTATATTTCCGAATAAAGAAAGCTGCAAAAATCAGTTTATTTATGGTCTTGAAATTAACATTTGCCTTGATTTGTATAATCCCAACTACTAATTTTAATCTGCATCTTTGAATTTTGATATTAGTTCATATCCAAGAGACACTAGTGCAGCTTTGGTATAGTTCTGATCAGGCTCGTACTTGGTGTCTTTCTTGCTAAAATATCCAATTAATAGCGTGTCCACCTTCTGAACCATTTGGTAGGCCTCTTCAACATCATAGTATCCAACTCCAAATCTATTGTTGACAATGTCAGACGAATTTACTGCCATTTCACTTTCTAAACAGTAAATAGCCTCACCTTCGGTAAATAGATACTTACTACTAAGCCTTGCTGGATATTTTTTGATATACCTTTTCAATTTAAATACTTGGTCGCCATACATATTTAATAGGTGCTTTGAATATTCAATATCCACTTCTAAAACCCTAGAAATCTCGTAAAACAGATCCCTCGAATATTTCCTACTTCCAAGCACTTGTATTTGAGATGTTAGGCAACCATTCAAGGCTTCTAAATGGTAGTTTTTGATGGCAAGATCAATAGTTTTCTCCGCCATTGATCTGAATGTTGTCCATTTCCCCCCTGCTACAATTATCAATCCGTTTCTATCATCAAATATCTTAAATTTTCTCACGATACACTCTGTACTTCCCTTAAAGTTGTTTTTAATCAGTGGACGTACTCCTGACCAGGCAGAGGTTATGCTTTTCTTTGTTATTTTTTTATCTGTGTACTTATTTATTTCATTTAAAAGGAAGTTTACCTCATCTTCAGTTGGCTTTATCTGTGAGCTTGCCAGCCCTTCACTTTCAGTTGAGCCAACTATTGTATGATTGTTCCATGGCAAAATGAAGACAACCCTGTTATCAGATGTTGTTGTATCGAGAATACCCATGTCTTCAGTGCCAAATCCAGGCTTGATAACTATATGAGTGCCAATACTTGGAATCATCAGGTTTTCGGCATGGTTGTTTTTTCTGCAGATGCTATCAGTAAATGGGCCTGCTGATGATATAATAACCTTAGCATTCACACAAAACACCTCTCCACTGATTTCATCTGATACTTTTATGCCAGCAATTTGGCCAGTCTCACTTTTAATAAAATCTATAAATTTGGTGTGATTAGCAACAGTTGCGCCATAGAATGCTGCAGTCGTGGCAAGCATTACATTAATTCTAGAGTCAAACATCATTCCATCATAATAAATCATTGCACTCTTTAAATCTTGTCTTTTGAGATTATTAAAGTAGAGCGATGCGTTTTTTTCAGGCAGCAGATAGCTTCTTCCTAATGCACTACCCCAGCTTAGCCAGTCATAAAACTTTAATAGCATAAAGTAAAAGGGTATCTTCACAATGTTGTAAATAGGCACCATTATCCTGACTGTTCTTGTCAAATAAGGTGCCATTCCCATAACCGTCTTTCGTTCATGCAATGCATTCAAAACCAGTAGTAGCTGTGATATATTAAAACAGCTAAATACCTTTTGTAGATATCTAATCCACCATGTAACAGCTTTGTACTTTTGGAACTTGTTTCTGATCCAAAGTCCAGCGCCTCAATCAATCCAACCTTTAGTCCTCTTGTTGCTGCATCAAGTGCACATCCTGTTCCAACACACCCACCACCAATTATCAGTACATCGAAGGTCTTCTTCTTTAGCGAATCTATGATTTCATTTCTCTTTATGATAGACCTTTTTAGCTTTTGCCTTTTGTAGAGCTCTCTCAGTTTGCATTTGATTCGGCTGGCAGAATATGCCCTGAAGAACCTTGCAAGGCAAATAATAATTATAAGTACTGAAAATATCTCCTTTATCATTATTTGTTTAGCAGTCTGGTTGTTTATATGATGCTGAAACAACTGTGAGATGATAACAAGTAAATTGATTTGAAACAGGCAAGTTACGCTCGTTGGAGTACAGTTTATTTCACTGGATGTTATGCTAGCTTTGTCACTATCCATGGCTTGAAATGGTCAGAGTAATTCATTATTATCAAGAATAGCTGCCAAATTCTGAATTTTCTGCAGCTAATGTACAATACTGTAAACAAAAATCAAGATATAACGACGTGTCACTGCTTTCAATACTTGTACACAATAAAGGAGACAGCAATTGTTTTGAGTCTAAATAAAACATGCCCTGCATGTCAAGAGAAACTCTCCTGACAACACTGAAGAAGTTCGAAGAAGAGCCAAAGATTGAGATCGAGAAAATTAAAAAAGAAGAGATCTACACAATAATGAATGATTTGAATAGGTCGGATTTTAAGTTTTCTAAACTTCACAAAAGCTTTCTAGCAACTAAGCTTTATCTTTTCCTTTTACAAAAGACCTTTGACAACTTTCCAATCTCATATTTCCAAGGAATGATGGAAATAGCTGCAGTTTTGGTCGATGCATATTTTCAGGATAAGGCAGCATCTTTTAGATTAAAACACAAGGATTCTGACGAGCATGCACCTCCAGCCTTGAAAATTGGTGAGATTTCAGATAAGGAAAAGAGCATGTTTGAGGAATTTCTAGCAAGCAATTTGGACTTATACAACAAATTCAGGAATGGCTTGATTAATATTTTGATTGAAAAATTTATTTTTTTTACTAAAGATGAGTTCAGAAATTACAATGAAAACAATAAAATATTCATAAAACTAATGAAGGATAAGTTTAAAAGAGTCATCGAGCCTACAGCTTCAATCAAGTACATGAACCACACCCTGACCTTCTTCAAGCGAATAGCAGGGAATAGTGATGTCGCATTCAAATTTTTCAATTTAGTTTTGAATTCAGATCCATCTATCGTTTTTAGCATCTTGGCAGTGTATATCGACAAAGTTGACCATTTTAATAGTGCCAGAGTAACTATAACAGACGAGAACAGAAACCAGTACATGGTGACATCATTGGAAGAGAATGATATTAGGAATATCATTGGTGCACAGGAGATGTTTCTTAAGTGCAAGAGTGGAATGGAAACAGACAGACAATCAAAAAGCACATACATTTTTCTAGGCGCAGCTGTAGGATGTGCAGTATTGGCACTGCTAATTTCCAGATGGAACGACAGAGACAATAAATGACACTTCGTTTAACGACATTCAATTATAATTATTAGCTTAGCTTGCAATTAGCTAATCAACAGTTTAATATCTTAAAGACATCATCAAAGGCGTATTTGGCATCGTCGTTTGGCACCTCGGATCCATTAATTTTGTAGATTTTACCACCAAATGTCTCTTCTAGTTCCTCTCCTATCATATTAAATATTTCACATTCAATATTCTTTTGAATTTTATATTCGGAATATCCGCGCAATTCTAATCTTTTCCCAATTTCACCGATGTCACAGACAACGTGAAAAATATAATCAAATGCAATATCTTCGACAACCACAGGAGAATGTGTATCGACAATGAAGCAATTCTGTAGCTTGAGGTGGTTATTTAGATGCTCTGCAACTGTGTCTTCATCAAACACAAGAGTGTCTAATTTTTCATCAAAGCTTTCATACAACTTATTATCTTTGACAAATCGAGTAACATCAACGTGTGCTATATTTACTCTCTGTGCAATCTGCTTGGATAGGGTTGTTTTTCCGACTCCTGGAGTGCCAGCGACAAGTATTTTCATAGTCAGCTTCAGAAAGGCCGAGTTGGGTGTAGATTTGATTTAAAAAGTAAAATTTTGATGTCCAAAGTCTAAAACCAATAGAAATTTTGAATTCAAAAATAAAAATATTAAAAATTAGGATCCACACAATTTAACAGCTATCACGAGCGAGTTATCATAGATGCCATTAATTTCAATTAACATGAAGACCAAATTCAGATAAAAGGGGCTCCTAACTACTCCAGCAGGTAATAGTTGTTGGGGAGGCAACGGCTAAATAACCTTTACTAGCTTTTTTGTCAATAGGTGTGCAATATCAGACTTTTTCAAAAAGTATATTCGATCCTTCTTAAGCTCAACGAACTCGTCGCCGCACAGGACAACCCCACAGTCTTCTAAGGCTAGAATTTGAACAAAAAAGTCCAGAGGCGGATGTCTGTCTGTTAAAGCAAGATGCTTAAAATCAGCTAAGTATTCTCCAACTGCGTCTGAAAAATTTTTATAAAACTCTAATTCATGGGGAGCTAGGAATTCGACAACGTTTTCTTTGGAAAAATAGCTGTCTTGAATTCTCTTGAGTCTAAAAAGCTTGTATGTTTTGTGTATTCTTTCTAGTCTATCTTTATATGCTTTCAATAGTGCGAAGTTTATCGACAGACTTTCTGTAATTTCATTTACCTCAGCCCGAAGCTTAATATCATCTATTTTTGATTGAACAATTGCCATTTCACGTTCTAAAGAAGCTACTTCAGCTGTATTAAATTTTTTGAATTGATTATGTTTTATTTCATCCAAAAGATCTTTACAAGTTCCTTCGGACAACATCAGGGCACTTTAAAGTAGATTGTAAATCAGCATTACTAACAAAGTATAGCACTAAATGTACAGACGTCCTTTTTGGTAAATTTTCTGAACCACTTGGAACCAAGATGCCAGCGGATACTACATACTCGGTTTATCTTAACTGCATTGTTGAACTACTTGAAAGTCTTTGTAATATGTGAACAAGTAACATCAATCTTGCACAAGATACTCACTACAAACTCTCCTATTTCGAACAAGCGAAATTCAATGGCTTGGTTATAATAGCTATTAATAAACTGTCTTTTAAAATTACCATTGCTCATCATACCGCTTTATTTCGGATGTATGTTTCAGGAGCTATGCAGATATCTTAATTTTATACTTTTTGTAACTATAAATACTTTCACCCCTACATTGTTGGAGTAGAGGTGACTCATTCCGATTCTTCTGACCGAGATTTTGGGGTTGTACGAGTGACTTTCCTAAGGGAAGGAAAGTCGTGCTGTAAAGCGCTGGGAACCGCACGAGGACGGAAACGTAGCAGTGAACACCGGCTTCCTTAGAAGTCGAGGTTTTTTGTTTCACTTTGTTTATTTTCTTAAATTTTGGGACCCCTCTAGATGAGTACAGCTTTTACTCAGGGTACCGTAAAGAGAATCATGAAAGAGCTTCAAACAATGCAGAAGGAACCGCCGCCGAATACCAGTGCTGCACCAATCGATGAAAACGACCTCTATAGATGGCAGGCAATTATTCTTGGTCCACCTGATTCTCCATATGCTGGTGGAGTATTCAAGCTATCTATCGTTTTTCCAGCTGACTATCCATTTAAGGCACCCCGTATTGAGTTTTTGACCAAGATTTACCACTGCAACATCATGAATAAAACACTTTGCATCGATATTTTAAAGTCACAATGGAGCCCAGCTTTGACTATAGACAAAGTTCTCATCTCAATTGTATCGTTACTTGTAGATCCCAATCCAAAGGACCCACTAAATCGAGAGGCTGCAGAGAAATATTTGAACGATAGGAAAGAATACGAAAGAATAGCATCAGAATGGACAAGAAAGTATGCAATGGAAAACTCAAAGGGCGAATATGGATCTGAGTTGTGATAATCTAATAAATTCTTTCTTTGAGCCCTTAAAAATCTATTTTATGCGATATACTGCAAACTTCTTACTTAGCATACCTTTCATGGTTTGATAATGGCAAGGCTTCTGCATCACATATATCATGCATATCAAATGGTTTGGTTCTCGCATTAATCAACTGTTGATGTGTGCAACAAGTATTAAATAGAAAACAATCTATCACTACTAGAATACCAGCTTGCCATCTATGCATAGTTGTATACAAGGTTCCATATTCTCTTGTTAGTGCCGCTGCCCTTTTATTTATTTTCCATGCTGTTATTGCCCATGAGGGAAAGTTCACAAAGACCATTAGATGACGTAGAAAAAGGAGAAAGATTAAAGTGCATATTTGAGGTACTAAACAAGGACAAGAAGAGATATGAGAGGATAAAAAATACAAGAACTCTTTCAGAAGCAGAACAAAAAGAGTACGATGACGTATGCACACGGCTCAACTCATTTTACGAAAAATGCCAAGCATTTATCAAGCCACGAAAAAACGGGCCAGGTAGATTTATGGTACAGGCATATGTGAATTGGTGTGCAAGCCAAAACATTATTGCCAAGCAAGGTAAATCACATCATGATCCGCCAATTGAGACAATTGATAATTCGGCTCATTCAGCAGAGGTATATGAAAGGACAGTTTCTTCAGAACAAGCTATATTCAGAAGCCAGTCTTTTGCTCAAAACATTCCACATGCTCAGCGAAGTGTCGAATATGAAGCTTCCAAAATTCAGCAAGATGTAGAATACGAACCAAATGTATATAAAAACATGGGCTTTGCACAAGTGGCCCCACAGGAATACGATCCTAACAACGATATGACAAAAACAGGAAAGAGTGTATACAAAGTTGATAAACCCTCAGCCAACAAGCACTTATCGTCCTATCCAGATGCTAGAGATAGAGAAGGAGTAGACTATAGATTAGCTCAAACGATGAGGAACTCGTTGTCTCAAGGACCCATCCCAGAGTTTGATCCTAAAAAGTCGAGTTTGTATAATATTTCCGCTGATGAATTGTCTGGAAGGGCAGTGATAAATAATCAACCAAATAGTGTAAACAATGTCCAGCCCCATTATTCTGGCAATGTCAGGCAAGTATACTCAAGTGCCAACCAGCCTGGACATCAAAATTTTGTTCAACTTGGAACTTTTGTAGACTATAATACATCACGAAGTTTTCAAAATAAATTTCAGCCATTAACGTTTCCAGCTGACCATGTTGTAAAAAACCCAATCTATCAAAATGATAATCCTCAAGGATTATATGGCCTGGAAGAGGATGCTAGCTATAACGGGGCAATGCGATGTAAAAAAGAACGATTCTCCCAGAAAAGCGGTCATCCGCAAATGTCAAATGCATACCTTTCCGAAAAATTTTACGTTAGAGCACAAATGAAAACGAGTCAAAGACAGCCTGACGATCTAAATACCAGTCATAGAAATTTTCAAGAGTCACATGGCCAGAACTTAGGCAGTAATCAAGGGTTTCAGACTATGGGCATTCCTCAAAGAAGTACAGTAATTGCTAGTCAGGGGAAAACGTATCAAGGCAATAGTGCCTTCGTAAATTCTGCTTCTCAACATATGAAACATTCTCAGCCGGGTAAGGTTTATGATGCTGTACACCAAAAAACATCCCCCAGGATGGTTGGTAGTTTGCTTAATGTGAATGGTTCTATTAACAGGCATGTCGTGGATATGCCTAATAATATTGGTATGGCTGGTTCTAGCATGGATCATTTTGATTGTAGCACTGGATTTGCATACAAAACTAGACCAGATAGATCATTGCTGGATGTGGATCAAGCAAAAGAGCTTGAAAGTATACTTTCAGATAGATCAGTGAACTATATCCATTCAAGGTCTGAGCCAACTCTACCTGCTAATTCCGGACCTATTCAAAATAGAAACATAGGATCATCGCTATACTTTACTGCCCAGAAAGCATCTAATAAAGCAACAAAGCAAGACTCAAGAGGTGATATAGTATCAGAACCATTGCTTGTAAAAACTGGTTGTTTGGATGAAAGATTATGGCCCACAGACTGTATTCGTAAAGTAAAACCAACAGTAGCTATTCCTGCAAGGAGGAAGCAAACTGTCAATATGCCTATTCCGTTGAGCCCTAAAACAGATAATACTTTCTCATTTGAGTTTGTGTGTGATGTTCGACAACAGCCACCTGTAGCAGAATATAGAGATATTCCAGTAAAGTACAGCCCAAGAAAATATACTAAGCAATCTCACATCCGGCCAGAATGTGTTTTTTCAGGTATAGAGTACGACCGAATTGCATTTCCAGTTAATAAAAGTATTGAACACAATGTAAAAAATGTTTTAGTTGGCGGTTTAATGGATTCAAAGTCAAAGAGTGAGAAGGAAAAGGTTTGTGAAACTATATCAAGCACATACAGAATGGTTAAGAATTTTAGAACATCAATACTCATAAATCCAAAGCTGGCTAATATTTGTAGAAAAAGCTTTGTGAAATTTTGTGAAGAGTTGAGCATTTCAGACGAGATTTCAAAAGAAGTCGCCATTCCAATCCTGATTCATCTTGATTGCATACTACACAAAACACTTTTCATTTCGGGAATGATTGCACAGTCAAGGCCCAATCAAAAAATGCGAATAAAAGACGTGGAGTTGGCATTTGAAAGAGCAACAATTCCAAAGCTTGTCAATACAAATAATGATGGGGAATTGTTTAAATGGGCGCTTGATGAGGTTAGGAAATATAAGACTAATTAAATAGAACAGCAGATTATCAGCAAAAGCGTCTTTTAAATATTTTGCACATGGTTTTATATGCATAAAAGCTACAATCTAAAATAGATCGCACGCTTTCAATCGGTCCAACATAGAACATATTTGTCAGTCAACATTTATTTCATATACAACAGCTGGAATTCAAAACATGCTTATTTAATCGAACTTGATCTCACCTGAAAATACACACGGAATGTCATATACTACAGCACCTTCTCTGACATTGCATATTCCATAGTATGGAACTGATTTCTGGTCAGTTCCAAATATCATTTCAAACATAAAAAAGTCAATTCTGTCCAAGAATCGGAATAACTTTGAGTTACTCTCCATAATCCTTGAGACGATATCTTTGTGCTTGTTTCTCAGATGATTTGTAACAAACTCTACAGATAAAAACGTCTTTTCACATTGATTACACATGTAATTCTTTTCCTGGGTCTTTGAATAGTACCTTTCAAAGCTCTCGGTAGACTGCTTAATCAGATATATATTTTTAGGATGGCCGAGAATATCAAATTTTCTTGAACAAAAGTCATTTTGGGAATGCTTTGAACAACTCAACACCATGTCAACCCAATTATCAAATTTTTTACAGCAATCTATGCAAAAATAAAAATCCTCTCTCAAAACTTTAGCATATGTGTCAATGTCCTTTTTGGATCTGACCTCGTTGGCTAAATTCTCAGTGATGCAGTCTTTATTTTCGTATTTTAATAATTCCTCAAATATCCTCTGTGCTTGATCCAGATTTGCCATGCTAAAATTTGTAACTTCCTTGCCAGATATGTCAGCAATGTCTACATCAAAAAGCGCCCGTAAATTGTCAATTGCTAATTCCTGGCCGAAACCATTTCCAACCACAAACATATTCCTTGTGAAGTTATTTTCCGATCCGTTTTGCGAAACAAGAATCTCGGAGGTAGGAATAATTGACTTAACTTTGGCCACTACCTCAGAAAGTGGTACATGCCCTGAAATGTTTTTAATTTGAATGAACTTGCTGGCCTGCTTTTGAGTAAAATTTTGAATATCTTTGGGAGAAGAATATTCTACGCTATCATTTAAATACCTATCCTTGAACCACTGGGCATTTGAGTACTTTAAAAATATATCTAATGTTTTTCGTTTTAGAAAGTAGTCAAAATATTGAGAATAAGATGCATCTGGTAATTTTCTTTTAAACTCGTTCTCAGTTAGTATCCTTGGCGCATTGAGAAGGAACGGCAAGTCCACAATTTCGTTTTCATAGTACCTCCTCTTGCCAGGCTTGTGGCTGTAGAACATTCAAGGGATAACAAGCAAATTTCAAAACATCCAGAAAGCAATATCAATCATAGACAAGTGATAGCTGTGCACCACCACATTAGCATATAAATTAGTAAATGAAAGCAATTACCTATTAGTAAATTTATTAGATTAACATGAGCACGCTTCGCAATAGCTATCGTTGTCGTCGTTTTCTTTCCTATCATCAGTATTGTCGAACCTGTTACCAAATGAGCTAAGCGTTTTCTCAACTAGCTCTTGGTTTACCGTGAATTTAATTGGATTTAGAATAGGTTTAGTCCTGAGGTAGTACATTCCAGTCTTGATCTTCCTCCTCCAACCATAAAAGTGCATCGATGACAGCTGAGCAAATGTGGGCTGGGCTAAAAATATATTCATCGACATTGACTGATCCACAAATGGCTGACGATCCGCTGCCAAATCAATAACAGACTTCATTTTGATTTCCCAAACTGTTTTATATAGATTCTTGATCTCCTGGGGGATACAAGGTATGCTTTGTATGGACCCTTCATGCTCAATTATAATATTTTTCATTTCCTCATTCCACATGCCCAATCTTTCAAGATCTTCCATCAAATACGTATTTACCACTTGGAATTCGCCTGCAACGGTTCGTCTCGTAAAAATATTGCTGGTATAGGGCTCGAAGCACTCGGAGTTTCCAAATAGCTGTGATGTACCTGCAGTAGGCATTAGAGCAATAAACAGACTGTTTCTAACACCATATTGAAGCACTTTGGCCCTCAGCTCTTCCCAGTTCCACATTCCTGATGGCTGCGCACCATACATTTCAAAGTGAAAAATACCTTTACTCAATGGTGAGCCAACAAAAGAGGAATAAGGACCCTCTTGCATAGCCAGCTCAGCAGACGACTCAATGGCAGCAAAATACATGGTTTCGGCAATCAGCTTGTTCAGCTCCCGGGCTTGTTGGCTCTCAAATGGGTATCTCAGTTTTGAAAATGTATCTGCTAATCCCTGGATTCCAATTCCAACGGGCCTATGCTTGAGATTGCTTCTTGAAGTTTCAGGCACTGGGTAAAAGTTGTTGTCAATAACTCTGTTTAGATTAACCAAGGCCGCCTTGACCACTTCGCGAAGAGCGTTGAAATCAAAAACACCATTTTTCACAAATGCTGGCAAACAGACAGATGCAAGATTGCAAACGGCAATCTCATCACTTGCAGAGTACTCAATTATCTCGGCACAAAGATTGCTAGATCTAATTGTCCCCAGATTCTGCTGGTTGCTGTATCTGTTACATGTATCTTTATATACCATATATGGAGTGCCCGTTTCAATCTGCGAATTTATTATAGCCTTAAACAACTTTTGTGCTGGTATTACAACTCTACTAAGAGTCTTCTCATACTTGAGATACAACTTTTTGAATTCATCTCCCCACACATCATACAGACCCTTGGCCTCGTTGGGATCAAATAGTGACCATTCCTCGTCATTCTCAACTCTTTCCATGAACAGATCGTTAATCCACATGGCTATGAAAATATCCCTGGCACGCATCTCTTCATTTCCTGAATTTTTTCTAACATCCAGATAGTCAAAAACATCCATATGCCACGGCTCAAGATAGAAAGCTATTGTGCTCTGTCTTTTTATTCCACCTAGATTCACATACTTCATTGTTTCGTTAATTATCTTTATGACTGGAACAACGCCCTTGGAGTATCCACCTGTTGATTTGAGCGGAGATCCTTTGCATCTAATATTGTGCAGACTTAGACCTAATCCGCCAGAGTATTTTGATATTATTGCACAATCCTTGATGGTGTTGTAAATGCCCTCTAGCGAGTCCTCCTTTGGAGAAATGAGGAAACACGATGCCAACTGACACGTTTTGAGACACGAATTAAACAGAGTGGGTGTGGCATGCGTAAAATATCCCATTGAAATGAGATCATAGGTCTGCTTGACTCTATAAAAGTCATTTCGGTGTATCTGAATGGCAGCCCTCATAAAAACATCCTGCGGTCTTTCAATTGGCCTTCTGTTAATTTTTATCATATAAGATCTAAGAAGAGAATGCACTGAAAAGTAAGATAAGTTAAAATCTCGGGAATAATCAATCATAGAATCGTAGACTGGAGCATTCTGGATAATCAATTCATAAATTTCAAGATTTAACAAAGATGTATTCTGCTTAATTAGCTTTATTTTCTCTGAAAAACTCTCTAACGTAATTGACTGGTGGAAAGTCGTTAAAATAGCAGCCGCAAGCTTGGCATAATCTGAATGAGTGGTGAATAGTGCTGCTGCTGCCTCGCTACAGAACTTGGCCAATTCTTCAGTTCCCATTTCCGGAGTAGTCCCTAAGCTTATCTTATCCAGAAAGTCTGCAACATCTATATGCTCTAGCCTGTATTTATCTATATATGACTGAATCTCTTCTTTGTAGTTTTGCAGATTCAAAAGGGTGGCCATGGGTTATTTGTGTGAAAAATATAAAAACTAAAATTTGGAGGGAAAATGAAAATTTTTGCTATAAATCGGGACATAAACGGCTAAAATTAATGGTGGGAAATCGCCAATGCTTTTGCCATTGTTAATTCGATTTCACAAGAGTTTACAACGTTTTTGGATTTTACTTAACATTTTCTCATTTCAGTAAAATGCAGATATATTCAATGAATGTTATTAATAACATTACAAAGCAACCAAACGTGTCGGGATTTAATCTCAGATATACCTTTTTGGACACCAAGATCAGTGAAGATGGTGTTTAATTTTTGCAGGACTGCTAAATAGGACGCTTGATATAAAATACAGGTATAAAAACCAATCAATGCACTATACCAAAACACTCAATGTTATTTCAAGTATTGTGCCCCTTATGTTTAACCAAAATTTTAAAGGAAGGAGAAGAGCAACAAGAAACAAAACGATAGTGGTGGAATCAAGAGATCTCCAAGACAGCAGCTGCCAGAAAAGTAATGCCACAGATTGCGACTTTTTTAAGGAGGCTATGGCCCTGGATGTATCTAAATCATCCGAGAATCTCAAAATGGAGCCCAAGCAGCCAGAAACTCCAACTAGAAAGTCTGATGTTATTGAGTCCAGGACATTTGTATTTACAGAACTCATGAATGCCTTTCAAACAATTGAGAAGCGAGCATTCGAAGACTTCCATGTAATCAAAGCTGCCTTAAAGAGATTCAAAGTCAATGATGAATCAGTGGTTGAAAATGCCATAGAAGATAAGGAAATGAAAGTTCAGGCAGAGATATTTCCCAGAATAATGAACAACCCATTCTTAAGAAACGATCTTAAAGTCCCAACTGATAAAATAGAAGAGGATGCCAGATCCAATAGATTTTACAGCAAGAGATTTGGATAAATGCAAATAATTAAACATAAGAATGTTTAATCCAACTCTTGTATTGTAATGCTGTTGGATGTCTGTCATATAAAAGTCAATAAATAATAATGAGCTTTAGTGTTTTACAGCGATCTATATATTATGAGGAATGCGATTTAATTAAATGAACTTTCATAGCACCATTGCTATACAATTGCCACGTGCTGATACAAAACGTCTCGAACAGCTACTAGCAGGTCATTTTCACTACTTTCAATAGAAAGACGATTTGATGTAAATTCAATTTTCATCTCATTGTTGACAATCAAAATGCCATCTTGTGCCTCAACCTGAAATCCTCCTTCAATGAGTGAGTTTTTAAGAATATCAATATTCAAATTGCCTAGAATTACTGGCTGACAGCATCCTGCATACTCCAGCTGGTCCTGGTCCCTGAAACGCCTTGAAATGAGCAACTGAAGTATCACATAGCTTGTAAAACTCCTGGTTCATAACATTTTCTGTAATTGATATTTTCTCTGCAGGGCTAGTCGAGCTGAACGATACCATCTCACTGGCAATATAGGAATTGATTCCCAGCCGGCATGTGTTAAAATACGTGTATAAAAACAATGCATTATCTCGAAAATCTTCCGCAATCACCAGTCTTTTGCAGTTTGACCCTTCGCATATCGTCTTATACGACACATAATCGCTTGTGCCATATAGGTCTATGCTCATAAGCGATATTTCAGGTATAATTCCTGTGTAGACTAATCTTCTCTCCTCAATCTCCTCGACTTCCCGCACAACAGGCATCCTAAGCTCCGTCTCATCAATCTTACTCTCAAATTTAAACAACACAGGCTCGCCATACTCATTATTCTGGCGTCTTCTTTTAATATACGGAAAGAAGTTTTTTCTTTCCAATGTTCCATGAACAAAAAACGTTGATTTTTCTTTGCTCCAGTGCTCATCCTCATTTTCCTCATCTTCATCACTTCTTATTTCGATTTTTTCAGGCACTGGCTCAAGTTGTTTCTCTTTGTATGCATAACTAAAGACTTTGATATTAGAAAAGTCAATGCTGTTATAGTCTTGGTCGATGAAAACCAGCGTATTTTGTTTTTGGTTAAACTTTTCAATAACCGCACCAGCATATCCTTCACTGCAAAGCTCGTTAACTAAAATTATTATTTTTTGATCGGAAAGCTCATTGACCTTAAGAAAGGATATATTTAAAAGTGGGATTATATCAGTAGCCTTTGAACCTGCCCATTCAACCATTGACTTGATTCTGTCAAGGAACATCTTGCCATTTCTTGAAACAATTGCTACTTTGTGCTTATGTAGAATACAAAGTAGCTCCAACAGCCTCTGATATGCCACCGAAAATAGTATACTTCCTTGGCTTTTGGACAGTACCTCATGTATCTTATCATCTCTTGTTCTAAGCGTATATGGAGTGATAGAAAGGTACGATGTGTTTGTGATAAAAATACTGGCATTTTCAATATTTGAGTGCGAAAATCCGTCCAAAAAGTGTTCTTTTCTGTGATTGAAGTTGTAGCAAATTACAACCAACTCAAGATCCTTGACAATTCTGTAGATAGAGTTGCCTATGATGTGTCCAGCGTTGAATGAGGTGATTTCAACATCTTTTATTTTGAATGGCTGTGAATACTTTATCTGTTTTGGAAAAAATGAACTAAGAATTCTGTCTCCTAGGTTGTGGTTAAGTTCATCCAGCACAATCTTTCCAAGAACAGCTGTTGGAATTGTGCAGAATATCTGAGAATCTGCAAATAAGCCTATTGCACCCATGTGCTGCAGGTCAAACGATGTTAGAAGGATACAGTCGGCATTTTGAATGGTTTCTTTCACAGTGTCGTATATTGAATAATCAAAATCCTTGCCTATTCCACAGTCTACTATGAGCTTAATGTTGTCTATTTGTAGGAGATGGCAGAATACTCCCGTCTTGGTGTCTATCAATGGTTTTATACTAATTTTGTTCTCCAGCATGGGCATTCAGAGTAAAATACAAAAAACCAATGCTATTTTGAGACAAATTTACTTAGCCTGTATACTCCAGCATCGTAATAACCCCAAGTGCCATTTTCATATGCTAAAAGTACTTAGTTGAGCTTGTATACATAAGCAGTTAAATACTTTATGCTAGCTGTGTTTAGACATATTTGTCTCCACGAATATGCCAATCCACATATATTCTTTAGATACAGAAAACTAGGCTAGCTACTTCATAATTTGGTTCATTTCCTTGGAAACAAAGTAGAGTGTGGCCGACTAGGAAAGCAGCTTGTGGGGCCCAGGCTCTCCTTTGGATTGTTTGATCCCACCTGAACCTAGATATCGACATCTTTTGATGTTTCAGCCATTGGTGGCAATTTACTTTAGATAGTACCATGCTGTCTTTTAAAAATCAAAGATAGTTATCTTTGGAAACTCTTAGATCTAGATCGCCCAGGATTCTACACCTGTACAACACTACAGAATACTCCATGTGTGCTTGTAAATAAACTGCCTAACTAAATAATCTTCCGCATCTGTTACATTCGAACTTGATAATGCACGGAGCTCTAAAGTATCTCTTGGACAAAGTTTAAGACTAAATGCAATGACTCCATTCAGGCATTTTATACAGCTCTATTTTAGTTTACGTTATTTTGCCGCAGATTTTCTTTGCTAAAATTTTCAAATATTTTTTGTTTTGATTTTATAAAAAAACTTACCCCCATGCCAGATTATCTCAGCATCAAGGACAATATCTTTACACACGTGGGTTTTAATAAACTTAGAGGATCGCTAAAGAATGGTGAAAAAACTCTACTGGAAATGCTTAAGAAAAAGGTGGAGCATAGCCCAACAAGTAAAATTTTTGGAACTATCAACAAGGAAGGCCAGATCGATTATATAGACTATCAAACAATGGACCGCAGGGCTAGAAGATTTGCAGTATTTCTCGAAACGATTACAAAAGAAAGAGAAATAGTTGGTATCGCATCTGTTAGTAGAGTGGAGTGGCTTATTACTGAATATGCCACATACTATGCCAACTGCATAAATGCTCCCGTGTATAGCACTTTTACTCCGCCCACTCTTGCTTCTCTCATCAATATGACTAAGATGAACATTATAGTTGCATCTTTAGAGGCTGCCAGAGAGCTTGTTGGAAAGGTTTATGATCTTTGTGAGACACATAAGTTTAAGCACATTATTCTGATGGATGACTCGCAAGAGTTAGTTGAAATGTGTCAAAAGAAAGGTATTAATGTGTCGGTTCTGTCAAATATTGTAAATAATAACATTTCTGATTCCTCACTTGCCAAAAATCCAATAATTAACGATACGCCGACGCGCCCATCTCCAAAATATAATGATCTCGCCAGTATATGTTTTACTAGCGGAACCAGTGGAGACCCCAAGGGTGTTGAGCTCACCCATTCAAACTTCATTGCACAATTAGAGGCTTTTCAAATAGGATCTAGGTTTTACGATATTGTGGAGATCACTCAAAACGATGCCTATATTTCGTATTTACCACTAGCACATGTTTTTGAAAGGATCTGTGTCTGTATTTGTATTTTAGAGGGATGTAGAATAGGCTTTTACCGTGGCAGCCGTGAAAAATTAGCGGAGGATTACAAGATTATTAAACCCACATTTGTGGCTGTTGTGCCTAAAGTTCTCAAGCTTTTTCGCGACACCATTGAAAAGAAAGTTATGGAAAGAAGATGGTACCAGAGAGCGTTCTTCAGGATTGGGATGGCATATAAGATTTTTCTGCAACGATTTGGTATCTATAAAAGCTGGATCTGGGATGCTGTTCTGTTTGGAAAAATTGCTAACCTTTTTGGTGGCCAGATTCGTTCTTGTTTGTGCGGTGGTGCAGCAGTTAATCCTGACCTGATCAAATACATGCAAGCTATACTCTCTGCAAATATCTTCCAGGGATATGGACAAACAGAAGGACTTGGGGCCAATCTGTTGAGTGTTTTTTCCTCCACCGATGTTGCTTCTGTCGGGATTCCCTTTATTTCTACAATGATTAAACTTGAGGATCTGCCCGAAGAATATCCAAGGAGCTACAAGAAGCTTCTGATGAACGGACCAGCAATATCGAGAGGGTATTTTAATCAAAAGAAGAGAGGAGATAATGAGTGGCTTGATACTGGAGATGTTGTAAAGTTTGAAAATAATCGGTTTTATATTCTCGGTCGTTATAAAGACCAGATTAAGATTGGCAATGGAGAATATATTGATCCTGAGACTCTTGAGAATTATCTGCTAGAAGAGGTCAAAGATATTGACAATATCTACATTACAATTAAGCCAGGACAGATTGATCTGATTGCGTTAGTTGTTTGTAAAATGACTAAGACTGAAGAGACCAAAAACAATGAGGAAACTGTTGCATGCTGGATTCAGAGTGCTCTTGACCATCTCAAAAATGAAGGAAAGATTGGCAAGTTTGTATCTATCCATCACTTTGTACTTATTGATCAGGATTTCAGTGAAGTTAAATCTGAGAGTGGGCTGGTCACTGCCTCTATGAAAAAAAGACGAGTGTTGATTGATAGGCACTTTTCTCACGAAATTGATGAGGCATACCGGAAAAAATATTAAATTTTATTAATTATGCTTCGTTTTAATACTTATATTTTTAACGGACATACATAACGAGTGCTGTTAATTGCATTATGTTTAGGAAGAATGTGTTTTCGCATTCACCTCTGAAGTTGATATTCGATAGTGGATCTTATCTCCATAGACTGTTTCAAGCTTAGTTCAAAAAATTTTGTAGAATTTTTTTACCCATGCCGACTCAAGGCAAAAAGAATAGCATTCCTGAGCAAAAGAGAAGTATTCTTGACTATTTCTCTCAGAGTAGTGCCAACAACACAGCTGACGAGAATATCCAAAATGAAAAGACAAAAAGACAAAAAAATCACATAAAACCTGCTGTATCAAGCGAGTTGGACCTTGAAAATAGCACATCATCCCTTGTTTTTGGAACTGATATGGATAGCTTTGGTAGCGGTTTCACAAAGGAGCATCCAGATACAGAAAATGAAAACATGCCGGATGAAGATATAGACATGGTGAAGAAAAATATTACTGTTATGAGTGAAGCTTCAAATGTCATGAATAAGAATAGTGCAATAGTTTGTAGCTCTAGCAATCCCAATACTGGCTCAGCTTTGTTAAACACTTGCAAACACAGACAACAATATAGTCCAGTAATAAGTAAGATTGTTGCTGACTATCTTGACACGAATCCTTCCGAGCTTACAATTATCGATACAACTGAGCTGTCTTCAGAAATGCCTCAGCAGGAGGAAAGGTATGAATTTTTGGTTGATGTCAGGGATAAAAACAAGATCAGAAAGGGCGAAGATGGGTACGATCCAACCACATTGCATATTCCTAAAAAATACTATGATAAATTTACCCCCTTTGAGAAACAATTTTGGGATATTAAAAGCAAGTATTTTGATACCGTTATATTTTTCAAAAAGGGTAAGTTCTATGAGCTATATGAGGATGATGCAATAGTTGCATCTAAATTATTTGATCTGAAGATCGTTGAGCGCGTAAACATGAAAATGGCCGGTGTTCCTGAAAGCAGTTATGAGGGTTGGGCCGCAAAGTTTGTTGCTCATGGATATAAAATAGGCAGAGTGGATCAGGTCGAAAACTCAATAGGCAAAAAAATCAGAGAACAGAATGGCAAAAAGGATAAAATCATTGCCAGAGAACTCAAAGAGATAATAACTACTGGAACTGCATATAGCCCCGAATGCATAGACGGGTGCTTTCCGTTCTTTCTGGGAGTGCTAATCCAACACAATCGATGCAATTCAACACAATGCGCAGGTCAAATACATTTCTCAATACTGCTGTATGATGCAGGTGCAAATAAGATATCTATAGGCACATTCTGTGATTCCTATGACTGTTCTCAGCTTAGAACCGTATTTGTTCAGAATGATGTTAGAGAGTTAATAACTAATGAGAAAGTTCAATTAGGAAAAGATATGAGAATGTGCATTCCTGATAAGACACCTGTTGTTTCAGATAGAAAATATGATTTTTCAATTGAAGAAGAATACCAATGCTTCTCGTATCTGTATAACTATATGAAATCGCTATGTCGTGAACAAGCACTTGAATCAGCCGTTGTTTCAAATATTAAAGAAGGCTCCGATTTTATGACTTTAGACGGGTCAACATTGGTTAATTTAGACATTCTTACCAATAACTTTGACTCTACCGAGGATCATTCGCTATTTAAGTCAATTAACTACTGCTCAACACCCTTTGGGCAGAGGCTTTTGAGAAAGTGGATTGTCACTCCTCTGAAAAACCTCGAGATGATTAATGAACGTCGAAGGATAGCTCAAATTTTTTCAAAAATCAACAGTTCTGAAATAGTGCAGTCTTTGAAAGAGATAGGCGATATTGAAAGATATTATGGGAGATTAGGAGGATGCAGTCCCACTTTTAAGAATCTAAAGTCTTTTGTCGAGAGCTTAAAGAAGGCCAATTCTGCTCTGAAGATTTTGAAAGCCATATTTTCAGATCAATGTGAATCACAATCCAACATTAATGCAAAACATCTGGGATGTGTCCAACACGTTCTTGATCAATTTGAGAAAGTCTATCTTCTCTCTGATTCTGATATTTTACCGGGAAATGATAACGATGAACTTTTTGTCCTCAACCGTCAGCAAGTTGAAATTCAAGATAAACTTCAAAAGTTTCTTAAAAGTCTGAAAAAATCCACAGGCTTTAACGACTTATGCTACAAAAGTATAGGCAAAGAAATATTTCAGATAGAGACTGGCTATAATAATCAAATGCCTAGTGGCTTCTATTTAGTTTCCTCAACTAAAACACAAAGAAGATACTATTCCGATGAACTTAAAGCCATCACTAATGAATTTGAAGAATGCGAAGAGAAAATATTCCAATCTAAAGGATCCATTCTAAGAAGAGCAGTTGATTTCTTGAAGTCGTTTTCGTTTGATATTCATTATTCTACGAACTATCTTGCTTGTATTGATTGTCTTATATCTTTCTCAACATTCAACGATCAGGTTGCCGTAGCAGTTCCAGAATTTGGCCCAAAGTTAGAACTGGTTGACTTTACCAATCCTATTTTCGCTGACTATATTAAAAATACCTTCACTCCCAAGCATAACATAACACTCGTTACAGGCCCAAATATGGGAGGCAAATCTACGTTTTTGCGAAGTATCTGTTTGAACATCATCCTGGCACAGATGGGGATGGGTGTGCTATGTAAGTCTATGAAATTGCCCGTTTTTGATCGAATATTTACCAGAATAGGCGCTTCAGATTCTTTAGCCAGAGGTGAATCAACATTTATGGTTGAAATGAATGAAGCATCTAAAATCTTAAATCAGAGCACGAGAGAGAGTTTTGTGATTATGGATGAGCTGGGAAGAGGCACATCAACTCGAGACGGTGAAGCCATTGCACGTGCAGTGCTAGATTATTTAAAGACTGTTGGTTGCATGTGCCTGTTCAGCACACATTACCACAAACTTGTGGAAAACTATGAAGATGTGGACAAGTCGTATGTGGGGTGCAAACTAGATCAGCGAGATATTACTTTTCTTTATAAGATGCAGGAGGGTGTCTGTGGAGATTCGCATGGTCTTTATATTGCCAGGATGGCCGGCATACCTGATGAAATTGTTGAGAGGGCATTTGGTATCAGAAAAGCACTTTCCAGTAATCAAAAATGAATGGTCTGCTGCCCTTTAATATAATACTTAATGAGCGTTTTACATACCATTTTTATTTGATATTGCAAAATTCTTCTGGATAGTTCTTTTTCTGTCTTTAGGTTTATTAAATGATTAGATTGTCACATATCAAGCCAGACGAAAATCTGGCATGTAAATTACTACACTCTCCAGCTTAATGCTTGAAGATAGGCCAAGCACTTTATTTCTATAGCCCAATGGTCTTTAAAATTTCCTGTGCCCACAGGCTTTTGATCACAAACTTGATAGATGTCAAGTAAACTTGACATTTTGTTCAAGGAATATTAAAAGGTGATTAGGTCATCCAAAGCTGCATTCTCAACGTACTATATTTCACATTCCAATACATATTTCATTCGATGCGATTTTATTTGAACATGTGTTCTTCTAACTGTAAAACAAGCATTAAAGAACTTAGAATACACACCTACATCTACTCTCTATGTACTTTCTCTAGTTTCCCTCCTAAAGTCATCCATCAGTAGTTTCATTTTGAAAATTTTTCTTTACCCTCATGGATTTATCAAAGGATTATTTATACAACAGAGAGAAAATTGTTTTGTTAATTTGCGATTTTTATGAGACTTCTCAAATACCCATTTCAATGCTGGAAATAAAGGATAATATAGCACTCTTCCCAGTAGCAAATATCCCACTAATTGAGTACATTCTTACTAATTTAATGGACCAGCAATTGAAGAATGTGGTTGTAGCAGGGAACAGAATAGAATCGATAATTGATCACATAAAGACCACAAAATTTTTTAAATACATGAATATTAGAGCGTTGAAGTCTAATGGGAACTGCCTTGGCGATATATTTAGAGAAATTCATAATTATGAGTATGAGTTTTTGGATTTGGTGATAATGTATGCCAATCACTACACGAATGTTCCGCTCGATAAGCTCATTGCCAGGCATCGAAATTCCAAAAATACAATCATGACTGTATTTACACACAAAATAGACACAAATGATATTTACACACACATATATGCTACTAAAGATGGTGTGATTTGCTATTATCAGAAGGTATCCGGAATCAAAGCCAATTCTGAGGATATGCTGAAGATATTAAAAGAAAATCAATCCCTCTACATTCACACATGCTACAGTAGTCCTACAATAGCAATAATTTCAAATCCAATATTCTCAATTTTTACCGATAATTTTGACTATGCAAATCTCGGTGATTTCATCGTAGGGATGATTGCTTCTGGGATTTATAATTACAAATTCCAAATGGTCACGCAAGATGATCTCAAGAAACAACATGCAGCCAATCATCACGAGCCAGTAGGGTCTGGACGGCATTACAAAGAGAATTCTTGTATGGAGGGGTGTTTAGGGGGGGAAGGTTCAAACGAGGATCCTGAATGTTACTATAGCAAAGAAATTATAACTCTTTTTGATTATTTCAGGATTAACGATGATGTTTTGAAGATGTCTTCTTCGGTGTTCCGTTTACCACAGACGCCAAACTATGTAAAAGGACATGTAAAAAAGCTTCATAGAATTGAGAACTCTGTGATAGGAGAGAAAAGCTCGGTGGAGGGCAGTCTTAGGAACTGCATTGTGTGGGAAAACTGCCATATTGTGAATGATTTGGACGACTTTATCATAATTACAAACGGAAGGATGTTTAATGTGTTTCATCTTGAATGTGAAGCTCGCATAGACAGTCCAGAAACAAACTCTCAGGAACAATTCCATAAGAAAGAGACCTTCTTTGACGATTTCAACGATTATTTGAATTCATTGATCGACAGTTCTGATCTCGATGAGCTAAAGTTTGACGATGTATTTAAACAGATATCGTTGTTGAGAATTATTTGGAATGCATCTCGGCAGGAGGTGATTGAAGCTTTTGCATTTTTCTTTATTGAGAGCATAGATTTTGAAGATCTTGAAAATTCGGTTTCAAAAGCGAGCTGGTTCTTTGGAATTCTTCCGGAGTTTGTGCAAACAATGGATGATCAAGAATTGCTCATGGAATGCATACATTGGAATCTTCATGAGGTTGAGTTTGGACTTAAGACACAGATATTTTTTAACTATGCTTTTTTGCTGGTTGAAGCTGGAATAATAGAAAAGGCTGTAGTGAAGCAGTTTAACAAAATGCATAAAAGTGGAACCTTTTGAAAATAAAACGATGTGGCCAATTTTTTGCAATTTTTTGATTATAGGCTTATTTTAACTATTTTAGTATAAAAACGAACGTGTGTCAAGAAGTATCGCATATTTTAAACTCACACCAGCTTGTTTATTTTAAGTTAGAGCAATCGATATCTGCAGAAGCGTTGAAGGTTCAAATTTAAAATGGTGATTTATTTCTTACTTGGCTTCTTTGATAGGTTCTTTAACTTTTTGGGCATTACAAGAAAATGTTTCCTTTTCTTATTCTTCGAGAATGACTTATTTACTGGTGAGTTGGCAGTCTGTAGCTGAGTAACTTCATTTTCAATAGAAGAAACAACTTTTACAGGCAAGTTCTCAACTTTTTTCTCAAACGAAACATTTGCTTGTCTCTTGTCATTGATCAAAGTACTATGATCTGAAACACGGGTATCGTTCATAGTATTATCATCCAGTCCATTATCCAAAGTAGTGTCTTTAATTCTTACATTTTCTATAACTTTTTTAACTGAACTTTCAATTGGAATGTCTGGCTCGGTCTCACCTGCCAAATTGACAGTTTCTAAATCATCATCAACATCGTTGTTGACAGAATCAAACGCATCTAAGAAAGAGCTATTTTTGGAGTTGTCAGCAATCTCACTCTTAGAGTTAGCATATTCTAATTTTTCAAATGACTTTGGGCTTGAAGATTTTATGGGTATGCGAATTGACGGTTTCTTGGAAGATGTATGCTTCTCCTTCATTTTCATATCTTTATAAATAATCTCCGGCTCTCCATTAGAATCAGAAGAATCTACAATAAGAACACCAGAATGGCTAGCAGTATTATTGGTGCACTACAAAAATAGTTGGCTTCAGGATGACTATCATTAACCTGGTCGACCTCAGAATGGCTAGTGCTTGATACAACGCTAGATTTTTTAGGACTTGGTGTGCCACTAGGCTTTTTAGGTGTCAATCCTGTGTTAAAGCTCTTCAACTTTGTCTTTCTAATAGACTCTCTACTCATCTTGATAGGTATCTCGGCTTTGGCATCTTGGCCTGACTGCGAGATTGCACCATCCAGATCTTTAATCGTATCATCAACTACTATATCCACAGTTTGAGACTCATGCATCGTGGCAATATTAGGTATATCAATGGCTATTTGCGAGGAATCATTCTTCATAAGTGGTGGCTCCGCAAATTCTGATTTGATCTTTTTAAAATATTCATCATAAAGCTGTTCGTTTAATCCATCATTTGTAGATAACCTGCCAGCCAAAGATCTCTTGCTCTGCACATTATCCTTACTCTCTTTTGTTTCCTCTCCAATATGTTTCAAAATTGTCTTTTCTTCAACACCAAGCGCGCCGTTAGATAAATTCAAATTTACATGTTCCTTAGGAACTTCAGCAATATCAAGTTGCATGCCAGAATGCAAACGTACACCAGAGCCCTTATTAAATGAAGTGTCTTTTAAAGTGATATGAATTTTTGATCCTTCGGATGAATCTGATGGTGCCTGATTCATACATATAATCTTCACTGGAGAATTTGGCATGGCTATAGTATCCATGGAGTCTACCCCAGAAGCATTTCTTTGTTCATTATTTTGTCGACTATTATCTGTCATACCGGATACAGATTTGCGAGGAGATAAGGATTCTAACTTTCTATTAGACGCATTTACGTGACCTACAGCCTGACTATTAGATATGTCAACGACGCTATTATTGATTGTATTCAGGCTGCCAGATGACTCTTTTAAATAACTCCTAATCGACTGTTCAAAACTTGAATCATTAGAAGAAATTGAATGAGATCTTTGAAGTGACTTTTGGATAACATTTGATGGATTGAGCATCTCAAACGAATTGTTTGATGAAGATTTAGCTCTTGGCAACTTGAATGGGCTGTTGTTTTGAACGAACTCTTCAACTGTAAAGTATTTGCTTCCTTTTTCCAAACTTTTTCGCCGTCTTGACTGTTTTTTGATGTTTTTTTCCACCAAGGTTTCATCATAGCTATTAAACCCATTAGATGCAGATGAGTTAGTGTTGCCAATTGCTTCATTTAACATATTATTAATGTCTTGAATGGCTTCATCATCATTCAACGAAGCTTCTGTTCCTTTTAAACCACTCAACTTTGCAGTAGACTCAGATGCTTCAAGAACACTCAGATCTAAGTTCAAAATATGACTCAACTTTGCATACTCATCTGTATTGCCTTCGCAAAGTGACTTATTGCTTGCTTTATTTGCTAGTTCTTTTGTAATTGAGTCTTCTGCGGCATTTAACACAGTATTTTCTGATTTGCTCGGCGTGTCTGTGGTCTTTTCAACATTAACATTGTCTGGAAAAAAAGGAATTCCTAGCTCAAGTTCCTTTTTACGTGAAACTTCGTGTTGCAACACTTCTTCTGGCATAGGCGGATCAATCTTTTCATCAACTGGAATGCCCTTAATATTTGATTCAACTGATATTGAGCTACGTCGTTCAACAAATAGTTCGCTATCTTCTGACTCACTCGTAGACAAATGTTTGTAGGATGAATTAGCTGCTAAATTATTGTTTAATATTTGATTCTCCACAATTGGATTTTCAAATTTGACAGAAGTATTAATATGTGACTGCTCCAGCTGCTCATTCGTATCAACTCTAGACATTTTATTATCAAAATTGGCCTTCTTTGCTGTGATATCATCATTTCCATCCAAACCATCTTGATTCTGCATCCTATACTTGGCCTCATTATCTAATATATTTTCTTTACTTTCTACTATTGAAGTTTTGATAAGTGCTTGCTCGACAATATTTTCCCAGTCGTCAGGAAAACCTTCAGCAAAACACTTTTCAACGCCAAGAAAAGGGTTTTGTAGGACTTTGGATGGTGGTGCAAGTGTATAAATGCAATTGCAAGTACAGACCCGCCTTGGTGCAATAATGGATGTTATTGGTGATGTTCTTATCAATGTGTCTTTGTATACTCCAACCAAACAAATCCATTTTGAAAATTTCTTGCTAGGCATGGAGATCTCCTGTATGTACCAATCAGTGATAAGTCTCACGGGAAGACTGCTTCTTGATGGATATCTTCTTCTGAATATTCTGTAATTATCCAGCCCTTCTAGGGCTCCGCTATGCAAAATATCGATGTATTCGTTTTCCATTATGGGTGTTGTTTCCAAAAATTTTAAAGGCGAAAAAGTTCAAAGAAGTATTGGAAACAAGAATTTTAAAACGAAAAGCAGCATTAATTAGACATTCTTGCTCTATTTGAACTGATGCAAAGCATAACCACAGCATGCTCCGGTTGGTCTTATCCGGATATAAACATGCTTATGCCAATTAAAGTATAATTACCATTTAAAACTCAATGTATCAATTAAAACTTTAATATCCAAGGCATATCTTTTTGATTTAAAGACGACCAATATGGAAATACAGTAAAACAATGCCAATAGACTTCTCAAATTTAAATTGTTTTAATCAGAAATAATAGCTTTTCCCCCAACTTTGACAATAGCCTCTTCTGCATTTGGTGTAAAGTATCTAGCCTTGACAATGACCGGCCTGTTCAAGGGAAGCTCGCCACCGACAATAACATGGTAGCCAAACTCTCTTGCATCAATGACAGGTACTCGTTCGCTCTTGAGAATTTCAGTCCTCTGGTCTTCAGGAATAAGATTCCAAAGCTTGGCTGCACTGATAAATCGCGACCATGTTGCATTTTTCTTCATGTGATAAATATTCTCACCGCGCTTGCCGAAGTAGTCTGGATGATATCTCTGAAACCAGGTCTTCATAAACTTCAAGCCACCACAATTACCACGCCCACCAGAATGTTTTCTGTGCTTGTTTGTTCTACCATAACCATGGGAGACTTTACCTCTCAAACGGCGACTTTTCTTTATGCCCGACATTGGGGTCTTCTTACTTGCAAAATTTTTACAAATTTTTAGAAGAATGGAGAAAACTTCCCCAAATGAGAATACTAAAACCAGAAGAAGAAAAAAAAGTCATGGACAAACTTCAATACTATGTAGGAGATAACGTCAAAGACCTACTTTCTGAGTATAATTTGAGACTTAATAACCAACGTATATTTTTAGTAACGGATGAAATTCTCAAAGCATGTTCACAGCTCGGGCGTGACCAGATCGTTTCTTGTGGTGTTATATTGGGAAAAATAACTAAAAATGAAAATTTTAGAGTTGCTATTACTGCACTTCATATTCTCCATAGATATGCCAACCATAAGGTCTGGATAAAGTCCTCTGCTGAAATGAATTTTTTATATGGAAACAATGCCTTGAAAAGCCATGTGCATAAGGTTTCGGAGAATATTCCCTTGAATGCTGGTGTCTTTGTATATAACTCACGTGACCTTCCACTTGGTTTTGGGGTAATGGCAGTTAATCCAACATCATACTCTAGGGCCAATGGTGGAGATCCTATCGTGCTTACACAAGCTGACAATGGAGAATACATCAGACACGAAAAGAATATTGTCTGAAACACCAATATTATCTGTTTTCACAAATAAACTAGTCTTAGAGGCATTCAAGTAGCATTCAAGTAGATTTTTACCAATCTCCTCTATATTTGTTTTGATAGCTGTTTAACGTGGATATAATTTGCCCATCCACTTAGATGCTATGTTTTTAAATCACATGAACCGTTTGCTTGCATGCACTTCCATCGTGACTTTATCGCCACTTTCTTGTGCAAAAATGCATAGTCTGCCAATTTCATATAGAGTATATTCTTGAATCTTTTTTATCGGCCCAATGGCCAAGAACAAAGAAGTTGAACTACAGAAATACTTAGAAAAAAAGAGAAGGCAGAAATCAAGGGATGAAATAATGAACAAAATAGCAGAATTGTCCCGGAACAGAACCAACAATGGAATTTCACTGATTAAGAAAAAAATTAAAATGAAGAGAGTAAAGGAAGATGAGAGTTTTGAAAAAAAGCTATTTTTGCACGAAAGCTCAGATGCAAATGAAGAGTCAAGCTTCTTGGATGAGAAAACTGGTATTTATGAGCTTTATGATTATAATGGTTTGGTTTCTGACGTTAAGCATAATGAAATTCCAGATGAAAATGTCTCGTGCCCGTTTGTCGCAGAAGTGTTGGAAGAAAGCAAAAGCTATAACGAAAAGCAAAGCATTTTAAACTTAAATGAATCTTTTAGACTTTCAAGACTAACCAACAGGTTAGAAAAAATTCAAAACCAAAGAAAAGAGTTTGATATAATGTATGAGGAAACTGAAATTGTATCGCAGATCAAATATAACTTGATAACGTTTGTTCAGGGAGAAACAGGCTGTGGAAAAACCACACAGGTGTCTCAATTTTTGTATGAAAATGGATTTGCAACCGATAAGATGATTGTGCTAACACAACCCAGAAGATTTTCGGCTATTTCCATCTCCAATAGAATCAATTATGAGGCAAATGAAGACATTTCCGGATATAAAATTAAATATGAGAACAATATTAAAGCGCATACTAAAATCAAAGTTGTTACCGAGGGTGTATTGTTCAGGGAAATCCAATTGGACTTCCTACTAAAACAATATTCAGTAGTTATTTTAGATGAGGTTCACGAGAGAAGTACAAATATGGATATTCTGATAGGCTTACTGAGTAGGATTGTCAAGATCAGATTCGCTCAAAAGAATCCATTGAGGCTGGTACTGATGAGTGCTACAACAAACCCCGAGCATTTTAGACCTGTTTTAACAAACTTTCAGTTGATTAATCTCACTGGCAAAAGATTTCCTGTCAATGTATTTTTTGAGAGTAAAATTCCTGAGGATTATATTGACTGTGCATATAAGAAGATACTTGCTATACTTCAGGCAGAACAAAAATACTCAAGCAATAAGAAAAGTAAGAGTGGAGAAATTAATGTGCCGGCCGAAATTGAAAATACTTATAAAGCCTCCGTTCTTGTGTTTCTGACAAGTAAAGAGGATATTTATACTCTTAAATCGCGTCTGGATGCCTTCAATGAACAAATTATAGTTCTGCCACTTCATTCCGGACTGAGTAAATCTGATCAAGATAGGGTCTATGAGACGTTTCCAGTCAGAAAGATTGTACTGGCAACTAATATTGCGGAAACGTCAGTTACAATCAATGATATTGTCTTTGTAATTGATTGTGGGTTAGAAAAGAGAAAAATAGCAGATGAAAATGTTGTTATGTACAGAACCAGTTTTATTTGCAAAAGCAGTGCAAAACAAAGAATGGGGAGAGCTGGAAGGACGGGTCCTGGCATCTGTTATAGATTATACAGTGGGGATGCTTTTGAAATGTTTTCTGATCACAGCTTTCCACAGATATTAATGGAACCCTTTGATGCCAGCCTACTTCAGCTGAAAAACATGGGAATTAAAAATATATTTGGGTTTCCATTTATTGACCAGCCATCTGAAATTGCTATTGAAGACTCTGTCAGATTTTTAGAGTCGCTTGGCGCACTAGACCAGAATGGAAATATCACAAAACTTGGGAGGAAAATGTGCAGCTATCCCATAAAGCCAAGATATGCAAGATTTTTAGTCGTGAACTTCAATGTCTTGCCAAAGCTATTTTCAAAGCTTGTTGTAATAGTCAGCATTCTTTCTTGTGGGTTTGAGCTGAAGAGAAACGAAAGTACCAAAGGATATTTTACAGGAGCAAAAAGCGACTTAATTGTATTTCTAAAATTATATATAGAATATCTGAAGACAAAAAATAAAAAACTGCTTATCAGTAAAGTTGGCATTTCAGCTGATAAGTTTGAAGAGATCAGAAAAATGGCAAGTTATTTACTCCAGATTGCCAAAGTAGATATAGATTTTGACACAGATTTTGAACTAACGTGCGAAGATGAGAAAGAAATATGCTGCTGTCTCTATTATCTATTTGCCGACCAGCTTGCAATCAACACTGGCAGCTTATATATTTTTAACGATGATGAATTCTACATTTCTCATGACAGCATTGAGACGGAACAACAGAATATTGTCTTTGACTATATCGTCTGTGGATCTAGAAGGTCATATGTTAAGAACATTACAGTTGTGCCATCCTCACTGTTCAAGTAGAACGTTACTTTCCAAATTCAATAAGTGTTTGCTCATCAGTATATCTAAATAGTTTATATTTTATTAAATCATGCTTTTCGGCATATAATTATTAAAATTCATATAACAAACTAGAAGAGATATGGTTTGATTCAGTTTCTATGGAAACGTCGATGTTTCATCATTTGTCTTTTTTAATCCCCTGTTGAATGCTGTCCAGTGACAAAGCTTCGTCTGCTGGAAACCTCAACTTTGAAGACAACACAATTATAGATCTTGTAATGCCTCCAGGAATGCAAATATCACCAATCATATCTGACATTATATTAAAATACAATCACATATTCATTTTAGACACACAAGGGCAGTTATATTCCAGCTTCAATCAATATGGCTGGAATATAGGCAATTCAAAGAGAATTAGCTATACCTTTGTCTTCTCCTTAAATGACCTGTATAAGAGAATAGAAAGTATAAGAGTGTTTAACAACTTTGTTTTAGTTCTAGATTCTATCACCTTTGTGTGTGATGTTTCTCCCCTGAGCATTAAAAGCTTTTCAAATCTGCTCTGGAGTCTGGTCTATGAGTGCAGTGCCACTATCATAACAATTAATCACTATAGAATAGATAAGAATAAAAATAGGTTTGAGTTGATACCTAGAATGGGTGGCTTTTGGAGGAGAATAGTTAGTTACCAGGTTGAGTTTACAGATCTGCAAAATGCAAAAAGATACAGACTGTTAGAAAATAAACTAAATGAAATGTAAATAGCTAGGTTTTGCATTTCTAGCCGTGTCTTTGCTTTACTGCAAGCCGATGTGTATGACTATCTAGTGCCATCCAGTCATCCCTATAAAAGCCAGACATCGGAATGCATTCCTTGACATTTAATCTTATAATAGCAACCGTGACAATTAAAGAAAATTTTTGTCAGAAACATCCCTAATGGACAACAAAACAAAGCTTGAGGAGCTTTTGCATCAGCGGACAGAACTTTTGAGCAAAATAAAGGAACAGGATGCTTTTTTAATGGAGCTAAATGCTTTCAAACGCACATTTGTTAAGGCCCTAGTCAAAGAGGACCTATACGTAGGACTTCCATTGTCCAATTACGAACAAACTACAAATTTTGAGGCGGTCAGAATTGAAGATGAGTATCCTTTATACATATTAAACATTGGCGAAGTGCATAATATCAAACAAAGTGTCATCCCTCAGAAGTACACTGTTCCTGTTAACTTTAGAGCCTTGAGATATTATAAAAAGAGTAAAATTAACAAAAAGACCAGGGATTTCACTTGGTACACTACAACAATCTTAAATAAGAATGAAGAAGCTTACTTTATTATCCGAGATGATGAGAACAATTCATGGAAAGGATGTGATATTTTCGACCAATTTTGCCAATCGTTTGACCATAGACTCGCATTCAACAGCATTGAAGAGTGGCTTGGTCTTGATAAAGACGAGGTTCAGGCAATGGCTTGTAATTTGAACAATCAGAATGCATTTTTGAAAACCAAGGAGAAGGAAGGTACACTTGATGAGTATTTTGTATCCAAGTGAAGCCGATAGTACAAACAACAGTATTTTGTATCACGGCAGTGTGATTACATGGACAATAAAGGAATGTATCTACTCTTGTTTTATCAATGCAACAATAATTATTTTGTAATTCTATTTTAACGTTAAATTTAACAGCATTATTGGATGTGAATCTGTGGATACAAATATTTAGTTAATTACATCCATTTGCAATATACGTCCAGCAATTATCTTCCAATTGTCATTCGCTTATTGTTTATGATGCTTTTTATACTTTATTTCATTACTATCGATAGACCACATTCTGTCCGTTCACAATATTCTATTACACTTCATCATCTGTTCTTCTGCATTCGATTTGCAATGTCCCGGTCTCATTTATGTTTTCTTATCTCCAATGTTGTTTAGTCCCCAAATGGTCGACTCAATTTTGAAAGAAGCAAAAGAACTGTTTAAAGAAAAAGAAAGTGAAACAACATGGTTTAAGATATTTGGAATATTTGACAGACTACTAAAACTAGTTAAAACCAAGGAGGACACGATACAAATTATCCCTGCAGTTTCTGATCTTCTCATACGTTCTTTACAAAGTGATAGATCTCGTCTCAATGGAATTTCTTTGGATTTTTTGAAGAGCTGTGCAGAAATTGCTCAAAAAGAGGTCAACTTCAACTCTTTCATTCCAGTCCTCATCAAATTGACAGGAAAGTCCAATAAAGTTTTTGTTTCCAGATCTATGGATGCACTTTCAATTGTCTGTAAATTTGCTGACTTGAAATGTATTCTCAAAAATATAAACGACTTTATTGAAAATCCAAATAAAAACGTGCGGTTTGCAGTATTCAAAGTTATTGAAATTAGACAAGGTGATGCACGCGATATTTTTGCAGGAATGGTTGAAAGGGGCCTGAAAGACCCAGCACAGGAGGTAAGAAGCATATGCAAAAGCATCAATATTGTTCGCACTGAACAGCCTATTGTTGAGAAAGAGGTCAAAAAGAGTGTATTGGCGTCTGTAACTCCGCGCAAGAATTTCAAGATTGATACTGCATATGTTGAGATTAAGAAACTTGAGGATGCGGTGATGAAAATAGCAAAAGACCAAGTTGTGAAAAAGCCTATCAGCTCTGATTTTTTCGAAAAGCTGAGTCAGTTAAAGAAAGAAAGAAAGTTTGTACTAGAAAAGAAGGAAGATGACCTAACGCCAAGGAAGCTTGATAGATACCTGAATAAATATAGATCAACATCGCCCATTGGTATTTCCGAGTCCCTAGCTAAGATAACATCAATAAAGCAAAATAGAACACTAATAAGTACAATTGATGGCGCAGAGAAAAGTGATCAAGTTGTAAATATGTCTGCAGAAGCATCTTTGGTGCCTAATGTTGATAGAGCCACCAGTGTGGTTATAAGTATGCCTGAAGTTGATGCCCAAGCAGCATTAGAAGCTGCTAATCCGCAAGTAAGCTTCATCCAAGAAACACATTTATTTAAAAAGGAAATGAATAGTTCAACATGTAATGACAATTCAATTGACCATAAAATTCTGAAAGATGATATTCAGCTTGAAATCTCGGCTTCAGATCAAAATGTTGGCACGATTGAACCAGAAGAAATTATTGAAGAATATAACAATAGTATTGTACTAGAAAATGGAACAAATGATATGTCTTTTGTTGAAGCTATAGGCATTTCTGAACTAAGCTGTTCGTTTGCTAATATGTCTATCGAGCCTTCCTTTCAGGCATATGAGACGTCTCCTGAGATTGTAAGATCCTCAACTATTATCATGGGACCAGAAAATCGGATACCAATTCAAAAAGAAGAGTATGCCGTAAACCAACAAGATGAGCATGCCAATTTAGTTATCATTTCCTATGAAAAGCAACCTGTTGACATCCATCAAGACAAATGTGTGGATTTGATAGAAGTACATAAAGATAAAGAGAGAATCTGTGCTAAAACAGAGCAGATTAGTGGTGATAATGTGCAAGGAGGCAGTGCTCTTGACATTGAGTGTGATGTTCAAAATGAAAAAAATGACAAAGAAGATGCTTGTGAAGAAACTAATGATAGACTAGTAGTCGAAGAGTGTGAAGGGGATATTGGCCTTAGTACTTTGTCTCAACAGTCGCAAAATATTAATAAAAATGCCTATTTGAATGTTTTGACAGCTCATGAGTCTCATATGGATGTAGAAACAGTCAAAAATGTGGGAAAATGAGTCTTCTCTATTAAACCAAAATGGGAATGTCTGTATCGACCAGGCTGCAATTATTTCAATGTATGAGGATGAAAACCAAAATACTTGTGATAACACACAAGAAAGCATGGAAAATAAAAGATCTGATGTGACAGTGATCTGTCCTGCGGCCACCCAGTTTGCTTATGAATCTGAAAACTTTCAGAATACTGTTAAAAATATATCAAAGAATACCCCAGTAATAGATTGCAATGACTCGTATTTAGATAACATCTGTACAGACATTGATGTGCTTCCCAGTCTTGGAAACTTTAATGGCGATATCGCTAGTTTTATTGGAAAACTCTCAAAACCCACGGCTGATAATGAAGATGCCACTCAAAATAATACACTTTATATGAGCAATTTGAATGATACGGTTGTTATTGATTCGGTTCAAAGTAAAGATCCCAGTAATGTGTTTCATCAGCCATCAAATAGTGCCAAGCTCTCATGTGTTAGACTATTTAATGAGTCAATATTCTGTTCTGACGAGGAGCCATTTATCAAAAAAAGCCCTACTTTAAAAGATAAACCAGGCTTTTCGATAGATATTACTTTGGAGCCATACTGTGAAGATCATTCAAATGAACATAGCTGTTAAACATTAAATTTAAATATTTTTACAATATTATGGTTTTATTTGGAATTAGCTTTGGTTATTGTACTGTCAAGCTTTATTTGATACATTTGTTTTTCTAAAACAAAAGCGTCAGATAATGGCTTGTTTTCTATATCCTCCAGCAATGTTAAAACCATCCTTTCCAGCTCTTCAATTCTCTGTCTTTGAATTTGGATTATTTCTTCATTTACTGTGCTACTCATCTTATAAAAGTCAACACTGGTATTTTTGGATTTGATTTCGTCTATTTTTGTTTCATTTGCCTTTATTTCTAGATTGGCTAGTCTTGCAGCAAAGCCTAAAGTACTTAAACTCTCACTCAGGCACTCTTTTCTTGAATCGATCATACAAAACGCTACCAGGTTGGTTTTTCTGGTAAGTGTGTCTTGAAGAAACCTTGTCAACTTTGAGTCTCTGAATCCAAAGGACTTATTGTTCAGCAGGTTGTTAACCAGGGTTCCCAGTGCAAGCAGGGATCTATTGATAAACGATGCTTCTTTCATTCTTTTTGCATCATAGCAGGCCCTTTCGCTTCCTGCAAGATCTATAAAAGTCAACACTGTGTCTTTCTTTTTGATTTGAAGAATTGCATGGCTTCTTGAGGAGTTCAGGTTAAAGCTTGTTTTTCCACTTCTCCTATTTTCCAAGCATTTCTCAACAAAGAAAGCCACCTGGCTTAACGTTTCAATTTCTTCGCTATGCATTCCTGAAACAATAGTCTTGTCTTCAAATGAGTACATTTTTAACTCTTTTTTAGTGAAAAGATCAAAAATTTTCTCATTAAAAAGCTCAACAAACGAAATCTCCAAATTATCAGGCAAAATATCTTCCAATGCAAGCTGCACGATTCCCTTTTCAGTATCTCCCATAATTGTGTGCGTCTTTCCGCTTCCTGTTTGTCCGTATGCAAAAATGGTCGCATTTTCATTTTGTTTGAACTTGTCAACAATATTTTTTACAGTCTTTTCATAAATTCCAAGTGTACTTTCCTTGTAAAACACTGAATCAAAGACGTCAAAGGATATTTTTCTTTGATGGATAGTGTATGAAGCAATGTTGTCAGCTACATCCCAAATGCTGTTTGAAGCATTCCTTATTCTCAGGTGAATTTGTATCGTCTTGTCCATTGCACAAGTTAAGTCAAGTCGTAAGTATCAAATGGTGAAACAGTTACAGAAGATGTGTATTAATCCATAAAATAAAGGTCACAACTATGATTTAAAACTAGTAAACTTCTACTTTATCTCAGATTAACAGAGAACTTTTACTTAAACTGTACCTATCTAACATAAAGCTCTATATTCAATAGTTTTAACTCCCTGTAATATTTGGTGCGCGTATATACTTGTTATGGCTAGATTGGTGCTCAGCTTATCATTTCTTGTAAACAGACTAAAACTTCACTTTAGATTAATCGGCACTTATTTTCCACCCAAAATAATGCAGGCCGAAGAAAAAGTTGTAATAAAGCCTCTTGGTGCTGGAAATGAAGTGGGACGATCTTGTATTCACTTAAAATACAAGAACAGGGAAATACTTTTGGATTGCGGAGTTCATCCTGCGTACACTGGTGTATCCTCGCTTCCTTTTTTAGATCTTGTGGACCTCAGCAAAATAGATGCGATTCTCGTCACCCATTTTCACTTGGACCATGCGGCAGCTCTTCCATTTCTAACCGAGAAGACAGAATTTAAAGGCAAGGTGTACATGACTCATCCCACAAAGGCTATCCTCAAATGGCTGCTCAACGACTATATAAGAGTCATAAACAGCTCGTCCGAACAGGACTTCTATACTGAACAAGATCTGCAAAGTTGCTACGACAAAATAATACCAATAGATTACCACCAGCAGATAAATATAGAAGGCATTAAAGTTACAGCCCTGAATGCTGGGCATGTGTTGGGTGCAGCCATGTTTTTGCTTGAAATTGAAAAATCAAAGATTCTGTATACTGGAGACTTTAGTAGGGAAGAAGATAGGCATCTCAAAGCAGCAGAAAGTCCAGGATGTTGTTTAGACGCTTTGATAACTGAATCTACATATGGTGTGCAGTGCCACCTTCCAAGATATGAAAGAGAGGCCAGATTTACCTCTATTGTGTCCCATGTTGTACTCCGCGGAGGCAGATGTCTGTTACCTGTATTCGCACTTGGCAGGGCACAAGAGCTTCTGTTAATTCTGGAGGAGCATTGGGATGAGAATCCCCATCTCAAAGGCATCCCAATATATTACGCCTCGGCGCTTGCACAAAAATGTATGTCAGTGTATCAGACCTATATCAATATGATGAACGAAAGAATTCAAAAGGCAAGTCTGGTCAAGAATCCATTTGACTTTAGAAACGTAGAGTCAATCAAAGACATTCAATCTTTCAAAGATACGGGCCCATGTGTAATGATGGCAAGCCCCGGAATGTTACAAAGCGGATTTAGCAGGGAATTATTTGAGAAGTGGTGCAGTAATGAAAAGAATGGAGTGGTTATTCCTGGATACTGTGTGGAAGGCACACTTGCCAAAGAAATTCTCAGCGAGCCCAAAGAGGTTGAGAGTATGAAAGGCGGCCTACTCAAATTGAATATGTCTGTGGAGTATATCTCATTTTCAGCCCATGTAGACTATACCCAAAACATTCAATTTATTGATGAATGCCAACCTAAAAATTTATTTTTTGTACACGGAGAAGCTAACGAGATGATGAGATTGAAGAATTCGGTTCAAATGCGCAACGAAAAAAACTCTGTCAAGATGAATCTTTTTGCATTACGAAATGGAGAAGAGGGCAGCTTTGAAGTCATACGGGAAAACGAAGGTAGGATTTATACCGACAAACAAGGCGAATTTAATGCGGTTATTACTGCATCCAATCATAGGATTAAAGTATTTGATGAAGACGATCTTGATGAGTGTTGTTTTAAGAAGGTTGAGATTACTCAAAAACAAAAAATACCCTTTAATAGTACAGAAGTGCTAGTCAAGCAAATTTTATTCAAAGATTTTGAAGCGGAGGATTTCGGCAAGCATTTAAAGGTTGGCAATATTGCAATATCAATTAAAGAGCAGGAGATTACTATGGAGTGGAGCAGTGGATACTTGGATGACGTGATAGCTATTTCTATTCATAAGGCAATTAAAGACATTGGGAGTAATATCAAGAGTGTAAGATTGAGTAAATTAGATGAATTTGAGACATTATATGAAACTTTAAAAGGGCATTATGGAGATGTTACAAGAGAAGATGATAAAATAAACATTAGATGGATGAGTGCATGTGTAACAGTATCAAATGGGTCCATTACTGGAAATGATGAAGAGATGATAAAGAAGGTGAAAGAGATAGTTGAGAGAGTAAAGCAAATCTTTTCGTAACAAAGAGTAGCATGACTAAGATTTGACTACTATCATAATATCGATGGGACTATGGAGAAATAAAATTTAACAAATTGATGTAAATTGATTGTCTATACTGCATCATGACCTCTTTACAATAAGCATTAGCGAAGAACTTCGTGGTTAAAGCATGGCTGTTTTCCTTTTAATTTTTGTTCTTTGTTTAGCCCATGCAGAAGCAAAAGCTTGAGATCCTTCCACAAAGAGAAATTCTAAAATCTCTCGAAAATGCATTTAACGTCATTCCAATAGTTCCTAGAGACTGCATAAAGGCAATCAATAAACTAGTCTACAATATGAATCAACAAAATTTCTCGCAGGAAGTCTATAAAAATGTTTTGTTTTTAGTTCTCAGGGCCTTTACATCAAAAGATAACTACTTAAAGAGTGTCGTCTATTCGCTGTTAGAAATGCTCAGTACCAAGACATTTGATGGACTATTGGGAATCAACAGTATAATTAAGGACATTGATGACAAGCACACGCCTGTCAATATGAGAAATTCTGCCCTCAGGGTTTTATTTTCAAATCTACCTTTAACAATGCGTTTTGAATTTGAAAAACTTATTAAAACAGCACTACTTGACAACAAAACTAGAGATAATGCAGTATGCATATCCTCTGAGTATTTCAAAGACATGAAAGTTGATTCTAGGATTTTTGATAAAATTGACGATTATCATCTTAGCTTTTTCAACCGTCTACCCATAAACAGGTATACCTCAATGCTAGAGATCAGAAGGATAGTTAAGAATAATGAAGATGTCCATAAGATCAGCCAATACTTAACAACATCAACGGATAGCACCACTTTCTTTGAAGCAGCAAAAGCGTTAACTGTGATCAGACAGGAAATGGCAGCTCCGATGATTGATAAGGCAGTATCAACAATACGTGTACATTTGAAGAAGGGCCCGATAGAACAGTTTGCAAGTATGAAAATACTCAATAAACTCTCTGTTTTATTTCCAACAAAAGTAGCCAAAGCAAATAGAGAAATAGAAGATCTGGTACATGTCAATTCTAGGACGGTTTCAATGCTGGCCATCTTAACACTGCTAAAGACGGGCACTGATGAAACAGCCAGACAGCTATCTTCAAAACTGGAGCCTTTAATGAGTACAATGTCTGAACCTTACAAAATCATGGCAATTGAAACGATTGAAAAACTCACAAGAAACTCTAAGAGTGAGTATCTGGCATTTCTTAAAGCTTCGCTGTTTGATAAGGGTTCGATTGAATTTAAGAGGTTCATTTTGAAGAAGGTTGAGCCTTTATTGGCTGATTCTGATGAATGTCAAAAAGAGGTGATGAAATTTCTTTGCAGCTATGTTGAAGATCCTGAATACTATCAAATTTCAATGGATATTCTAGGACTTATAAGCCAATACATTCTCAACTCAAAGGATCTTATTCGTGTTTATAATAGACTTATACTTGATAATATTCATGTAAGGAACTCTGCATGCCAGGCGTTGTTTGATCTTAGCGACAAGTTTGATACTCTTGAAGCCCTAGATAGCATTCAGGACCAGGAAACTATGAAGATCCGATCATTTTTATACTCGAATGCTGATATTAAAAAGGGACGTTTTGATATTAATGAACTGGGTGATTTGAGGGACGAAGTTTTGAAGTATCTAGCTGCTCCTATTGAAGAACCTAAAGAAGGGGAGGCATTGGATGATAGGTTTATTAAGGAATGTAGGAGCATTCCTCTTACACCAGAAGGTTCGGACTTCTCAGTTGCTGTTATCAAAAAAATGTTCAAAGATTCAGTCGTACTTTTGTTTACCTTTGAAAATAAAATGTCGAGGATTGTTGTAAATTCCTGTCTGCTTACAATTGATACAGGCGCCGAGAAGCACTCGATTGAATTATCCCATACGGAATTTAAGGATACAACCACAGCCACAAGAGAATTAGAAGTATCGTTGAAGAAGGGGGATGTTGTTAATGGTGTATTTGAATACCAAATAAGCCCTGAAGATGAATTGACTGAGGTAGAAAATGATAGTATATCGTTGATTCCATTTGATATTAATGTTTTAGATTACATCAGGCCAGTTGTTGCTGGCCACATACCCACCAATAAAAGGATGGTTGAATCCAAATTCAAACTAAAGCAAACCGAGGCCATTTCTAGGATTGTTGGAGTATGCAACATGTTTTTGACAGCAGACAAGGATAGTTTTGAGCTGCAAGGATGTTATGAAGATATACCTGTAGTACTGAGAGGCAATGCAGTATACTCTAAGTATACTACAGTTTACCTTGAGATACTATGTGACAATAGTCATGTTGTTGACGAGATTGTTGCTGTACTTGATTAAAGTTTCTATTATATTCATTTGTATTTTCTATTTTCCTGACATGATAGCAAGTAAAGGATATTTCGCGTAGTTACATAAATATGTGCAGATGAAGAATAGATAAGGATGTTTGATCAGTATAATTTTTTTTAAATATTCAACTCTAATTGCAGACATGACTCATGAATGGGATTCTATTGGCTCAATACTTGTATCCCAGACGTTGTCTTTGACATTAAACATAATATAATATCTTTCTTAAGCTAAATTGCCTCCAAAATGCTTTATTTATACATTTGTCGTTGATAGACTGCCGGTTATAACCTTATCGTCTAGGACTGATCCTTCTGGAACATGAATTGAGCTGCCCTCTGGCGCCATAATAATCACAATACCTTTAAGCGTAACATTTTTACCAAATGTCACATCCCCAACAACAGTTAAGATCTCAAGATCAACAATGTCGGGGATGCTTTCAAAAGTCTCTTCAAACTCTGTTATTTTGGAAAAATTCCTTCCCAATAGCTTGACAATAGGATCGGTCTTTATTGACCTCTTGGGATTGTGATATAGGAACCCATTGGACTCCTCAAACAGGTTGCTTTCCACCAGAAACAGATCTGAACATGCCTTTATTGGCAAGAATCTTGTTCTGGGAACCAAAACACCACAGTTATTTTTAAAATGTTTGATGGCCGCACCCATCGCCGTTTCAAGCTGTATTACTGTCTCTCCATTGACAACTTTCTTATTTTGGATAATATCTAATGCAAACTCGTCCATATTTATCTCCTTTAATGCTTTTAATTTAATCCATATAGAGTTTGTGTTGAAAATCTTGAACTTTCTAACACTTGTAAACTCGCTTTTCTTATTATTTGGGACTTGGGCAATTTCAAGTAGAGTAAGAACACCGTCGTAGTCAATGAGAGTGCCGCCCTTCATATCCGCCCTTGTCTTTTCTGTAACTTCCATGCAGAAGTCATGGCCCTCTGCAGCAAAGTTGTGTAGTATTTTCAAATCAACAGTGGCTGCAAGATTATCGATGTTGCTCACAAACAGATACTCTTTGCCTTCGTTCAATAGCTCGTCAAGCAATCCGCTACTGACCAATGTGCGAAAAAGATCCCCATGGCCAGGAGGATACCACATCTGTTCCCCCGATATGGGCATAAGGTTCTCCGATGAAATTCTAGGATACATTGACTGGTGGATAGTCTTAATATTGCTGTGGTGCTTGATTAGCTTCTTTGTCCGTTCATCAGTGTTAAAGCTATTCATAAGTATAAGAGGAACACTCGTGTTGTATTTATCATTCAAGTACTCAAGCTGTCTTGTAATCAAGTCAATGAAGTTTTCTCCATTTTTTACCTGAATGGCACTCTTTGGTCCTACCATTCCCATTGTTGTTCCAAGCCCGCCGTTAAGCTTTAGAACAGCCAGCTTGTTCAATAAGCTTTCATTTTCCTTAGGACACTCTTCTAATGCCTGGTAATCAATAATCTTGCCCTTCGGAGGCTCAATTTTGTCCCAGTCAATCTTGGTGTTTCTGGTTTTCAGAAACCTTTGATATATCTGGAAAAATTCATCGAGCTCCTGCGGTCTTGGATGCACCTTTTTCAGCTCGCTTAGCTCCTCTTTCATATACATGGCTATTTTTTCGGACTGTATGTTCTCGGCAGGTTGCTCGACTGTCATTCGGTTACCCTCGTAGATTTTTTTAATATAAATGAAAAAATAAATTGCTATTTGTCCAATGTCAACAAATCTAACAGCAACTGCTATTGTATTTAATTTCATTCACCAATAGGATGTAGTTTAAAATTCCAGGTGAGCTAATCAGAAACATGTCTTATTTAACAAAATACAAGTAAAAAATTTTAGAGATATTTGAAATATGTCAAAATAAACTAGTTTAACAAAATTAGAATAGAATTTTCACAGTTCTTGACATATTTTTGGCAAGGCTTGTTTGTTAAATTGAATGAATAAATGTGCTCTTGAGCAAGCATATAATAATTTGACAGGAATGTTGATGTGATCATGAAAATAAAGATCAACAGCGAATTGAAAGTCCTTTGACACAATTTTATCAATTTCACAAAGCTTTTTAATAGACAAGTTAAAATAGACGTAATATTTTAAATAAAATGTATAATAGGCTATTAGAACATTGGATTCATCGTAAAGCTCAATAGAAAAGTGTTCCCAAAACTATTCCGTTTTTTCTTTGTGTTTTAGCATTAGTTTTAGATTTTCATTCTCTTCAAACTCTCGTATTGTATGACTTCGAGTCTTCCTGAAACTTAGTTTGAAACTATTAAATTGCCTCAAAGCCCCATATCGATGAGAAACAAGATATTTGAGAAATCTGTTGTTGTTTCCGTATATCTCGCCTCTTCTGCCATCACTTTCGACTTGAACAAGTACATAATATCAGTTCTTAACTTTAAAATGCACTACTTGTTGATTATTGTCCAGTCAATACTCATTGTTGGTATAATCCTAGGACAATCACTCTGTACAAAAACATCCATTCATTATTCAAATATCAACAAATGGTGGATAACATCGGCTCTTCTTACTGCAATGATGTTTACTAATATGAAAGCATTGTACTACATTCCCCTATCACTCTTTACACTGTACAAAAACTCAACGATTATTTTAATAGCCATTCTAGAACTATATTTCTTTGGAAAGAGTATCACAGTCCTGGGCTGTGTCAGCTTTGTCTTGATGATCTCCAGCTCATTGTTTGGAAACACGGTAGACAAGATTGAGCTGGTAGGATATTACTGGATGGTGGCAAACATTTTTTCAACAGCGGCGTATATTCTGTATCTAAAAAAGTTGATGGTAGTGGACATGTCCACCCGAACAGAGTCTGTGTTTTTTACTAACCTGCTGAGTGTACCCACACTATTCTTGCTTTCGATGCTGTTTGACCCAATGGAAATTCCAAAAATGACCCTGCCTCTGATAATTTCAATAATAGGCTCTGGAATTGCAGCATACTTTACATCGTTTAGCACCGCATGGTCCATGAAGATCCTAAGTTCCACCTCATATAGTATGCTGGGTGCCATGAACAAGCTAATAGTTTCAGCTTCTGGATTTTTAGTTTTCGATGAAAACTTCGAAAGAGTAAAAATGCTGGCACTCTTAGTTGGAATTCTTTCAGGAATGGTATACTCCCTCGATTCAATTAGAAAAAGACCATCTGCCACGCCCAGCTAGCACCAAGCTGGGAAATGGTATATTAAATGTGCTTTGGTTTACAGTGTTTAGCACTGTGGCAAGTCGAGTAGTTATAACTACTGTTTCGTGAATTTAAAGCTTCTTCAAGAAGCCAATTCTCATAGCTTTGGGAAACACCAGTACTTGTGCAAGAAGAATACTGTTTTTGAATGAGTAAATTGGTTGCTCCTCTTTTGCATAAATAGAATTGTAGTAATTTCACAGATGGCTAATGTCTAAAAAAATAAAAAGTTTTATTTGATCCTTCTAAGTATGAGACATTGCGTATTACAAAATGCTCTCATTGCTGGCAACTTTTTACTGCTTCGTGCAACTGGCCAAACGCAAATCAGCGAGCATACGTCATTGCTGAAAGAATTCTATAGCAACTATGATGGTGTTTGCAAGAAAGCTGTCAAGAAATTTTCTGGATATTCTGTTGGGGATAAATGCTGTAATGCGGATGGCTACATAGACTTGAAGAACAAATTAATTCCACTTTTAAATGATATGAAAAGAAAATTCGAATCAATAAACAGCATTTCGCCCATATATTGGTCAGAAGATTTGAGCATTATCGATAAGCAGCTTTTCGAATTGTTAGAAACAAGCATTATTAACAAAGATGTTATTCAATACATCATGAATGAAAATGTAAAGATGCATTTAAATCGTTGTACCTTGATTAGTTCATTGATCTTATATTTCAATGGTTCAAATGATGCCAACAGCTTTTCTACTTTACTTCATAATAGCATTACCAATAACTTCATAACTTTGGGTCTTGATGGAGCCATGTCAGACGATACTACAGATAAAGTAAATCAGGTTTTTATGTTTCTTAAAGGTGCAAGTGGGATGCTACAAAAGTACATTGGAACTAACAATCCAAAAGCAGTAGAAAATATGAGAATGATGGCTGGTATTCCAAAAAAACAAGAGCCGAATCAAGCTACCAAGTCATCCTTGCTGTTGCCAAGCTTCATAGTTCCGACACAGGATGGAAACTCTGGCATAGCCTTAGATCATGAAGTACTAGTCAAACTAGAGAAAACCTTAGATTCAATGTACTTGCATGTGCATGCTCCCATTATATCTGAGCTGTTTTGTTATTGCTTTATACTTTTGACTATTGAAATTGAAAAAAATCGTGGGTCACTACCGTTAGAAGTTAAGGATCAGTATATTAAAGCAATTAGTGATTTAGAAATATTAGATAGCATGGCAATACTATTTTACGATCTGCCTACCATGGCCAAAACAGGGAAGCCCAAGTTTTCTAAAGACATCTGCCGCAATATTTTTATGTCTATGCATAGGAAAACGGTTCTTGAGACCCTTCACAAAACTATCATAAAGTCATATTCTGAGGATCCGAGTGTCCAACTAGGCGAGGTTCTTAGAACAGCTTTTGGCACTATCCAACAAGAATTAATTAATAGTGGGAAACCCCTCGAAGTCTATGTGAACAAAAACTCAAAACTTGTTACGATAGACATATTGGCTAACATGTGCTGGGCAATGCTTCTGTCAACATTTGTGATAGACGAGAATGTCAATCTTGATAATGTTATGAGAGAAATAGAACTGTTTGGGAGCAGGTCAACAAGTCCAGCAAGGCTTTATATGCATGAAATGCCAGATATTCTGAACATTTTAATTGGTAAAAAGCCAACTGATAAAAACACACAGAACAATATAGTCTTTAGAAGTATACTCCTTAAAGTTGGGTCGAGGCATGAAAAACCTTTATTTTCAGCTGAAGGGACTAAAAATGGATTGATGAATCGCATTTCCTTCATTATAAAAGACAAAGCTACTATCAACCAATATAAAACCTATGTAATAGTGTTGAATGTATTTCTGTTTGTTATTGACGCTTTGCTGCTGCTATTTTATTGGAGAGCTTTGAAAGCTAACAGAGTATTTGCAAGTGAAGAGTCTGTTCATTAATATTACGCTTTTACAAAAACCAACTAGAAAGCTAAGTCGGGGTTCTTAGATAGGTTTTATTCATTTCATCAACAGTCTCCTTTCGTGCAGTTTCTTAATTAAAGGATCAAGCATCTTTCTAACCCTCTCCCTTTTTAAGCTTAATAATTCATCTTTGTTCATTGACTTTATATTAATTTTACATATTTCAGCAATTCTGCTGTTATGCTTTGCAAACATTTTCAAAAACTTTACAAATTGGTCTTTTTCAACAAAATCTTCCTTAAAAAGCCCAATTTTCATCCTTTTACCGTTGTATTTTACACCATAAAACTCCTTTCCCTTTTTGTCTTTCCACAATTCAATAAATACAGCACTTGCATATGGCACCAGTTTTGAATTTTTAGTATTCAGTCCAGCCAGTAAGGTCACCAATGTTTCACCCGTAACTGAAACAATGCTAATGTCATTGTTAGTTAAAATACTCAAAATAAACTGGCTTAGCTCACCAAAATCAACAGCTGTTGAAGTAATATCCTCCTTCATCTTTGCCAAATTGTCTTCAAAATTCATCCTCATCTGGGTCATATAATCTTCCATCTTCATCAAATCGCAGTCAAACCTGCTACATTCAATTGGCACTTCATTGCACAACGACCCAATAATCCTGTCAAATTCGCCGCCAGAAATAAGCTCTTTGGTATCATTTTTGGAGAAAAGAGAGTTTCGCACATCCAAGCATTCCTTCTTGCACCCTAGATTACTTACTGGATGTAGAGTGAGGCTTGAATACTCCAATGCCTCAGTGATACTTCTTAAAAACACGTAGTTTCTGTTATTTTTATAAAAATATCCCTGAATTTTTACATCAGCAAATATACTTCCAGTACTGGAGTCAACATTATTCGAAACAGCACTTTTCATATCGCTGCCATCTATATTTTCTCCCATATTTACGTTATTAATGATTTGGTTATAGTCAGTATTGTTGAAAGTTCTTTTTTGAATGTAATCATGAAATGGATGTTTTCTACGTCTTACATAGCTAATGTTTTTATAGGAAAACCTAGGATAGTACTCTTTCTTTATAAACCCTGCTAGATCGTGCCCCTGCTTATATCCTTTGACAGTTAGCATTCCATGCTCACAGTGAACCAAGAAACAGCGAGTCCTTCTACATTTAATGCATATTCTCTTGCTCCACCCTTTATTTCTCCCCTGCTCAGGAGACCTGTCGCCATTTCTAGCAAACACAATCAATCTTTCAAGGCTCATATTTTCAGTCACTTCCCCATATTTTGGGTTGCATAGAAAATTAAAGTCATTCATTGTTTGATTATTATGTATTATTCTAAATTGGCACAGTACAACAGCAATGTAGACTATAATCATAGAGTATGCAGCGATCGTATATTTGTAAATAACTTGAAACAAACGGTAGCAAGTTGAAATGAATGGGCAGTGGTTTCAAAGTGATGTTTATTAAGCTACACACCCATCATACCGTATCTGATAGTCTGGAAGAAAAGAATTGATGAAGATGCCAATTTAATATGATTGGGCTCGATTTGTTTCCTATTGATCGGCTATTTTGAGCTCACTGATTGTGCAAAGTATGCATTCTTATATGCATTATAGTTGTTCGGATAAAGGTCCATAAGAAGGATATTCTGTTCTAAGCTACATTAACTTAGCTTTAAAAGATAGATGAATGAGGGACGAAGGTCTCAGATAATGCCAATGAAATACAAAGAAGTGCTAAAGCACCCGTCATTGGAAACAAAACATGGTTTATAGACTGTTGCCTTACTATGTAGATCGCGAATCTAGCTTTAAAGCCGTTGAATCACAGATGTGTGAAATTTATTTATGCCATAGCTTTTTCTAAAGTAAGTATAAAATCGAAAGTTAAAAGCCATGAAAGCGCTATTTATTCATTCTTGGAAACTGAAACATTCAACTTATTCTGCAATTCATCAATGCTGTGTGAGATTGAATCAATCTGGGACTTGATTTTTTCAATCCCTTCGTTTAAATTAGTAAATAAAATGTCTGCCTGAGCTTTGAGGTCTGCGCCAATTTCCTTTCCTTTGTTTTCCATGGGTAGGTTTAACAAAAAAAACAAAATAATCTTTAAGCATAAGAATGAAATTTAACAAAAAACGGGTGTTTTCGACTTTTTATGTGGGTACTTGAATAAACAAACACCGAGCAGTCCTGTTTTTTGCATTCTAACAAGTACATTTAATACTCAGACTTTATTGAATAAATCCTTTAGATTTCATCTCCTTTTCGATTAACCTCCTCTCCTTTTCTGTCATTTTGCTGTAATATACCATTTCAATCAGAAATTCCTTACTAAATGCTCCATTACTATTCTTTATGCAAATCTCTAAATCTTTTAAGCTTAAGTCTAAACCTAAAGCAATACCGATGGAGTGGAACTTAATCAAGTAGTTGGAAATAGCACTATTACCGTCAAATAAGTTCGTCAAACTGCTATATACAAACTCATAATTTCTATTTCTGTCAACATAGACAACTCTACTCTCAGCCATCAGGCTGTGGCTCTCTCCTGGCTCAATGATATAAAAACATCTATTGGTACCAGTCTTAACAACAGGGGGCAGAAAATGAATATTCTTGACAAGCACAGTCTTAGATGAGTGTTCCTGTAACAGTCCAAGTATTGTCCTGTTATTTTCAGAGGAGCCAGCAGATATTTCAACATCAAAGGTAAGTAAAGACTTAATTTCAAAGAGAATATCATTAAAACCAGTAATAAAAGTATAATCAAACGAATACCTCTCAATTTCTGATATCTTATATGGGCAATCTTCATTTTTTGACACTTTGTGCATACTCCTCTTGCCATCTCTTATAGCAAACTTGTTAAATGAGTGTCCAAAGAATTCATATACATCATCAATATCAATAGTCTTGTTGTCATTGCCATCGTTGATACTGTCAATTTTAAAGTTTGTATCAACGTATTTGCGAAATATGTTAAATGACAGCTGAAATCCGTACTCTTCAACAAACCATCCATTAATCTTCCAATAGCATTCGTTTAAAACACTATAAATCTGCCTTAATGTCTCTTCTCTCTTTAACGTTTCTCTTTCCTCTTCTAATAAAACCTGCTGTTCAAGTATCTTCTTTAAATTAGGACGTTCCTCGTTCAACAATACTAAAAGAGTGTTTTCCAGTGCTGCTAAGTTGGATTTTCTTAAAATTTTGAACTTTTCCTTGTAATTTAAATGATATGTTTCTTCTTTGAACCAGTTTCCAATATTACCCTGAATAACAATGCTCCCCCGTAGCTGAGCATTGATCGTTCTGCTATGTTTGCATTACCATCTAAGCTGCAGGCATCTGCATAGGAGTAGTATCTATCCATTTTCCTCTTTAATACATCATACACCTCAGGCTCATGCTTATCCACATCAGTTATTATTAGATTTCTATTGAAATACTCTGCATTGTTTATGCCCTTTCTTGCATTTACATCCTTCATGGACACTTCAATACTCTCTTTTCTAAATTCACTGAAATCCTCACTGAAAAGAACATTTCTGTCTATGAAAATACTTTTGAAATACTCAAGTAGAATATTGGGATTGTCAATAATGAATAAGGGGTTTTTAAATTCAATGTACTTCCACTCAACACTCTCCTTTTCAAATCTAAATAGAATGGATTCAAGGACTGTTAGCTCCTTGGTTAGCATACCAATATTCATTTTAATATCCTCACTCTCCTTCTCTGAAATATCCTTTGATTTTTCTATGTTTGAAATACGCTCAACTACGCTGTTAAATTCTTGTATTTTCAGGCCCATTTCTCTTTTATTTTTTAAAAGCCCTTCTTCAATATTTTCTACTTCATTTCTCAGAGGAATTAACTCAGTCAATACCTCTTCCTTTTTTATTATCGAGTAAATCCATTTATAAAGAACTGCACAGGTCTTGGAGGCATTCTCAACCTTTTCAAACGAATACTTGTCCAATAGGCATGCTTTAATGTTCCGAATGATCCTAGTGAAGACATCCTTGCTAGCATCATCACAGCCATCGAGCGAGCTATTGTTGTCGCCAAAAGACAATACTTTGGCTATAAAATCATCTCGCTTGAGATATCCCTGCAAATACCCCCACTCGGTATCTTCAATACACCTTCTAACACCAAATATGTACATTCTATTGTCCTCCTGACAATTTCAGGTGGACTGTTCATTCCTTTAATTTCACTTAAATGCGTTTTAGTCAATTCAGAAATGCTTGTTTTAGACTCACTTAGCATTTCTTCTACAACAGACAGTTTTGCTTTTTACCTTTTCTTTCTTTTCTTCGCATAATGCTACTTCTTTGCTAATCTCGTCCTGTCTGTTTTTAATGTCCTCTTGTTCCCTTCCACATTCTTCTCTTTCCTTTGAAAGAAGGGCTATATACTCGTCTAGCTGTTCCTGCTTTATTCTAAGAGCCTCTTTCTGCTTTTCTATTGACTTTCTTAAATCACTTGCATCTTTAGTAAATTGCTCTATTCTTTCAATGCCTCTCTTTAGAAATTTTCTTCTATCCTCAAATTCCCTGCAATATATTTTCCTAATAAAATTAAATACAAAATAGAAACTAGCCAGTTTGAACAAATTAGGGAATTCTACGATATAATTTGAAGCACGCTTTTTCAAGTACTGGTCATAAGATTTTTCAATAGAAACAGGTTTTGTGTCCATTGGATCGATGGTGCCGAAAGAACCGATACTTGTGCTATTCTTATTAATATTGGAGGTGTGTATAGACTTGCTCAAAGTATCTCCGCTTATGAGTCTTTCTAAATCTAGCTTAGTAGAAATACCATTCAGATTGATTTCAAAGGTATTTTCATCTAGGAATTTTGCACTGATTCCTCTGCTTTCATTTAGCAAAATGAAAATATAACGGAAGTTCGAGTCAAGTGTGTTATTGAGTTCCCTTATTTTCTTGTGCTCGTTCCAAGCGAATACCTTATAAATATTGTTATTGTCCTTGCTACTTTTCTTGAGGCATTTCTTAACCAAGTACCTTTTGCCACTAAGCCTAGGCCCCCTCACAACAACATTACACTTCCTATATAAAAGATAACTAAGATACGATTCACAACGTATAAACTGGTCATTCTCTTCCACTTCAATGCTAAAGCTATTATTTGCATTGAACTTTAATGTGCTTGTCTTCACATTAAAAGTATCCTGAATAAACCTTCTTAGAATCCTACTTGCATTGTTTAAATCAACATTGTCGCTTTTCATGAATATCAGTTCACAGAGGAAATAAAGATAGTTGGGCACTATCTTTGGGTTACTAAACATAAAGCTAAAGTCTGCTAGTTTTATAAATAGCATTGCTTTTGACAAGCTAAATAAATCAGGATTGAAAGCCTCGTACATAAATTTCAGAAGATTACCTACCACATTGATTACATCAATGTGCGCATTTTCCTTATCCTCATGTGTGCTGTCGATGTTTAGGCTTATTTCGCTTATCTTTCTTCTGATAATTTTCTCAATATCTTTCAATCCTTCAATATGTACTCTTCTAATTCTTGTTAGTCTATTTTCGAATTCCATCTTTTCTGAATTTATCCCACAAATAATCTTTAAATTAGACAGTTTGATGCCAGCAATCTCTCCATATTCCCAAAATTCCCTAACTTGTTCCTTCAATTTGATATTTGCCTGCTCAAAAGATTCCAAAAATATTAATTCTTTATCCTTGAGATTGCTCAACTGTTTATCATTAAGCAAAGAATCACAGTACAGAATGTCGCTACAGACATTGCTGCCGTTTGCATTAGTCAATGCTTTAAATATTGTCTTTTTACCAATACCCGGATTTCCAATTAAGAAAACGACTCTATTACTTGCAAGATATTTCCAAATATTAAACAAAGCCTTAGCCTGGCACTCATCCAAAGAATCACACATCTCTTGATTGCCACTGTTAATAGCATTAATACTATCATGGTTGGCATCATCACATGCACTAACGCAACAAGCATCATGGCTATCAATAGAATCTACATTAATCATAAATAGTCGCGTAAGTGTTGCTGGCGTTGCCTCCTCAATACTGTCTGTCTCAAAGATAAACTTAAAGCAGAATGGTATCTTGATTCTTTCACCTGTTACTAAGCACAAAAGCCTATTATCATCAAGCACGCTATTAAAATCCTCAATCCATTCAGATTTTAAGAGTCCATCAAAAATGAACCATGTCTCTCCTGCACTGAGTAGTGAATTTCTTAAATCCTTTAAAAATACACTATCCTCCCACTCTTTGGTAACTTTATTTACAGAACCAAAGATTGAGTCATTGACTTCTAATAAATTCATAGGATTGTACTTAAACATTCTCCTCACAGGTTTGAACTCACTCTTGTCTACAGAATTAGATTCTAAAGCTATCATTGTGTTTATAAGACGTGATTTTCCTTTCTTTCCGAATACAACAATCCCATTCCTCAGACTAAGTGCTCTTCTGAAGATATTTTCATGAGAGAGGTCAATCTTCAATTCGCTGATTTTAACATTAAATATTTCATGAACTTTCAGTGTCAGGCGTTGTCTATCTTTATTTTTGAAAATAGCCATGTAAAAGTATATTGCATTTAACAGAAAAGCATTAATGTCTGTCTTATTTGTACTAGCTCTATCGTCTAAATCAGGATATTCCATCTGATTAAAAATGAATTTGATTGCCCTCAGTCCAAAGTCATAAAAATCTTCTGGACTACATTCCCTGTCGAGACAGCTGATTAGCTCATACATTTTATAATTACCTGTATAGAAGTAAATAATGTCCATAATATCAGGTGCATGAACCGATACTTCCCCAAATATACTCTTTAGAGTTTTGGGTAGTTCTGACCTTCCCTTATATCCTAAATTCATAGTTAAAAATACCTTTACCACCCCTTTTTTTTCATACAGCAGCTCTGTTATTGATGACATAACATCCTTCTTCAATCTATTAAACTCATCGAAACAGATATAGCTGCCAGTTAGCTCGCAGCCAATAATAATGTTCCTAAGAGATTCAAAATCACAGTTCTCATTGCAGCAGAAGACAAAGAGGGGTTTTCCAACACTTCTGCAATAATACTTGACACTCTCAGTCTTTCCCGTACCGGATGGGCCATAGAAAATAACACCTGACTCATCTTTAGAAAGAGAAATAGCAGTAAAAATCTTAGCCGTTAAGTAGGTGAAAATAAAGTCGGTTGGAGGATAGTATTCAAACGAGTACTCCAGGTCATCGACTTTCAAAATGATATCCAATATATCCTTGCTGTTTTTGTCTAAGGGCATGTTTTCAGAGCTTATAGTATATTTTTGTATTGTTTTCATTAAATCAGGAAATTTTTCCGAATAAGCCTCTATCCTTTCTGCTCTATAAGACTTTTCCTTTGATTTTCCATTGAAATAGTTATACTCACACACTAATTCATCAACAATTGAAATACTCTGATTGATAAAATCATTGCCAGATTCTGATTGCTTGGCATGGCCTATTTTGTTTAGAAAAGTACTCTTCAATGTTTGCTTCAGGGATCTTTCAAACCCATTAACAATATTTTCCAAATTGTCATTCAAATTAATCTTGGACACAAGGCTTACTTTCTCTTTTTTCTTTCCCACTCCACTTGAAATGCCAATAATACATTCGTCCTCTGTTATAATCTCGTTAATATTAAATATACTTGTAAGTAGCCAACATATTCCCTTTGTGCTGCTCATGCTCCTTACAAGATCTGTATTCGGAATGAAATACAGTCTATTACATTTGTGTCTGAGAACATCAATTGCTACATTAATTCCGTTGCTTATACTGTCCAGTTCAAACCTTATATTTTTAAGTTTGTTTAAAACATCAGTACTACTCGACATGCTGGATCTGGATATGAGATTTTCAAAGTCAACCTTACTACGATTATATTTCAATAATTCAAGGTCTAACAAGTTGGTGCCTTCTTTAGATAATATCATTCCAAGCTCAAAAACTTTGTCTTGAACACTACACAGAATATCAAAGCATTCCTGCTCTATTTTGATGAGATCATCAACTTGATCAAGCTCACTTTTGTAAAGATTAAATTTGTTGAATTTAACTGTCAGATCAAGCATGGATCTTTGGGCATTCAAAATAGATGACAGTTCTGAAATATTAGAAACATAGGAATGTGATCCAACAGTGGAAATTTTGATTAAATCAGTAAGTCTTGGTCTTTCTTCAGATAGAAATTTGGATATTTCAATATCCATTTTTATTTTTTCAATCGATATCCTCATCTGTTTCTCATCAAATGAATCAATATAGTCTTTAAAACTACCTTCAAGATTGAGGGTTNAATGAGATATATTAAATTTTGATAATTCTTTTAAATACGAAAGGGGAAGTTTAAGGCTCTCAGCTTGGCTTACAAAATTCTTCATCAACTGGGTATTAAAAGAACATAGCAATTTAGAAAACACGGTTTCTTCAATCATTCTGCAGTTAGAAACTTCACAGCCGTTTGCCAGTTGCTCAATAAATGTGGAAATTTTGGTTCTCATGAACTTCTTTATGTTTTGGTCCATTTCTCTAAATGTTTTATATTCAGCCTCTAATACTTCAGTAGAAACATTAAAAGAGAGAGCCTCGAACTTATAAAAGATAAAAAGCTCGTTGAACATTGCAATATCTCTGGATAATGCATCACATTTGATTCTAAACTGTGAAAGATAGGGAAGAAATGTGTCTTCATCGCATGGGAAGTTATGGTAAATGCTGCTTATTTCACTAATCTTAGATTCAAGTTCATGCTTTTTTGAGCTTAACAGTTCAAATTCGTCTTGAGTTAGGGTCTGCTTCAGTTTGAAAGTAACACCGTTGTGTATAACCGACCTTATGGAAGCCTCATCTAATATTCCAGTAGCCTCATCAAAAACAACATTTAGAAGAAGATTTTCAATAACTTCAGATTGAATGTTTTTATGAGCCGTGAATGAAGACTGAGCATATCTATTATCAAATACAGATAATATCGTGTTTTCAGACCCAATATTTAGCAATGCATGAATAGCAGCATCTTCAGGAGTATTTTCATGCAATAAAGATAAGACATAATGTAATTCATCAAAACACCTCAAAAGTCCGTATTGCAAAATAAATGAATCAATAAATAAAGGTATAGTATTGTTTGAAGAAAATTCCTGGATTAGTGAGAGTAGAGATGACCGAACAGCTATTTTGTACTGACTAACAGTAAAACAAAGTTGACTGAAAATCGACTTGATTTGAGCAGAAAATGAATAGCTATCAAACTTGAAATTGATCTCAAAGAATTGGAATAAAGAAAGCTGTCTGTGCAGTTCCTCATTTCTCCTTGTCTTTTGTAAAGTTTCCAAAATTGAAAGTAAATGTGTTTTTGAAGATTCGTTCTTTTCATTTTTACAGCACAATGTGTGATTTTCTGCCATTTCATCGATCGCCTGTTTAATTATATCGAGTTCATTCTGTACGTCTGTTTCTAGCTGTTTTATACAAGCAGAAATATTAAGTAATTTTTCAAAGCCGCTAAAGCGTAAAATATACTCTTGGATTATATCGTATACAACCACATCGTTTGATAATAACTGAATAGCGTCCTTTGAAATAGCTAGTTGCAGAACATGTCTGCTCTTACTCATCTTTTCTTTTACAATAGTTAAAATTATCTCTAAAATCTCATCCCTTTTCTTAATCAAAGCCTCTTCAACCTGGTTTCTATCAAATCCATCAAACAAGCACATTACATCGCATGGCTCATATCTTCCGTTGCCAATTGAAGAATCCTCATTCATAATCTTCGGAATGTACTCACTTTTTAATTCTTCAAGCATCATATAAAACTGTTTCTTCTTCTTTTTAAATCTTTCATATAAACATCTTTCCTGGTTCTGAGTCTCCTCACTGTAATACCTCCATTTTAATCCAACATGACCTTTAAAGTACTCCTCAATCTCTTCATTGTAAAATATGGAACCGCACTGTCTCACTTCGTTTTTATACTCATTTAGAAATCCTTTGAGTCCTTCAAGTCTTGGTTTAATAAACCTAACATCTTCGAGCAGTTTTATATCAAATAATGGAAGGTTGTTGTCTTCTGAGATGATTGTTTCATACATTCTAGTTAATTGATCCTCCATATCAACTATTCCAACCACACTTTCATTTAATTCAAGCTTATTAATATCATCGTTATTTTCTGTTCCAATATTATCATTAGTCTCCGTATTAATAATGGTGGTTTCTAGAAGGTCTGATGGAAGGCTTGCAATGTATCTTTCGTAAATTTCAATTATATTCTTTATTTTCGAAGCTTTCAACTCAAAGAACTCTTTTGCTTCGGAGCAATTGCACAGAATACTTTTTAATGTTAGCGCTGTTAATATTACATCAACTATGTCCGGAATGTTAACGGTGCGGCCACTGTGCTCACAAATTGTATCATTTAAAGAGTTGGCTAGTGAACAGTTCAAAACAGTTTTCAGTATATTTACAACGTACTTGGAAACTATGCTTTCAAATATCTTAAATTCAAACAATATCCTATGGTTCTTAAAATGATGTCTTAATTTGGAAAGACTGTTGGTGTTCTGATTGATGAAATCATTGCCTTTTGATTTTAGCAAGTTGGTTACAAAGTCAGAGTCGAGAGGAGACCTTGAATTGACTGGAAGCGATGCGTTATGTTGTATTTCATTTTCAAACAGTGCTTTTTTAAATTCAAACTCAAAGGTTTTTATCAATTCTAGGAATTGTAAACTGTTTTCCGAATCGGAAATGTACTGGAAAAGCTCTGATGCTTTGTAAATACTATTTAGTGAACTGATGTACTTTGAAAAATCCTTTATATGGTCTATTGTAATACGCGAATCTCCAGAATCCTTATCGTTTTGCAAATTAAAGTATAGGGCGAGTGATGTATATTCAGCATAAATTTCGTAGAAGGTTGGATGGAAGTTGACAAGAGTCTCATTAACTATCGTTGTTCTTAATGCATTTAGATTGCTCGAGATTGACTTTCTTATGATTCTTGGCATTTTCCTCAAATTTCTTAGAATTTTAAAGATAATCAAAATATTGGAGACAAAAGGCAAATGGTCCTGTTTTACAGCCACATTATTTGATGGATGCGTGTCCCTGTCATCTAATACAATAGGCGATTCGTTACTGTGCTTCAGAAACAAAACATATGAAAATTCGAAATTACTATACACTGAATGGAAAGCCTCACAGATCTTATAAATCTTTTGGTCATTTATAAGCATAATTAACGTATACATTAATGACAACTTTCCTATTCTTTTTAGCATTTCAATAATAAATTCATATTCTTCTGATACTGAAAAATTATGGATTGAATCTAACTCTGACCTTAGGTCCATCCAGAAAGCTTTCTCCTCTGGAAAGCTTCTATTGAAATGGCCTAATTTTGTATAAATTGATTTTAAATAGCTAATCCATTGCTCTACTATATTCACAAGATCTCTTTCATACTTCTTTAAATCCTCCTGATCTCCAAATGAGAATGCCAGTGGGCATTGCACAAACAGCTTTTGGGAAAAATAAAGATTTTGGATGGCTGCGGGAAGTGTAAAGTTTATGGTGTTCTCTCTTCTTGTATTTATCTTTGCAATGACGCTGTTTAAAAGTCTTACTGCTGATATTTCATCCGGATCCTTGAATGCACTGTTCTGGATTTTCTTTTCCTTGACAGCTATTAATAGTTGTATTAGCTGCGAAGTAGTGGATTCAAGAATGTTTTCATAATCTGCATTGGTGAAAAACACTTCTGGATCATTTGACTGTAGAATCTTGGCTAGTTCCAATGTTGTGATCTCTTTCATGGCAGGGACCAAGAAATAACAACAAATCCACAGCCTAAAATATAATTGCCAAAGAAGATTAAATAAGAACAAATCAATGTTGCTTATATGTTTATATTATTAAATTCGGCTTTGGTAGTCTGTGGCTTTTAGCCATTGATTGAGCAGACTTTTAGAAAATTTTTGTTCATTTAATAATTTTTTGCTTTCGTTTAAGCCTGTAACATACAAATATGAATCTGCATTAAAAGCTGGCCAAGGTTTTCAAGTGTACTCTGTCTAGTTGTTTAATTCTTGATTACAGACGAAAAATATGAAATAAATGAGTATTGAGCTTGTTTAAGGCATTATACTATGCTTAATATGCAATGGCTAAGGATCGATATGATTTGTGCATAGGTCATTTGTATTAATATTCTTTGCCTTAAATCAAATAAACAAACACCTCATTATTGATAGAATTCTTCAAGAATAAATAGACAGATTGATAAAGAATTTTAATTTTGAATATATTTTATAACTCGTTTTTTGGCTTATTCTCCTCACCCTCTGTTCTTTTAGACTTTAGGAGATCAGTCTCTCTTATTTTGTTCTTAATCCTGTTTAACTCTTCCATCTTCTCAAGAAACGCCTTTACATTATACTTTGTGCTCTTAAACACATGTCTTATTGGCGTTATCACTGCCTGTTTTGATGGGGATTCATAATAGAATCGTTTTTGGTTTTGGCGGGAATTTTCTTCAGACATGTTAGGGTCATGTTGACAATCAAAATTTTAGAGAAAATGGTGTGACTACTGTAAAGATTTAGGCAAAAGTTTTGAGCAATGTCTTCTAAATCCATTTGCTGGATCACATGTTTGAGTTATATATTGTGCAACATGTCTAATATTCTGCTGTACAAGTGTCATAGCTGATTAATATTGTTAAAAATGGTTTACTTCTATGATTTAGCCATTTCAATATTACTCTTACTTAAAATCTACTGCCATAATTTACCGTTGTGCATTATGCTTATATTCATGCAACCAAAGCTTATTGCAGTGTCATTCTGACTTTAACTTGCTTTGAGATGTTTTCGTCGTGCAGCTGATGCCTATATTTTCATTTTGATATATTAGCTACATTTAAACAACAAAATACGTTAATGGCATAATGCATTAAAGATGAAAAATAAAATTTGCTACAGTTTGTTTATTATCCAAAACACTGTTTCAAGTTCTTTTAAAATTTACACCCAAATAAACACCAATGCAAAATGCAATTAATAAGACAAGGCGATACATCGAGCAGTACATAACAAGCGTGAGATGGTTGAGAAATTTAATGATTCCGGCTCTTGTTGCATTGGTTACTTATAATTTTTTTGAAATTAGAATTTATCAAACGATGGCTGATGTCACGAATAAAGACAGCGAAGGAAATTCAAAGATAAAATCTGCAATGATGTTTTGTGTGTATTTTGTCGTTGGATACACCATAAAACTAGGCTATGAGTTATTTAATGCCTACTTTGTTGCTTGTTCAATCAAAAATGCACTAACAAATTTTTTTGGCGATTACCTGAAAATTAGTTACCAAAGCTTTACAAAAATAGGAATTGGCGAGGCCCAGTACAATATTAACAGAAGAGTATTTGCCTTGATAGAGTTTCTTTCGTCGGTTTGTGTGGATTTTGCATCGAATTTTCTATTTTTTCTTATCGCCATCGGAAGTCTTGGAAACGAAATTAAAAGTGCTAGGCTAAAAGGCAATTTCACTCTTGTGCATTCTTGCATTTATGACTTTTTCGGTTATTGCCCAGTTTCTGAGATCAATTGCAAGAATTAGAGTAAATCTTGGATACGAAATCTGCTCTAGAAAGATGTATGACATTCTATACAATTATGAGAGAATTGTCTCATATGACAACTTAGAACATGAGCTAGGTCTTTTCAGACGATCAATGGATTACCAAGTATTTTACGGTACAATATTCTGGGTAAGCAATGATATAATTTCGTATATCAATTCGTTGTTCTTTCTGTCAATTAATACATATCTATTAGGTACCCTTGGTATATCTACAAAAGAAAAGCCTGGATCTTAAGAGCTACACCCTTGTATTTAACAAAGTGAAAGATAAAGTTCTTGATATGATTGACAGCTTTGATTCGCTGGCGAACAATTTCGTAAACCTAGATCAAAGTAACATAGAAAACTGCCAGCTGGATGAAAATCCAAATGCAATGGATTTCGAAATCAAAGGAAATGAAATTGAAGCTGAAAACCTGAGCTTTGCATACGATTCAAAGACTATTCTCGAAAACTTTTCGATGAGAATACCTTCTGGGCAAAAATTGGCCATAACTGGAGTAAATGGGTCTGGAAAATCAACATTTACAAAATTACTGCTAGGACTTTATAACTATGAAGGTTCTCTAAGGATTGATGGCCTTGAATATTCAACAATTAGCAAGAAAAGAGTAAGGGAAGCGATAGCCTATGTGCCGCAGGTGAGCTTTCTTTTTGATTCAACAATTATTGAGAATTTAAAATGTGGAAGCGAATCTGTAGCAGATGAGAAAGTTGTCGAATTTTCAAAGATGTACAATATGCACGACACATTCAAGGAACTTGGATATGACAGGAGAGTTGGCGAGAGAGGAAAGTTTTTAAGTGGAGGTCAGCGGCAGAAGATATGTTTTCTGAGGGCAGTTATTAGGAATTCACAAATATTGGTATTGGACGAAGCCACCTCAAATATGGATGAGGCATCAGAGTTAGAAATCATAGAGTCAATAAAGACACACATGCAAAGCAAGACAGTCATTATGATAGTTCATAACTTGAAGCTTCTGGGTCATTTTGACAAAATTTTATTTTTAGGAATAAAGACCAATATGAGGTAGGAGCATTACATGAATTGCTTCAAAGTCAGAATAGTAGATTTGCAAAATTCTACAGGGAATCTATTAAAAATAACGAGCTGTTATTGGACAAACAATAACCTCAATCACAACTCATGCAGATGTGGCTGCTATAAGCAATTAATAGCGGTCAAATAATTGAAAACAATTTTTATTTAAGTAAACAAGATTGCGATAAATTTTGGATGGGCTTTTGTGCGGCGTGATTCAATTTTCATATGCATATTAACGATGCGCTTTATATTTTATTATTCTTTATTTATCGTCTTTAGCACTCTGCAAATACACTCCTTGCTTTTTGAAACCCCAGTTTTGCTCTTCTTATGACCTCGATGGTTAAGCAAAGAAGACTGTTGATATAGCAAATGTAATAGCACAGTATATAAGCCATTTAAACTTCTAATTGTACAATGAAGTGTGTGTTGCTTCTAGAACAGTGATGAGTGTATAAATATAAGCATCAAATACATTTGCACCAATGCATGCACTTGCAAGGAATTTAGAAAGTAGTCTAATGTGCCCCTTGAGAAGGCATTCTCATACAAACTAAAAACACTCTTTCTGTATTCGACAGAAGTGTGCTATCAGATTATAAAAGACAAGAAATAGAGAAAGCTGCGAAGCACGAAGCATTGTAAATGGTGGCGCCGAGCTTTCAGCATTCAGCTCATTTAATATCGTTATTTCTGGTTTATTATCTTCATGGGTAAAAAATTTATAGGAAAAATGAGCTGTGTTATTGTAATAGCTTAAAAAACTTTTAAATAAATGCATTCTGCCTTTTAGCATTAAAAATACCACATACTTTGCCATAGCGAATTTATTCTACCGCATTATTGTTAGAGCTGTCAGTTTCGCCAACTGTGGTAACAAATATACCAGCAAATGAAAATCATAACAATGGTATTAGTCATAGTAGCTGGCTCACAGTTTAAATTCATACTTCGGATCAGCTGCAAACTCCTTATATCCATTGTAAACTCTAATTTTCTTTTCATTAATATTCAGTATTTTATCAAACTTTAGTAAATGTTGGGGATTGTGTGTTGACAAAAACACTGTTTTGTCCTTAAGGATGTTGAAAACTGTCGAAACTATGAAGTTAGAAGTACTATAATCAAGATTGGAGGTAGGCTCGTCTAATAAAAATATTGGTGCGTCTTTAATGATGGCTCTCATAAAATTGATTATTTGCGCCTGCCCACCACTAATATTCTTGGCACTTTCTCCAACAATGGTCAAATATCCCTTTTCCAGATTTTTGAAAATACTGTGCACACCGCATTCAATACACTTTTGAACAACTTCTTCATCACTGATGTTCTTTCCATATTTTAAATTATCCATAACTGTTGTATTGAATAAATGCGGCTCCTGAGGGACATATGAGATGGCATCATGAAGAGTTTTCTCATCTATCTTTCTAATAGACTTCCCATCAATTAGCATCTCACCATTGTAATCAATCAGTCCCAATAGTGCTTTTATAATTGTCGACTTACCAGCACCATTTCTACCAGTAATCGCTATTTTTGTGCCAAATGGTATTTCTAATGAAAAGTGGTCAAAAATTAGTTTTCCATCGAGATAAATGGCCGTATTTTCAAAACTAATGTCGAGAGTTTGTCCTGTTATTAGTTCGGTCTTTCTGATCTTATCCACAAGAATAACATTAATAGTAGAGGAAGCAGAAGTATCAATGAACTTATCAAACACCTTATAAATACAATCTTTCAATCCACTAATCTTTCGTTTAAACGAATTAAATGTTACAAAAAATTGATAGATTGCGTGGGGATTAATGAATGGGTTATTGGCATCTAGATTAGCTATGTGAATTGGAACCAGAAGCCCAATAAGAAGCAATATCTTGAAACATACCATAAATAAACTCTCAAAGAAGTAAAATGTGTACCCAAATGAAATTTGATCACCCATTAATGAATTAAACTTTGAAATTTCAAAGCTTTCATTATTAAAGGCTTTCACAACTGTCATATTTTTGAAAATATCTAAAAGTGCATGTGAATTTGTATGCTCAACATCTATCAGTCTTTTTTTGTAAATATAGGCTATGTGACAGTTATAGCAGATAAATAGAGCAACAAAGGCCAGAAGAGATACAAACACGATCTTAGTGCTCAACTCTAGCTTTTTATCTTTGTACAGCCGTATAATAAAAAGAGAAATATAAGCTAAATTGTAAACCAATCTAAGAAAGACGTTTTTCAGTAGAAATATTAAAGAGTCAACCTGCTTGTGAATGATGGAGCAGATTTTACCAGTTCCAACATTGTCAAAGCTTTTTGGGTGGCAGTTGAGATACATTTTCATTAAATATCGATATAGAACCGATTTTAAAAAATGGATATTGGTGTAAAACAGATGATTATGGATCCAACCGAAAAGAAGGTGGAGAGTGTAGAACAGAACGTAGGAGAATATGGGGCTGTCTTCTGTGCCCTTTTCCAAAGTTTTTGAGAGATTAGAAAAGTGGTCATCAGCGTATGCTTCGAAGACACAAGAGCAGAATAGTGAGAAAAGAATGAGAATAAAAATTAATATGACATGTCTATTGCCCAAAAGACCGTTCCAAACAACACTGGTGAAAAAGGCCAAGTCAGAATTCTTCGGCTTGGAGATACTCATCTGCAGAGGGGGAAAGCTTTTCTAAAAATATCAAAATTTTTATATCTATGTAAAAAAAAGACAGTAGAGGCGCATTCATCGTCTTGCTCAGAGATTAAATCCATTCATCATCCTATGGATCATTTATTTGGATATGTGGCAGTTTAATTTCCATTAAGCTGGGCTGAGCTTATTTTGACACTTGGTTGTGAATGCCTTTAATGCTTTCACAGTGGGAAATTAAAACTTCGAAACTCACAGTCCTAACAGCCAGCTAGATTTATATTTTTCTTAGAAATATCTGACAGAAAAGTATATCATTTGCAAGTAAGCCCTAACTCCTAATGCTTGATGTAAAGATTGGACTTGTTGACGGAAATGATGGATTATGTGCACAGCCAATTTTCTTTAATACGACATGTCTTAATAATTATAGTCCATACAGCTAGGTTCGGTGGCGCAATCGGTTAGCGCGTTCGGCTGTTAACCGAAAGGTTCTGAGTTCAAGTCTCAGCCGAACCGTTTGTCGTTTTGCATCTAAAATTCTTCTTGCACATAAGCTCTGACAATCCTTATTGGATAATTGGAGCTACTTATTCATAATTCATTCATTTCAGGTCCTCCTTTTTGAATATTATTTCTCCTTTTTTGTGCAAAATACACCAACCTGTCCCTTTTAAAATGGACAAGGAAACCAACTTCAGACAACTAGTTAGACTTGTAGATTCGGTTCCATTTAACATTCTATTTTGCATTTTTTCATTAGTCGTAATTAACTGCCTCAAATTAAAGTCAACTGAATGGGAAGCATTCCTTTTAACACATACCAATCAAGACTTCGAAGCAAGCACACTCAAAATCATCGTACTAATGCAATTAGTCACTGCAGTTCTTTCGTTTTTTTGTAATGTCTTTGTTCATAGATTGGTGTCGCTGTCCTACAGAGTTATTTTGAGAAATATTTTGCTTGAGTATTTGAAGCTAAGATACTCTAGCTTTATGAAAATAGGTGTGGGTGCTGTACTGTGTTTGATTTCTCGTAGATCCTCGGCCTTCTGTGATTTTTTTGAGGGCCTGATGGTCAGAATTGCTCCAAAGCTAATATTTTTATTCACTTTGACATCCTCAATACTTAATCTGTTGGAGTATAATGTAAAGCTGAATGTTCTGGGTCTTTTTATTGTTTTTATTGTATTTATATTGCTCTTACAGACTCTACGGGCACATTTGAAGGAGAAAATAAATACAAATTATGAAATTTCAAATTCAAAACGAGTTGAAATTCTGGAAAGTTACGAAAGAATCATTTCATACAACATTCTTGAAGATGAACTCAGTGATTATCACAGATTACTGGGGAAATACACATTTTTTAAGCAAATATTCGACTGCTCAGGCCACATGATCAATTTTCTATCAGCCATGATGCTGCTGCTATTCTCAATTTATATTTGGAGCTGTATTATTGATACAAATCAATTTACTTCCATAATTATACTAACAGAAAAGCTTAAAGACTATTTATACTCAATTTTGATAGAATTTGATACACTGATTATAGACTATGCAAACTACTCATATTCAAAATACACTTCCACTGATTTAGAAAACAATGAGTGTGCTAAGAACTGTGGCTACTTAGGAACTATTGATTATGATAAAATGGGTGATTGTACGAAGTTATATGATTTCGCCAGTGATATTAGTCTTGATTCCCTGCGTGTAAAGTTTGATGACTATGTAATACTGAACAGTGTAACATTGTCAATAAAAAAGAACGAAAAAGTTGCTATAACAGGCATAAATGGCTGTGGAAAAAGTGCACTGGCAGGAGCCATAGTGGGGTTTATTAACTACGATGGTTCACTAAAAATCGATGGATTTGAAGTTAGAAGCTTATCAAGAACAGCACTTAGTAGTTTGATCAGCTACATACCCCAAAATGCAAAAATATTCAATATGAGTATTGAATATAATCTTAGAATAGGTAGGGATAGCATGGGGAATGACGAGATGATTGAAATATGTAACCAATTTGATTGCCACTCAACATTCAAGAATATAGGATATTCAAAGATGGTAGGTGATCGTGGAAGACTACTTAGTGGTGGACAAAGACAGCGTGTGATTCTTCTCGGTGCAATTTTGAAAGACAGCAAAATTTTAATATTTGATGGTCCATTTACTGGATTAGATCAAAAAACAGAGGAACATTTTGTAAAGACGCTGAAAAATGAATTTAAAAATAAAACAGTGGTATGCTCAACACAGAACATAGGTCTATTCCCCTATTTTGATCAGATAATATTCATTCATAAGGGTATCGTTTACAAAGACACTTTCAAGATGCTTTTGAAAACAAATGAAGAGTTTAGAACATTTTGCAGGGTCAGAGAATCGACCGAATTACCTTTAAGACTATTTTCAAAGAAGTTGTTATCAATAATCAAAAGCATAGCAAGCTAAAATTGTTAGACTAACGTTATACAACATTCTTTTGTGTTGTCTATAAACTAAGAAAAATGAATTAGACCAAAATACCCTATTAAAAACACAATGATGCAACTATTAAATACGCACCAATTGTTTTCATTGAACTTGATTAATATTTACACCAGTTTAAGTCCCTTTATTCTCACTTCTTCTTCTTAAAAATTTTCACAAAATTTCTCCCAATGGACCAGAGTCTGAAGCAGCTTTTCCTTCAAACAACAAGTCCAAATGGAGCAATTCGGAACAATGCTGAAAGTCAACTGAAGAGCCTGGAAAAGAATACTGAGTTTCTAAACTATATAAGAAACGTTCTGATGAAGGATCAGGACAAAATCATCCAGCAAATAAGTTCGATTTATTATATGAATACAATAGAGAGAAACTGGAAGGCGCCAGAGTTGAAAAATGTTACTACGGATCTTGAAGATAGCATCCTCAATCTTCTTTTGATTGAAGATAAATATCCAAAGCTAGCCTATCAAAAAATTTTGCAATGTGTCTTTAATAATTCTGAAAAAGAAACGATTTTAAACATTTTCAGAGACTCTGCAAATTTTTTGAGTTCAACGGATTTAAACAAGAACAAAGCAGCCCTAGTACTTTTCGAAGAAGTGTTTAGATCAGAGGCATTGAGGTTCAACCTTGAAGATATTCTTGGTGTAATGTTCAATAAAATGGGTAGTATCTTCACATCTAGATTTACGGAGTATATTTCTACAAGAAAGTTTGCACTCGCGAGCATCTGTATGAAGGTAATTGCCAAGGCATATTCACATTACACTCTTCCTGATTTTTTGAATTCGCTCGAGGTGTTTTCCGGATACTTCCAGCTTGCCATTCAAATTTTAAACACAAAATGTGAAAAGGATGATGGTTTTTTGAGACTACAGAAATGGGCAGCTTTCTTTTTGTACAAATCAACCAATAAGGGCCTCAAAAAGTACTTTAAAAACAATGATTTCGTACAGTTTATTAGAACTGATTCAACATTAGAGCTGCTTTACAGCACATTCAGCAAATTGCTTAATGATTATATTTCAGGTGTGTCTGTCCACGAAAGAGGCCCCATTATCTGTGCCGACTTCTTTTCCCTTTTTGCTGGCAACAAGCGAGCCAAGTCGTTTATTAAGAATAATTACATGTTTTTAATAAGCTCATTTATACTTCCTTCACAGAGCTACAGTGGAGATTTAAAGGATAATTTTGAAGATAACGCCGAAGCATATCTGAGAGAAAGGTACAATTATTACAATAGCGATCTCCGATCAGCCACAGCTGAGCTGTTTGAGGAGATTCTTTATAGTGACAAGGAAGTTGAAATGAATGTCGTATCATCAATGAGGGAATTCTTGGATGTTGGTATAAATGAAAGCAATGCTCCGATGAGATTTGGTGTTATTGGATTGTTGGCAAACACTCAGAAATCGCTAATTAAGAATCTGAGTGGAGAAGAATTTCATCAATTCCTTGTCAGATACATCTTTCCTGATCTTAGCTCTCCTCATTTGTTCCTCATATCTCAAGCCTTATATTTTCTTTCTCTAATGGAGTCCATTGAAATTTTGGATAGCCAAGTCTATGATGCGTTGAGTAAGATATTTTCATTGACAAATAATGAAAATGATATCCTCTCGGTTGAGTCTTGCTTAGCTTTGAACGCATTCTTCTATAACGAGTCTCTTCGTAATTTATTTAAACCAAGCATTCCTTCATTATTTGAAAAAATTCTCTTTTATACTAAAAAGTATTTTCTGGAGTCACTATCCACCCTTTGTGATTCTATTATCGACTGTTTTACTGAAGATATCACAGAATATGCACCTCACTTCATCCAAACAATCTGTTCTTCTTTTATGGATCATATTGAGTCAGAAAATGAAGAAAAATTAAATGCAATTTCAGGCTGCTTAAATACAATCCAAAAGTTGGTCATGACAGCCGAGGATAAGCCTGAAATTGTTTCTAGTATTTACCAATATGCTTCGAGAATAGTTTATTATGTTTTTGAGAACCAAAAGACAGAGTTTTTCCAGGAATGCTTTGATCTCATGAATAGCTTCTTGTATGTTTTACGAAGCATAAATGAGAACATGTTTGAGATATTCATTCTTTCTCTCTCCAGTGATAAAGATGAAATTTGTCTTTATCCCCGAGAGATCTGTGATTATATCGACAATTTTCTTACCTATGGAGGAGAGCGCATGATTACACCCAAGACACTGGAATTAATATACAACTGTATCGATATATTTATGCCTATTAATAGTTCAGAATGCGATGTGTATGACGAAGATTTTGAGGCAGCCTGCAGAATTATAGACAGTGTGATGCTTAATGCAGGTTGTGCTGCACACCAGCTGAATCAAAATCTGATACCAGCTATTATTCACAAACTTATCTCCAACTATGAGTTTGCTAATACTTATGAGGCCTTGCCCATATATGCTCTTGATTCTATTACAAACTGTTTTATTGTCTCCCCTGAGGTTACCCTAATGAACCTAGGCACTTTTACTGAAACATTTTTTTCAGAACTGGACGTTCATAAGAAAAAGTTTATTAGAGTATATGATAAAAAGTTGTTATTGCTGTTTATGGGTACTCTTTTCAAGATTAATGCCAATATTTCTATAAATTACGAAGTCTTTTGTGATCTTTTCGTTTATGTGGTGACTACGCTACCTGAGGCCATAAAGAAACGAAACAAGCTAAAGCAGCAAGAGGAAAATGCAGATGAGGAGCTTGACGGAGATTATTCGGACTACTCTGCCGAAGACATCTACGAGGATATTTACTTTGAGACTGTTCTTGACAAGTTTGATGCCTATGAATTTACTAGGGGTGTTCTTTCGACCATTTCTCCTAATACCATTGGTGAAAAAACTGTCGCGGCTATGAGTTCTTCACATATTGCACAGATTAAGGAAGTTTTGGAGATGCCACAAGAGATACAAAAATAAACCAATCTCATCTTTTCCATATAAAATTTTGTCTTGTCGATCTATCTATTAGTTTGGTTTTGCCATACCCTCCACATGCTTAGCATTTTATGGATTAGTGCTGTACCAATCAACACATTTTGTGTTTGGGACATTCCTCATTCCTGTCCATTTTAGTTATCTTTTCAAGACATTGCCATTTTAGCCCTGATGGTTGAGATTGAGTATAGAAACCCACAAGTTGATAGCAAGACAGAAGGAGATCATACTAGAATTAAAGTACCAGCAGATAAAAGAGGATTGGTACAGCAATCTAGCACTAGTGCAGCTCTCTTCAGAACCCTGATTAATTTGTTTTTTAGCTTTGTATATTGGCTGTTTTGTTGTAGTTATTTTCTATGCTATGCGGACTCAATGGTTAAGGCATATACAGAAGGATTCCTGCCATTTTTAAAATCTAAAATATTCTGGTCATTCCAGCGGGACGTTCTTTTCTCTGTTGTGGGATATTGTATTTTGATGATGGTAATCAAAATAATGTTGTTCAGAAATTAAGTAAATTATATGAATATAGATGATAATTAAATGCATTAAGCGCATGTGTGTAAACACGTGTAAAATTTATCGGATGTAAATAACATACATACTATTATACCTGCTAGTGTGTTATTAGTTATTAATCTCTGCAGTCGATTTGCAGAATACAAATCAAAGATCTATTGTGGTAGTATGCAAACCACTTTTTAGTTTATGAGCATATTCTGCAGTGCATTCTATTTTTTGGTATTATAATTTTTTACCCATGGTTCAGTATCTCTTCCAGCCAGAAAAAGTCTTAGATTGTAGGTCCGGAATTTCACACATAATTTCAAATATAGAGGCATGCACTTCTGTGGCCAATTCATTATCCGCTACATTTGGTCCTTACGGTCTTGACAAGCTTTTCTATGGGAAGAAACTTCTCCTTACCAATGATGGTGCAACTATACTTGAAAATATGAATTTCAAACATCCAATTGCCAAGCTTTTATGTTCGCTCAGTAAGTCTCAAGACAACGAGGTGGGTGATGGTACAACTAGCGTAGTGCTCCTGACCTCTGCAATTCTTAATTCCCTACTATCTCTTGTGAAAGAGGAATTTTCAACTGAAATAATCAGAAACGTCCTCAAGGATATGAAAAGGCAATGTTTAGAACGATTGGAGAATTTAAAAATTGAGTTTTCAGAGGAAAATTTAATAAGGCTTGCAGAAACATGTCTTAATTCAAAGAATGTTAGAGGAGACAAGAGTCATTTTTCTAGATTGCTTGTTGATGCATTGTCATGTGATGACGATCTCTACATAGACAAGGTCACTGGTGGGTCTTTATCTGATTCGTTCTTAGTGCCAGGGATTGCGTTTAAGAAAACATTTACCTACGCCGGATACGAACAACAACCTAAAAAAATTTTAAATCCTAAAATTTGCTGTTTAAATATTGAACTAGAATGGAAAAGTGAAAGGGAAAATGCTGAAATTAAGATTGAGAGTGTGGAGGAATATCAAAGAGTTGTTGATGCTGAGTGGAAAATAATCACCGAAAAGCTTGACGACATAATAAATTCTGGTGCAAATGTTGTTTTGAGTACAATGTCAATTGGAGATTATGCTACTCAATACTTTGCCAGGGCTGGTATTTTTTCTGCCGGACGGGTACACGAGCTACCAAAAATTGTAAAAGCATTCAAAGGCAAGATTTCTAATTCTACGAAATACATCAAATTGGGAACATGCGAGTTGTTTGAAGAGAGACAGCTAGGTGAGACTCGATACAATTATTTTGAAGGTAAAAATGCTCGATCACGCACTTTAATACTGCGAGGGCCTGGATCAGAAATATTAGAAGAAGTAGAAAGAGCGGTTCATGATGCTGTGTGTGTTATAAAAACAGCAATAAAGCATCAAAACATAGTTTGTGGTGGTGGATCTGTTGAAATGCAGCTAAGCAAGCTTTGTAGGGATTTGTCTTTCAAGATAGGTGCTGAGAAAATGTTTGTGTATCGAGCATTGTCTATGGCATTTGAGAAAATACCTTCTCAGCTTGCAGCCAATTTTGGATTGGATCCTGTTTCGGTACTGCAAAATTTACGACAGTCGCACTCTACCAGTAATTTTACCGGTGTGAGCTTGAAGGGAACAGAAGATATGACTAAACTTGGTGTTCTTGAGCCGTTGGAGGTAAAAAAGAATATGGTCAAGGCAGCCTTTGATGCGGCGGATACTATTCTTTCTATTGATTCGACAATTATTAATAAAAAATAAATGCCTATTGACTAGCATATCACTTTTATACTATGCTACTTTTACATAGAAAGTTCTTAAAGTATTTGGCAATTTATTAATTTACTGCTTAGCTACCCTTCTTAATGGGGACTTTTTGGAATACTCAGCCGGTAGATCGTGGAGCCCCTGAGGGTATAATTGACAACTCAAAAAGAGCTAAAAACATTCCAGTTTTTTTACCTACAGGTTTTAGCTGGTCAAAAATATGTGACATTTCCAAGATCGTTGCCTTTTTAGAAGAGTTTTATGTTGAGGATATCACTTCCTCCTATCGCCTTTCATATCCGCCTGAGTTTTTTGAATTTCTATTTGCTTCTCCTAGCCACAGGGAAGAGTATAGCCTTGGGCTATTTTTTGAAAATAGGCTAATAGGATATGTCCTAGCCAGAGAACATTTAATGTCGCTTAGAGCTCAGTCCTACCGAATTGTAAGTGTAAATTTTTTGTGTTTGGCAAAAGAGTATAGAAATAAAAATTTTGCACCTTTAATGATCAAGGAAATTACCAGAATTGCAAATATCAACGGTATTTTCCAAGCCATTTTTACTGCAGAGAAAGACTATGGTTTTAGTATTTTGAAAGCATCGTATTTCCACTATCCAATGAATAAGGAAGTGCTGCTGAAGACAGGAATAGTTGATAGTCCTGATGAAGTAAGAGATATTCCGCAGTGCCGAGATGACACGAAGCTGGCTACTGAGTACAGTGAAATCAAAAACATTTATAACAAAATGAGCCAAAAATTTACCATTTTTGAAAAGTTTGACGACGAATCCTTTGTGCAGGTTTTTAGAGGTGAAAAAAATGTTTTACAAACCGTTTATAACGAAAAGGCGGGGGAGTTTGCATCTTTTTACATTGTTTATACAAAATGCTTATCGTCGAATATTTTACTAAAACGCGCGTACCTTTACTACTGGTATGGTTCGATAGAAATCATAACTGATTCTGTCTCAATTGCACATTCGCTAGGAGCAGACATGTTTGATGTTTTAGATATTGCAAACAACCACCAGTTGATTAAAAAACTGAAATTGGCCGAGGGTACGGGGTCACTCAAGTACCATGTTTTCAACATCAAGGAAGAACCAATTCAAAATGAAAAATTGAATTTTATTTTGTTTTAATAAAACCAAACTTGCTATATGTGCTGCTTTGAGCAAAATATTCTTTAATAACATTGTCTGTTTTAGCTCTGATGCTTATTTCATTAATATTCATGTATAGTTTGTTTTCACTTCAAACCTACAACTAACTTTCGTCCCTTTCTTAGTTTATGCTAGACCGAATTCCTGTGGATCTGAGTATTCAATCAAAGGAACTCCAAATGAATGATGTTTTCAACAGGTTTAAAACTAGCAAAGTGTTTGTGCCGAAAACCTTGTGTAAGAGTTATTTTTCACTTATTGTAGCTTCTATTTTGGAAGACAAAGATCCCGTCAGCATTATAAACGAGAACATTCCCGAAATAGATGGACAATTATACATCAGCCTAACTATTACAAACAACCGAAGCTTTTGCTCAGATGGTGCACTTATTTTCATATACACCGAAAATATGGATGATGAGGAATTTGATCAAGAATGCAACAGAGTGCAGTCTTTGATCATTCAAAAATTATCTAAGGAAAGAGTATTTAAGGATAATTTAAAACAAAAAACAGCGTACAGTATTGTTTACAGCATTCTTTCTACTATTTCTTCAAGTAAAGATGCTGCAAACGTCTATTTTATTCAAAGGGATTATAAAAATGCTTTACTGGAGTATGGTGGAATTTCCAAACAATATCCCGAATTGTCAAGGAGGATGAGTGAAATTTGTAGAGTTATACTAGGCTACAAGCCATTATTAGAGCCCCTTGCATTTGACATTTTGTTATTAAACCAAATGTATGACAGTCTTTGCGAAATTTCAAGCATTCTGCCATTTGATGCAAAACTCGCAATACAGTATTATTTAACTGATAAAAGCATTAACTCTAAGCTAAAAATGATATTTTTGTACCAATGCTGTGTAAACTTCAAACTATGTAACGATGATGAAATGTCAAAGAGGTGCTATTCAAAACTGGTAAGTACCGTAGAAAGCATAGTTGATATAGAAAGTTACAATCAAAAATTTTGGCTAGAATTTTTAACGATTCTAAGTGAAGATGATTTGATTCATTGAGTCATATATTTAATATACGAATGTGTCGAAAAGAAACAACAGCTTTATATAAGGGTGAAGAGTTTTGAGAACAGGTGCTATAAAAATACATTTGTATCTGGAAATTTAACTAAAAGCTTCTTTTCTCTTCCTTGGCTCTTTTACCTTTAAAATTTTTACCCCAATGAAATTACAAAGTGGCACGGTACAAGCCCTTTACTACAGCCAAAAGTCAAATCCGCTCTACAGCTCACCAATACTTCAGATTACAACTTTGAGTAAGTTCTCATTCGGACCAAACGAGAAGTATCGATATAAAGCCAATCTAAGTGACGGTACACATTATATGAAAGCTGTTTTCAGCAGTGAACTTGCAAATATATTTGATAGCAACGAAATTGCAAGATTCTACGTTATAAAACTGGGCAGTTTTACCGTAAGGCCGAAGGACAATAGCAACTATCTCTACATTCAATCAATTGCTGCTTATGAAAAATTTGAATCCGAATTTGGACATTCTGTAAATATTTCCAGTGGAAAGCCATCCTTTGATCCTTCAGGATCAAACAAAAACGAAGAAGAGGTGCAAAAAGAGAATTCAAGACAGTCAGTATCACCAAAGAGCGCAACAAATAATGAAATGCACTATGCAACATTATCAGTCAATCAAGAAGATGTCTCAAAGCGATTTAAAGAAGCTGCTAATGAAGATATTACAGATATTAAAAAAATTTTTCCACACAAGAAAACTTTCAAGTTTAAAGGAAGAGTTGTTTCAAAGACCGAGATTAAGAAATTTACTACACAGAAAGGCGACGGACAAGTTTTTAGCTTTGAGATTGCTGATTGCACAGGTCAAATAAAATGCGTGGCATTTTCTGAATGTGTAGATACATTTTATCCACTGGTTGAGAACAATAAAGCATATGTTATTTCAAATGTGACAGTTAAGCCATCAAACAAGAAGTTTTCCAACAATACTTCTGATTTTGAGATTCACTTGGAAAAGAACACAATAATCACAAAGGTTGAAGATGACAATATACCAAAGTACATGTTTAAGTTTGTAAAAATTGCAGATCTTGCTTCCGTTGGAGGTGTTGTTGACTGTCTGGCAGTTATTAAAGAAGCATATCCAGTGGGCAAGATTACTATAAAATCTACCGGTAGGGAGAGTGCTAAAAGAGATCTAATGATTATTGATCAAACAGGTAGCTGTAGACTAACACTATGGGGGCCTAAGGCCGAAGAAGAGTATGAAAAGGACAATATCATTTGTCTTGGCTCTGTGAAAGTAGGCGACTACAATGGAATAAACCTAACAACAGTGTCTAATTCACAGGTTATACAGAATATTGAACTTCCAGAGGCCATTGAGTTACTTGCATGGTATGAAGAGAAAGGAAGAAATATTGTCATTGAAAAGCCAAAAAGAATTCCAAAGAGGTCATTTATTAGTGAAGTCAAGGACAATTCTCTTGAATATGCTACTATTCAAGGTTCTGTGGTGTATCTCAAAGAAGAAGGGCTGTTCTACGAGGCATGCCCCTCCGAAACCTGTAACAAAAAGGTTTTAATGGAAGATAATGGGATTTTCAGGTGTGAAAAGTGCAATTATACCTTTGAAAAATGTAATTATCGATATATGATCAACATCCACGTTGGTGACTTCACAGGACAAATGTGGATTACAATTTTTGATGAGGGTGGAAAGAGTTTATTGGGTGTTACGGCAGCAGAGCTTAAGGAAATGGGAGAGTGTAATCCAGAAAATGTTCATAATCTGATTAAAGGAATTTATTCGAAGGAATTACAGTTTAGGCTTAGAAACAAGGAAGAAAATTACAATGGGGACATCAAATTGAGAAGTAGTTGCTTAGAAATCAGCCCAGTTGATTATGTGTTTGAAACAAAAAGGATGCTTGAAGCTATTGAAAAGGTAAGTGTTTGATATTAATAAAATTCTAATTTTATTTATTCCTCGACTATATTGCTGAGAATTTCACTTGACTGTAGCCTTGACGTATGCATTTGCTCTTGACAAACCTGCCATTTAATATAAAGAATCTGTACACAATTTTTTATGGATGAGCTTACGCTTCTAAAAATAGGTGTTAATCCCCTTCAAAGGAAGATGCCTATCAAAAGATTGCCAGAATCTGTGATTTCTAGAATAGCTGCCGGTGAGGTAATAACTTCGCCGTATAACATAATAAAAGAGTTGCTTGAAAATTCATTAGATGCCCACTCAACTTCAATTACCATAAGCATTGATTCATCTCTCAAAAATCTCTCGATAAGAGACAACGGTGCTGGAATCGAAAAAGACGATCTAGAATTTCTCTGCCTAAACCATTATACTTCAAAGATCCAATCTATCGAAGATTTGAAAAAGTATGGTTCTATTACTTCAAGTTCATGTTTTGGATTTAGGGGAGAGGCGTTGCACTCAATTAGTCTTTGCAGTCATATAAAAATTCAAACTAAAACATCTCCATTGGAAAGGTGCGATGTCAAAGATGGTATGGGGCATGTAGCTATTTACAATAGTGATAGGTTGATTGATGTAAAAGAATGTGCATTTGATGGGCATGGTACATTTATTGAAATAAAGAACATTTTCTACAATAATACGATCAGATCTGAGTACTTCTCAAAAAACAGGGTCGAATTACTTAACTGTATTGAATTAGTTGCATACTATGGCATTATCTATAATTCTATTGAATGCAAAGTTGATAATAAGGTAATTCTGGGTAGAGACCCATGCGAAAGAGGGATGAGCCATGATATTGACAAGACTATTGAAAACAGAAAAGGCTACATTTTGAAAAATATACTTAATTCAAAGAATTTTTTGGGCAAAAATGAGCATCTCAGAAGTTTTTATAGATTTAGAAATAGTAAAAGCCATTGTGTTGTTGATGAAGGATTCATAATTATATGCTCAGAGCTTAATGCAGTCTTCAAGTCTAGCAAATTTATTCTTTTTGTAAATAGAAGGCTCGTCAAGAATGATTCGCTGAAAAATAGGGTTTTACAAAAATACAGGTGCCTGAAAAAAGGATGTGTCCCTTTTGCTATTTATTGAAATGTTTGTTGACAGTGTGGACGTGAACGTGCATCCCAGCAAGGCAGAGGTGCTCATTGGCAATGAAAATATGTTTCTTGAAATATTGCAGGCATTTGACAGGATTTTTGAAAATACCCTCGAAATTAATGAAAATACCCTGAATTTAGGAGCTGTCTCTAATATTGGAAGCTTAGCTAGTTCTTCTAAAAATAGTCCAAGGAGTTGTAAAGTTGTTAATGACAAGAGTATAAGCAACCATGAAAACACCTACAACACTGATCAGAGTAGCGTCTTAGATACCAGTGATTTACTACCAAACACAAGCGCCCATACCTCAGACGCTTCGGTCACTAATACGAGTATCTTCCCTAAAGCCGTCCAGTCTAGTCCCTTGAAAATATACTCGTCACCATTTGTAAGAAGGTTGGATGAAAACACTTCAAAACACCAGCAGACCTACAGAAAGTTCTCCTTAATTTCACTAAAGTCATTGTTGAGCGAACTCAAAGAAATCGATCAATCATTTTTCAAGTCGCTAACGTTTGTTGGGGTATTTGCAAATGACATCTTTGTTCAGCATCAAACAAATCTTATAAAAATTGACAAGGAGTCTTTTCTTTTCAATGTTTTTTACCAGAAAATTTTGAAAGAGTTTGGAAACTTTGAGAGTATTGAGTTGCAGCACGCGGTTGAGACTGGTATACATGAGGATCTGTGGGAACTGCTGAGAGAGTACTTTGGAGTCCACATTGAGAATAAGCAGATCATTGCAGTCCCTAAAATATACGACATTGTGCCTGAAGACGAATCTGGTCTTGGCGACAACAATGGTAGTGGTTTTGCGGGATGCTTTGGAGAGCTAACTGTTGAAAAAACAGATGAGGTTGGCACAATCAAAAGCATTGCTCAAGGTGTTGCTAAGATCTATGCAAAATCCAAGGTCGACATCAAACTTTTTAACAAGATTAAAGCCGAAACAATAGCAACGATGGAAATAATAGACACGCTGTCTTTAATGAGTGATTTGAAAGATCTCTACAAGACGTTTGACAGATGCTAGAAATGATAAATACTGTTGAATGCAAGTTAAAATTATTTAATCCTGTTAAAAGTTATACTAGTAAATGCCAGTGTGATTAAATTTTTCATCTCTGCAATCAATATCATTGAATATTCCCTTTAGAAAACTGTCAACTGTCACGCTTTTGAGTATATTAGATTTAATTTTAAAGGAGTAGTCTCCTTTAAAGGGTATATATGCAGATTTGAGCAGACCCCTCAACATGAGACGGGGTGTGTTATCACAAGTTATTGTTTTCACTAACTTGTTACTGCTGCATGCAACTGGACAGCCACAGCAAGAATCGGCATTAAGGAAATTTTATAATGAGTATAAAGTATATAAGAAAAAGATAGACAATATTTATGACCATTTTTGTAAAGAAGAATGCATGAATGAATGGGGATACATTGACTTTCAAAACAAAGTTGATCCATTGCTGAACACTATGAAGAGACGGTATAAATCAACAGCTGAGATCCAAAACACCGACTTTACAAAGGATTTATCTGTCGTTAAAGCACATTTTGAAGAAGTATTAAAAACAGGTGTTTTGTTCAAAGAAATTCTCTCACATGATCCAAAAAGTGATCCTTCCTTAGCAAACTTTAGCGAAGATGCAAAAGAAAGATTAAACAATTGCAATCTAATTCTTGCTCTAGCTAATCGTTTCTGCGATGCAGATAATATTGATAAGTTCTTTACTCTTCTTCATGATGCTATCATTAGCGATTTCAGAAGCCTAGGTGTTGTTAGTGGAGAAACGTTTAATGACATAAAAAAGAATG